GTCCGTCCACTTCCTCCGGACCGCCAAGGGGCGGTCGTTGAGGGGGGGGTACTGTTGGGAGCTGGAGAAAATCCCATCTTTCTCCAGCAGAGTCCGCCGTGGATCCTCTGAGGGAGCCTCCTGCACAGGTGCAGCTCATCAAGACCATCAGAGGATCCACTACATAAGCTGTCTTCAGACCTTACCTCAACGCCGCAGTGTTGTTCCAGTTGGTCAGCGCTAAAGCCTTGCTCCTAGTGAATCTCCATGACCTTGAATCCAGATTGGATTCTAACTTCTCTCTCTGTGTTCCCAGGAAACCCGAGTCTCTTCTGTGAAAGCTCTTGGAGAGCTAACCTGCCGAGCCGACCCTCTGAGCCAAAACCCTGAAGACTTTCTGAGAAATCCCAAGCAGCTCAGGACTAGAGCTGGAAGAACCAAACTAAGGTCTGTCCAAGCTAGACGTGAGACGCTGAAGCAGCTACGGACTCTGCTGATAAACTCTCCTCCAGAACCAACAGAAACTCCCCCAAGGAGATTTACTCAAGAACCCTCAAGGTACTATCCGAGCTCACTTGTAAACCAAACCCTGCCAGCAGTTCATAACAGCTCTGTCTCTCACGCAGACTCCAGTGAAACCAGGACCCAGGCCCGAACCAGATCCCAGTTCATATTGTGTTGTGCTTAATAAACTGTTGAACTTTTATCCTCGTGTCCGCCTTGTGGTGTTCTGCATAACTGGGTCTCCATTTGAGAACCCATCATGACACATATGGGTTTATTTCTGGTAGTAAGGAGTAGGTAGCCTAGGCTAGCGCTAGCTTAGCATCACTATGGCTTCTCTCTCTCTGTGTCAGATGTTCAGTTATTCCTCTGCCTCCTTTAGTGATAATGTGTAATAAGTGTAGTATTTTTGTAGTTTTGGAGGCGAGGGGGTAAGAGTTAGAATCCAGACTTCAGGCTGTTGAACATCCAGGAGTTAAAGTAGGCCCCCCTACGTAGCTGTCCTCCAGCAGCGCCTGAGCAGCCAGGCGATTGGGTAACTGTACGCAGAAAGCGTAGTCGTGGATCTCTGCCCACTTGTCACCACCAACCCGTTCACTTTTCTAACCGATTTTCCCCACTCAGTGACACACCCACTGAGAAGCCCACTCTGGTGATTGGCAGCTCCATAATCAGAAACATTAAATACAGTAAGATCGTTATTCACGCTGGCGGTAATGACACCCGGTTACGCTATCTCTATAATTATGCTGCTATAGGCTTAGACTGCTGGAGGACATAGGGACCCCTTTTTCATCATTCTGCTTCATTCTAGATAGATAGATAGATAGATAGATAGATAGATAGATAGATAGATAGATAGATAGATAGATAGATAGAGGAAACTTAAACAAAAACTTTGAGTAAATCAAATATTTTATGGTTGTAGCTGCCATTTTGGTCAACTCATTATTTTAGTATTAGTTAAAAACAAGAGTTCATACATACTAGTATAGTATTAACTTGAAATGTTCAATTATAAATAAATAAATAACTTTCAGTAAATTCATGTTGTTCATGTTTCTTTAGTTTGATTCAAAATCAAATTAAAATGTAAGGAGGAACCTATATTTTGTTCTGCATGTCACGTTGTTGCCCATGGGAAAGATTGCTCAACACAATTATTTGCATCACTGGGACTGTTTTCCAAGAAGTTTCGCCAGAGAACGTTCCGATTTGTATTGCTTTACTTGTCTTTATTTGTGTAAACCTTTATATTTGTTTTGAGCTAATTTGGGTTTCTGCTTCCCATCTTAGTTCTGACGGCATTTTATTTTATTTTTTGGACTTTGTAAGACGTGTCCACGATAAATGGCTGTTAAAACCAAAAGAACGACTTTTAGCCTTGATTAACTTAAAGGAGAATTCCGTTTTTTAACACTTTTAGCCCATTTTCTGTAGTGTCCAGGATGAAATCGAATGATCGACACCAAAATTTTGACAATTGGTCCTGTCTCTGCTTTTTGGCTCATGCAGAATCCCCCCCTGGCTGATTCAGAATGGCTTCCATAGTGCATGTCCGATAATGTCCTTAAAACAACCTTAAACGTTCTTTTTTTAAAATATGCTACTCACCGGGTCGTCAGCGCTGTTCAATGACGTTCCAAAAAAAGTTTTGTAAAGAAAAAACGTTCCTGTAGTGTTTTATTTAGCATTTTGTAAATCCCATTGAGTTAAATTGGAATAGTCAATATCCCTCCGCCACCGGAAACGGAAATGGGGCCTGTTTACGCTTAGTTGTAGTCTTTTCGCAAGGCCCAAGTGTTTATGCTTCACTCTGTGTACTCCGACGTCGAGGTGCTAACGTCTCTTTTAAACACTTTAAAAAACTCTGAAAATGGAATACGAAAGGTGGATTCTTGAGGAGGACATATTGGACTTTGAGTTTGACGGTAGAGGATACCGTCGCCAACTAGTGGTCTGGAGTGTGCAACGCTTCAGATTCGAACCGGAAGCGGAAGTTTATAAGCGGTTGCGATGTATCGGAAAAAATAGTTCTGGGATTTACAAAATGCTAAATAAAACAAGACAGGAACGGTTTTTCTTCACGAAACTTTTTTTGGAACGTCATTGAACAGCGCTGACGACCCGGTGAGTAGCATATTTTAAAAAAAGAACGTTTAGGTTGTTTTAAGGACATTATCGGACATGCACTATGGAAGCCATTCTGAAGCAGCCAGGGGGGGATTCTGCATGAGCCAAAAAGCAGAGACAGGACCAATCGTCAAAATTTTGGTGTCGATCATTCGATTTCATCCTGGACACTACAGAAAATGGGCTAAAAGTGTTAAAAACCGGAATTCTCCTTTAACTATTTGAATCTAACTGAAATCTAAATGGAGAACTATAAAAAAAAAAAACAAATTCTGATTATGTGTGATTTTTGAGGCAAAAGATTGCCTCAAAAATGTTTAGTTCTTGTAACCTTTTCAGGTTTACAGCGCATCCTAACTGTGAAGCACGGTGGTGGGAGGAGCTTGATGTGGGGTTGTTTTACTGCAGGAGGAACCGGTGCACCTTCCATAATAGACACCATAAAAAACTTAAGCCTGGGAGGTGAGATGAGATAATATCTTGGATGTGCATGCTTGCTTCAAGGGGGAAAAGCCCAACAAATTTGGAATTTTGGATTCGCCACGTAGAGCCAGCAAGAAAAGACTCAAGTCTGACAGAAAATTCCTGTGCAGCCTGCTCTCAAAACAATAAGTGTTATTTTGGATTTTCCCCCCTATCAAAATCTTCCCAGGATGTTATGTCGAAAGGGCAAAAAAGAACTGCTCCCCCCCTCCCCTACCTACGAGCATCTATGGATCCATCCAGAACTGTAGAGCCGGTTGATAAACCTCCATCTCAATAGGGACAATGACCTGTCATACACACACAACTAATGTCAGATTGACTTTCATGTGGCTCCAGCCTCCGATGTTTTCCTTCTGCTGAAATGTTTGTCTTGTATTTTATATGTGCTTTTCTTGTGTTGAGGTTTTTTGCAGTGGCGGCTGGCCCATAGGGGGCGCTGGGGCTCCGCCCTCCCTGATAAGAAGAGAGAAACGTAAAATATATTTTTAAAAATTAACTCATAAATGTTAGTTTTACTCTCTAGAGTGTGTACCTATAAGCAAAACAATTTATATAAACTACATTTCCCTACCTACTGTCATTCATTTGTGGATTTCCACAGACAGACTCCTACCGTCTCTGTCTTGGGGCGCTGATCAGACTGCCCCACATGTGCAGAGAATCTGCCAATCATGTACTATCGCTAGGTGAATTTAATAATTTATTGGCCAATCAGCGTCTCAGAATTTTATGGTCTTGGGGCGCTGAAAATACTGCCCTTTAACAGGCTTCTGCACCCAATGAGCAGGTGCCGAAAATTAGAGGGACGATGGCGAACATAACGAGCGAGATGCAGCTTCCACCAAATTCGGTGAGATCCCTATTTATCTACCCGTTTGCCAGAAGAACATCCCTGTTGTAGGATATGAAAATTTCCTGTCATGGTTATTGTGACCAAAATCATCACTGTTACTGTTATTATATAGTAAATTAAATCATTACTGTTAAATTGTATTTATTGTCCAATTGTTTATTTGAATTCTTATTCTGGATTAGTTGGAGACATACACCAGGCTATATCAGCCCCACCAAAAATAGTTTTCACCAGCCGCCACTGGTTTTTGGATATCTCAAACTCTATCATGTCAAAGATAAATGTTGAAATATGTTTTTTTTTCTCCTCTCCCTCCCCAATGTGGCTCCTATCTTTCCACAGATATAAATTCAGTGCTATAGGGAACCGCTTACGGGTTGTGGCCCTCGGGAGGCATAGGAACGCGCCAAAGGCTGCGTTCTGCGGCTTGCATGGCCTCAGTAAACTGTTCCCCCCTCTCAGCCCCCCAATGAAATCTCGATTACAGTGCAAATTGTAGTTGACAATAAAGAAATTGATTGATTCATTGATTGAAAAGGCAAATATTCCAAAATCATTAACTGAAGGTGCTTTAATATTTATTTTTATTGTGTGTAATATCTGTAAGCATCAACTTGCCCTGGGACTACAGGTCCAGATTAGCCTCCATGCCTAACTCTGGCATATTTACATTGGGAATTTAGAGCTCATGATGATTAACATGGCCTATCCCATCTGAAAAAAAAAAAACACCTGAAAAGTGGTTTAAAGACAACAAATCTCTGTTATTTATGAGATTTTAATTGATTTTTATTCGTATCGATTACTATTCACCACTGGTCTCCTGGATTATGTAACCACAGGCACTAACGGGTCGTTAATCTGCATCCTGACGCTGCGCCAGGATCCCTCCTCCTACGCAACCTGGAACTCAGTGACATTATTATCCGCCGCCTGATTTACTCTACGCACCATCAGCGGCACATGTGGGTTAATCTGGCTGCAGGCTGACAGAGATGTGGCCACCATGTGTGGAGGAGGGGAAGGTGACTTTCTACTTTCTTACCCTCCAGGTGTTGAAGAATTTCTCCCTCCAGTCCTCAAAGATGTCCTCCTTACCTTCCAGGAAGCTGACGCCTGCAGGGCAGAAGAAATGTTCAAACTGGTTCAGGATTCTCCAATCAGTGTTTGAGGTGGAGAAAGTCTGGTGTCTTTGTCTCATACGAAAACCAAGTTAAGTCCTTTTGGACTCGTGGTTTTCAGGGAGTTTTAAACTAACTGATAATGTTTAAAAAGAGGTGTGTGAGGCGAGATTTATAACATATCAACATCCCATGAAAAGCATGTTAATTGATATATTTTAAATCTTTATTCTCCCACAATGGGGAAATTCACGCTCAGCATTTAACCCATCCCCGCAAGGGGAGCAGTGTGGGGCTTAAGGGTCTTGCTCGGGAACCCAGAGTGCAGGCTGTTGGAATTGAACCGGGTACTTCAGCCTTCTTTTAGTTCTCAGGCTCCTCTCCTGTGGAACCAACTACCAGTTTTAGTCCGTGAGGCAGACACCCTGTCTACTTTTAAGGCTAGGCTTAAAACTTTCCTTTTTGATAAAGCTTCTAGTTAGAGTGGCTCAGGTTATCCTGAGCTATCTCTATAGTTCTGCTGCTATAGGCTTAGACTGCTGGAGGACATAGGGACCCCTTTTTCATCAGTCTGCTTCATTCTATCTCTATTCTCCCACTCTGCAGAATCTGTTAGTTCAATCTCTAACGTTCTGCTCTCTCTGCTTTTTCTCATAGTAGCTTCATCTGGTCTGTTCCTGTTTGGCTGTGACTCCATCCTGGAGAGAAATATCAGCTGTGCTGCTGCCATCAACACCTTTGTTTATAGAGATAGCACAGAACTATTCATTCATCTGTGTCCCCAGTGACGTCCCACTGAATGAAAAGGAATTTATTTCAGACTATTTCACAAACGACAATAAGTGATTAGAAAAAATAAAAAATACAGGTTCTCAAAATGCTAGAATATTTTTATTAGAGAATAAAAATATTTTATGAGATAAATGATATATTATATCACCTTTTCTTCTTGTTTTCCTCTCTATGTTTTGTACTCAGCTGACTTTTCATGCTGTCTCTAAAGGAATGAAAGATTTTTTCCAAGCACTAAGCTCACTTAGCTGATTGCTCCTTCCTGTGTTTCCAAAAAGGCCAAAGTAAATAACCCAGTCCTTCTTTTCACTGTAGACAAGCCATGATCTGCTTATCTGTTCTCCATTTTTCATTTGGATGAAATAATAGCTGCATGAATCATGACAGCAGACAAGATAGAGGAGAGCAGGAGGCGGAGTTACCAATCTACTCGCTCTGGAGAGCAGAGTTCGCTGCTTTTAGATGTTGTCTCCAAAGTCTCCAGTAGCAGAAAAAAGTCGCTAGATTTGGCGCTAGGAGCTTTTTAGAAATCAAAGTGCTAGAGGGGTCTGAAAAGTGGCTAAATATAGCGACTAAAGCGCTAAGTTGGCAACACTGCTCTTTGCATGGTTTGTTTTCAAATGGTTTGCTGCTGTCTGTTTGGACCTTTCTGAACATGTGCAGCAAATGGACTGATCCAATATGGTGGACACTGAAGGAAGGGGGCTGAGACACACTTAATATTATCAGCGTTCTGATGGCATTTTAGTGAAAGGATTTTTATCAAAAACATAATTAATGTGCACAAGTAAGGAATAGTTGTATCAACCAAACATGTAAACAGAGTTTTATGGGCCCCCAGGAACTGTCAGAGTCTTGGTTTGTTAGTTCCTGTTTTTCTTGGTTTTTCCATTTGTTGTCCTCTGCTGCCCTCTTGTGTCCTCTTTCCCTTGCTCTGTTTTCTGCTCTGTTCTCACCTGTTTTCAATCCCCTCGTTAGCCCTCTCTTTGTCTCTGTCCCCTTTAAAAGCCCTCCCTCTTCAGTTCCTGTTGCTGGATCCTCGTCTAACATCTGCCTGCCTTCCTCATCTCTCCCTGGCTCCTAGAGTTTTTGGTTTACCCCTGATGTCTCCTTGGTTCTGGTACGTTTGGTATTTTCTGTTGGATTTTTGTGAACCTTAATAAACCCACTTAAATTCACCTCTGCCTACTGGTCTCTGCATTTGGGTTCGCCAAACAAACACCGTTTCCTGACAGGAACTTTTGCCCCCCCCTTCCCCGGTTAACCTTGTATCAGTAAGATGTTATAAAAATAATGTATTCTTTGTATTTTGTTATATTCTAATTTTATTATAAATGAATAATATCAGGCAGATGGTTTAATTTTTTACTGACCTAAAACCAGATAAACTTTTCTATAATATTTAAATCCATTCAGGTTGTTTCTCACCTGTATAGAAGACGCTGGTAGCCAAAGGTGACGCAAAGCTTTGGTCCAGCAGCAGTTTGCGGAAAACCATCCCTGCGGATTTCCCAGGAAAACGTTTCTCCAGAGCGCGCAGCCAGAAGTAGTTAAAGTTCCCCTGGAAGGTGATGGCCACGATGGCCACATTGCGCGTGTGTTTCCAGTCGATGCGCTCCCTCTGCGCGATGAGCTGGTGCGCCAGGTCCCCGCCGGCAAACAGGCAGCCGTACAGGGTGACGTTGGCCACCCAGGGGAAGCGCTTTGCGGCTTCTTTAAGAACCGTCCTCCTCATTTTAGGCACCGGCGGAGGGACAAACGGTGACGCTTTCTTTACTTTTTTTTTTCAGTTCAGCCAAAAAGACGCAAACATAGCAGAAAAATTCATCCAGTGAGGCCGCGACGTCCCCGGCTGGCTGTCAGGGCGCAATCCATCTTTGCGTGGGAATCTGGGAGGATTAAAGCTGAGGTTTCCACCGGAAGCAGGAATATTATTCATTATCAGATTGGAGAAAACTGATGACAAACTCACACCTTTACCAGCCGCACATCATCTGAGAACAATTCATCCAGAGTATCTGCGTAAAACCATCCAAACTGGATCCCTCTGTATTAAACCTCACAGGAAAATATTAAATCTAAGTAATAAATCTCCCAAAAATAAAAATCGCTTTATGCTGGAATCTACCGGGAGGATAAAATAACCCCACACCTTCTGCTTCTGGTCGGTTTCCGGTGGAGGCAGGTGCATCTCCTGAAACAAATCCTGTAGGTCAGCCTGTAATCTGAGGGATTGTCCCGGTCCATTCAGGGAACCGTTTTACTGCGTCACCAGGATCAGCTTGCATGTGCGGAGCTTTGAGCCTGAAGGCGAGCTCAGGTCAGAGGCGCACAGGAGCGCAGCAGGAAAGCCATTCAGTTTCTGAGGATTCATTATCCATAACATCCGGTTAAAATGCATAAATCCATGTGTTATAAAAACTAAGTTATTTATATTTTCTAGTATTTTAAAGAAATACAAACATATAATAGATGCTGCTTCATTCATAGGTGGCATCTGAGGTCAGGATTGGCTGAGGATTCACAGGTGTGGCTCATAGGTGGAGGCTTAATAGGGTTCTGCTGTCAGCATTTCAACACTGGAGTGTTAACCACTGTGGTATGCTTCTAGCAAGCCTTAAAGTCTTAGTGAAATCATATTTAAATTTCAAATCATTCTGGCTTAAATATTTATATAAATGTTCTCTTTATCAGACCATATTGTCCCAAAAGTTAGAAAATTTCTAATTTGAAAAAATCCTGTATTAAAATCTGTGTTTTTTCCCCCCGTTATCTTCTGCAGGCCAGTTAGTTCTACAACAGCCTGAACACCTAAATTCGGCCAATCATATATCAACGGTCATCTGTCAATAACATTTTTTCAGTCATAGCATCTTGATTTATGTGTCGCAGCTAATATACGCAACGGTTAAAATCAGAATCCTTTCCTTTCCCATTGAGTTGCGTCCCAGTGTTCACGGGGATGGACGTCTGTGTCTTCGGCAGGCGTAGAGCTAACAGAACTGGCAGCGTTGCGAGGCAAGGGCTCAAACATGTACGGCTGGAAGCCTTCTACACCAAACCAAGCTTCTGCCGCCCTGGCGTCCTCTTCCACAACATCTTCGTCCCCGCTTTCCTCCTCTAAATAAAAAATGGATGACACTAAACTCTCCTCCTGATGTTGGAGCTTGGCCTGTTTTCCAGTGTAGTCCTGTTTCTCTGACTGTGACTAACTGGATGTGCTCTCTTCATCCTCTGACATGGGAGCTGGCTCGGAGCTCGTCTGCCTGGCTGTGTGTTTCCTGGACGGGGCCACCTTTTACAGTTGCCTTTTGTATCTATGCTTCTTTTTCTATGTCTGCTTCTGTCTCCTTGAACCCCAGTGGGCCTCAGCAGATGGCCGCTCACACTGAGCCTGGTTCTGCTGGAGGTTTCTTCCTGTTTTTCCTCTCCACTGTCGCTACAAGCATGCTTAGTGTGAGGGATTGCTGAAGAGTCAATGAGTCGATGCAATCAGCTGGTTTTCCTTAGATAGAAAAAACTGAATTGAATTATATAATCAATAAGGCCAAGAAGTATCTTTCTTTTTTAGAAACCTAAGAAGGAACCAACTCCTTCCACCTCTAATGAAAAACATCTGACAGCGTCCTGACTGGTGGACGTATAGCCATGCCTGCTGCACTGCATCCAAGAAGAAACCAGAGCAGGGAATCATGGCTCCCCGCTGTCAAATAGAGGATATTACTCTCTTTGGGCAAGGAGGATCCGGAACAATGCTCTCTTTTTACCAGCCTTCCCTGAGGCAGACTCAGGGCCAAAGGAGCGTGCACCAGCACCAGCGGACCCAAACACAGCTCTTTCCCAACAGTGGTGAAAAACAAACTGCTGCACCACAACCTCAAAGTCTGAGATATGGATTACTGCACACTTGTTTTGCACTAATCTTAACACAGACCATTTATTTATCTTTTTTAAATTGTATCTGACTAAAAAAAAGGGATGCTTCCAAAAAACATTTTGTTTTATGCTGTACATTGATGACAATAAAACTTATTTTTCTTTTCATTTTCCCATGATGCAACAGAAAAATCCCTTTTTGAGCCAATGCCATAAGAAACAGACACAGCAGTGACTCTGTAAAAACAGCTGCGTTAGTACTGGTCTAACTTGTGTCCTTGCAGAAAATAAAGAGTTGACCTCTCATCATTCTGGCATTTAGCAGTTAGTATTTTTGGTCACTCGTTATTAGAGAACACCAGAGAAAAAATCAGGATCATGAAGAAGAAGGAGGAACCCTGCAGACGCATCGTGTTGAAGTTCTTTAAAAACTGTTTAGACTAAAATATAGTTAGGTTAAAATGACATAGTCAATGATGTAATCTAATTAAAACTTGTGGTAGGACTTTACATTTGTTGCTTATGGACGCTCTCCAATCCAGCTTACATCTCAAGACAGCACAGAGGGAAGACCTGCTGCTGCAAAACAGGACAAAACATGTTTTTGTGTTGGGATGGGGGGGTTGCGACAGAAGGAATGCAAATAAACACTGCGGATGTTTTAATGTTTATGATTTTTCTATGAAAGCCTACATCGATTTTCTTTATTTTGATTGATAGATGTGTGAATCTAACCTGCAAAAAAAGAACTAAACCCACAGCAAACCGCTAGAGGTCGCTGCTTCCCACAGAATCACAGCTGAGCTTTGAGGAAGTTCTCTGTTTACTAAACACTTTCAGCCATAAAGCAATTTAAAACACACATTTAACAGATTACTGCTTAGAAGGTCATCAAAATAACAAACAATGCATCCCTTTGTATACATTTTTATATATGTATTTTACTGCAATATAAAACAGGTTTAGCTGTCACTAGGTTTGAATTTCAGTTTTAATCATTCCTTTGAGCTGACAGTAAAAACAGGTCTTTCCAGTAATTTTATTCCACATAAACGGGTGGAAAAAGGTGACATTCTGGAGGAATTCTATTGCACGCATAAAGGTGCACCTGCCATGACTGCACTTTTTGGTTCTGTTTAATTTTTCTTTATAGTTTTCGGTTATACTTTTTATTCTTGTCTTTCTGTGTTTTTGAGTTCATTGGGTTCATTTACATTTTGTGTTATTCTAGTTGTTTTTAGTTATATTTTTGTGTGCTTTGTATTTCTTCAGTTACTCTCTGTTGCCCCCTTGTGTTTGTTTCCTTTCCCCTTGGCTCCCTTCTAGCTGCTTCCATCCACTCCTGCTCCCAATCAGCTCATTAGTCCATTCTTTGTTCTGTCTCCCATATATACTCTCCCTGTGCAGTTCCTCAGGGCTGGTTCCTCATCTTTCCTTGGCTCCTCATGTGTGTTTTCCCTGATGTCCGCTAGATCCTGACTTTCTGTGTTTGTATTTTGGATATTTTTGCCTCATTAAACCTGCAAGACTCACCTCTGCCTCCTGGTCTCTGCATTTGGCTCCTCAAACACCTCCACCCAAACGTGACAGCACCCTGAGTGCACTAAGGAGTGTTATCAAAGGTCCTCCCTTCCACCAGTTAGTAGACTTAAAGGAAAAGTTCAGTCAGCACGGAATAATCAACGGATCATTACCTAAAACGAATATGTTCACAGTGATTTAATGAATTTAGAGTTAATCAGTAAAAAAATCAAAACAATAATTTTCGTTGCGATCACTGAGTTCAGTAGCCCCTCCCTCCCGCCATCTTCCAGCAGTGACGTCACGGTGCGGTAAGCCTAGCGCCATTCTCCCCGCTTTCCAAGCTAAATCAATGGGAACTACTAGACACATCTGCAATCAACAACAATTATTGAAGATTTCCAGAGGACTTCACCATTGAAATTCACCAGAGCTATAGTGAAACTGACAATGCCCACGTGCATGGCAGCTGGATGCTGGAATACATCGGGGAAAAGTGGAAAAAAAGAGTTATTCCACCTTTCTGATTCCTGATCCTCCACGGACGAGTTGGTCGTTGGATCGCCAACTTGAAGAGGGAGGATTTGCCATCGAACTTCTGGCCAGAGAAAAAACCCGTAATATGTAGCCGACATTTGGAAGAATGTTTTCAAGATGACTTGGATAATAGCGCGTTGTGAAAAACACAAGATACAGCACTGGGACTTGATCAACAGCCGATACCGCACCGTGACGTCACTAACCAGTAGGTGGCAGTAGTGTTCTTTGACAAACATGGATGCCTCCAGTAAAACACATTCACATGAAAATTACTCTGAATTAAAAACACTTTTTATTGAACAGATTGTAATAATTTCATATTTAAAGTACTTTCAGAAGTTTGAATTATTTTCCTTTAATATCCATATCTGCCACCAGCAAACACAATATTAACACTCCTACTGTTATTTGCAAATATTATGATGTTTTTAATTTGTTTTTAATCTCTTAAAATACATTATGCATGTTTTTTTTAATTTGTTGTGAATTCGCAGTTGCTGAGCAACATTTTATTTTTTATTATTGTATAATAATGCTTCTATTCGCCTTTCACTTTGCTGCTGATTTTCCCACTTTAGGATAATTAAGGTATTTATATTCTACTTCATTTTATTGTTCATATAAAATTGCTTTTTGTTGATATTTTCCTTATATTTTCATATGACTAAATAAAAAAATATATATTATATTCTGAGGTAAAGCATCGAAAATAGATTTGGCCATTCATCAAATTATTTCGTCAGCTCAAGTCTTCTCACAAGGACCGTTTCTTTAGGGCGGGCCAAAAGCGCTACCTCGTAATCCAATTGGCTGAGCGTTGGTGTCACTTTGCAGGATCTGCGTCCTGATTGGCTGTTTACCTTAAAGTCTCGGAAGTGTCACTTTTAGCTAAAGTTTGGCATTTGCGGCTCAGCGGCAGCGGCTCCGAACGGACCTGTGACATTTAAGATTAAATGGCGGCCATTAAGCACTGAGACAGGTTTGTTTTAGACATTTTTCTTTGTTTTAAACCAAAGCGTATCATTGTAGTTGTTGTTTTTTTTTCTCTCTCCGTGGTTGATGGAGCTGTTGTTCTTGTTCTTTCAGCCATGAGTCGATTTTCATTGTCTTTTTGCCCTAAACAAGCTAACCAAGGCTCTACATCTGACCTAGAAACTTACGAAAAACTTTATGTGATAGATATTTAAAGTGTGGGGTACCACTTATTTAGAATAACTGTTTTCCTGTAATCTTATTTTGAACTGAAAGATCTCAACTTTTTATCGAGCACGGTGCTGAAGTTGGTATGTGATTGATTGCTTCCGATAGTGCTGCTGAATAAAGGGCAATTTCACCATTTTTAAAGAAATCAGAATCTGCTTTAGATCACAGGTCAAATCTGGAATAGATGTTTAAAACTGCACACATGTTCTTTAATAATATATTTATTAGCGGTTACATGCATTTTAGTGCCTTAGATCACATTGAAAAGCTGATGCTTTGGAGCTTCAATTCTATTCAGTTTATTTCTATAGCACCAATTCACATCATGTCATCTCAGGTCACTTTCCAGTTCACCAGATCATCCAGTCAGATTGATTCAAAGTTTTCTATCTATGGAAAACCAGCTGATTGCATCGACTCATTGACTCTTCAGCAATCCCTCACACTAAGCATGCTTGTAGCGACAGTGGAGAGGAAAAACTCCCTTTGAACAGGAAGATACCTCCAGCAGAACCAGGCTCAGTGTGAGCGGCCATCTGCTGAGGCCCACTGGGGTTCAAGGAGACAGAAGCAGACATAGAAAAAGAAGCATAGATACAAAAGGCAACTGTCAACCAGCTCCACAGGCGGCCCCGTCCAGGAAACACACAGCCAGGCAGACGAGCTCCGAGCCAGCTCCCATGTCAGAGGATGAAGAGAGCACATCCAGTTAGTCACAGTCAGAGAAACAGGACTACACTGGAAAACAGGCCAAGCTCCAGCATCTAGAAACAAAGGTGTTGATGGCAGCAGCACAGCTGATATTTCTCTCAGCTACAGTGTTTCTGATCATTAGTATTTTCTAAAACTACTAAAACAAGATTATTTAAATAAGGGTTTGTGTCATGGGGACAGTTTCAGGCTTAAAGTTGCAGTTTTCAATCTGAAATCAATGCTGTCAAGTTCCCAAATACATTAAATACAGTATCATATACAGCTAAATACCATCTGTGTTTATAATAACTTTGACTTGAGTAATGAATAGCATTAAGATCACTATTTCTATTCTAAATAAGTGCTCTAATGTTTCTGAAACTGTTTTAAAGTATCTCTGTTGTTTAGAGATGCCTAAGCACAATACAGACCTGATAATATGAATAAATATCAATATTGTCGCATCTGTTGCAGTAAAAGTTTAGCAATAATGGATTTTTTAGAATAAACCAGCAGGTTTTGAATTGACTTTAAGTTTTTATTATTGTTCCATACTTGATTATTGATCAACAAAAAATTAAAACTGCATTAAAGTATAATTGGCAGCTTTAAAAAAAGTTTAGTTAGTTTTTAAATCATCAAGATAAACTAGATTTTAACTAAAGTTTAGGTTTCTAAACAGATGCAGCTCTTTGCTCAGATGCCAACTTCAGATCAGCTTGTTCCTCCGGTTGTTTTTTACGTCGCCTCTTATGAATCATTTTGTTGGTTTCCCTACAGAATGTGAGCCAAATGTTTCTAAACATTTTATTTATTTAAAATCAAAGTTGTTTTTTGTATTAAGAGATGCCACAGTTTGTAAATACCGGAGGAAACATTAAAAGGCTCGTTTTTCTTATGGAGTTCTGTTCTCTGGGTTCAACAAAAAGGCACCTCCTATTGCATTCTTGCTATAAATGAAATAATGCTGATTTATTATGGTGGATGTGAGCGGTGGGTGGAGGGTTAACTTAACAAATGGCTGAAAAACACGGAAGTCGACCTGATCGAGTTTAGACATGTTCTGTTTCTGTCGTCTGGTTTCGTCATTGCAGTAATAATAATTGTGAGAGTTTGCAGCAGAGTGCCTGTCATAACTTTCCCGTTAGTCAGAGGATGTGTTGCAGGAGGTTTCTGAGACCAAAACAATCTTTAACTGCAGTGCATCGGCAGTTTGTGAGTGATTTAGCAGTTTGAATGCGCTGTTAGGGGGGAAAAGAGCCGCTAATAGATAAATGGTGAAATTCCCAGCAGGCCGTCGTCTTCCCGCAGCTTTTAGTTGTATCCTCTACATGTTTTGGTTGTAAGCTCATAATTCAAACAGCCTATCGGAGCTGAGAAAACAGGGCAGCAGGGATCCGCTTCATTCAGGCTGACCTAAATACTCTGAATCTTTTACTGGGACATCGACTCTGACGGCGTGAAGCAGAAATCCAGTTGTTTCTTGTCACGCTTCCAATGAGGAGCAGCCTGCAGCAACCGGCTGGGAGTTTGGATCTTCTCTGCTCTTGTTCTGCTGCTCCTGAACGACCTCTGTCAGGAGAGAGAGGCCACGTTACAGCAGTGGGTGTTGTTTATGTCGCAGCCACTGAGCCAGCGACTGCATGCCTGCATATATCGCCCCGTATTTGCATTCATGTCAGTGTAAACTCAGATACGGAGGAGTTATCCAAATCTGTGTGCGACGCCTCATTTAGTTTTACCCCGTCAATCGTTTTTTTTTAAACATTACAACGATAAACTCCTTCCTCAGACAAACTTTAGGTGTTTAAACCAGGTGGTTGATGTAAAGTTTCTCTTATTTATCTGGATATCAAAAAAATGGGATGAAAGTGAGAGGAAAATATAAGGACTGTGTGAGCTATCTGCTCTCAGTCTAACCCAGAAATAGTCCATCCCCTGTCAGGAACTGGCTTTAAAGTCTTAGAGAAATCATATTTAAATTTCAAATCATTCTGTTTTAAACATATAAATGTACTCTTTATCAGACCATATCGTCCCAAAAAAATTCTGTCTTAAAATCTGGGTTTTTTTTCCGTTATCTTCTGCAGGCCAGTTAGTTCTACGTCAGCCTGAACACCTAAATTCAGCCAATCATATATCAACGATCATCTATCAATCAAATGTTTTCGGTCATAGCATCTAGATTCATGTGTCGCAGCTAATATACGCAACGGTTGAAATCAGAATCCTTTCCCATTGAGTTGCGTCCCAGTGTTCACGGGGATGGACGTCTGTGTCTTCGGCAGGCGTAGAGCTAACAGAACTGGCAGCGTTGCGAGGCAAGGGCTCAAACATGTACGGCTGGAAGCCTTCTACACCAAACCAAGCTTCTGCCGCCCTGGCGTCCTCTACCACAACATCTTCGTCCCCGCTTTCCTCCTCTAAATAAAAAATGGATGACGGAGGAGACTCATCCACGACCTCCGACACTAAACTCTCCTCCTCTTGCATGTTTCCTCTGTCCATAGCGTTCCTTGACAGCGTTGTTTCTAAGTCACCAATTTAGTGCTACTTGGTCCCAATGGAATTTCCCATTGGGAACCTGCTAGCACTAAGTTGCTAACTGGTTAGCAAGATGCTCCCCACAAACCGTCCACAACCAAACTTGCTTGTGAACCTTGCTCCACAACAATCCCGCCCCCTTGATAAACGACCAATCACATTCACTTTATTCACTCATGTAAAGTCGGGCACCACTCGGGAGAATTCGGAAATGCAACGGTTGGAACGGCCGCTTCCCTACGGCTTTAATGATAAATTGATTATTGTTTATGTTTTTACAGCAATAGTCGTTTGTTTTTTCTTTGTTTGTTGTTTTTTGGACAGTAGGCTGACAGGAAAGGGGGTATGAGAGAGGAACAGAGACATGCGGCAAAGGACCACAGGCCGGATTTGAATCCGGGTTGGCCGCGTTGAGTAATCACGATTACCGTATTTTTCATATACACGTCGCTCTGGAGTTTAAGTCGCATCAGCCAAACAATGCATTATGAAGAAAAAAAACGAATGTACGTCGCACCGGATTAAACGTTGTACCTTTTTGAAAGGTTATTCTATCCATGGAATCTGTGTTCTGATAACGCGTGGTAGGCTACTGCTGGAAGAACGCATTATTTTATTTTATGAACAAGCATCTGAGAAGCAGTGATAACGCGCCAGTCGTACAGTTGAAAGGCCTCGACCCGCAGCGCGCTGTTCGAGGACCCATTTGGGCCTTTAGCCCTTTGTTAGCTTTTTTTTGTCTTTTTCATAACCTTTAACTTTTCCTTCGCTTTTCTCCAGTCCCTTACCAGTTTTTCAGCTGCTCTATTGCCATTTTTGACTAAATACTTTCAGCTTGAATTCAACAGTATATCAGTTTCTTTTGGGTGGCATATTTCTATTCAGTCGTTGTTTTCATGCTAATTTGTTTTTTGTTCTGATAAGTTGGAACGTTTTTTCTTTCAGTGGTTTTAATAGAATACATGTTGTCGCGTGCAAAGCTACATAGCGCCCTCTCGTGGTGGAAAAAAACGTATATATGTCGCACCAGAGTATAAGTCGCATGGCCAGCCAAACCATGGAAAAAAAAGTGCTACTTATAGTCCGAAATATACGGTAATCCGATTAATCAGATTAATTGCTTCAGCCCTAAATATTATGCTAATGAGACAAAAGCTAACCTTTATCGTCCCTTAAGGGAAAATATTAGAAATATAGTTTGGACCTATTTTAATGTTTTCAGGCAGCAGAGTTCCCCAGATAAAATTTTTTTTTTTTAAATCTAAAAAATAAATAATGAAATGAATCTGCAAGATAAAAGCAACTTTCCGCAGTTCAGTAGAAAACCTTCCTACCATCCTCTGCATAGTTTACATATTTTATTACGGGGAGAGATGAAAGTAAGAAAAAATTATAGTTTTTGTTGTGTTTTCCTTAAATTAGTCATTTATACTCGCCATTAATTGTCTGTTTAATCAGCATGAGGTCATAGACTAACTGTAGAGTTTCAGAATAAAAGCCGATTATTCTTTTCATTCACGCTTTTTTTAAAAGATTGCAATTCGTAAAACTCAGTCTGAAAAACTGAAATAAAAAAATCTTTGAAGATATAGAATCAGTTAAAAAACGTGTTAAAAATAAATAAGTTGAAAATATAAAATCTCTAAAAACATAAAATAAAATATAAGATTTTGAATAAAAAAATTGAGAAAACAGTAAATTTACCTTCAAACCTTTTTTTATGATAAAAAAAAGTACATTTATTTTTAAATTTCCATTTACAAAATGTTTTCCTAGCTTGCGACAATATTTGGACCAAACTTGGTTCCATAATCCCAGGATGCTCTGCTGGATGGAGATGCGGGGACCGTGAGATGGTCGTCCAGGAGGAAGCGGCCATCTCTGGTCATTGATGGGGGGGGCGTGGTCAGCAACGGCCCGTCTCTGCAGGAGATTTCTCTCTCTGAAAACGGCAGAAGCTCGATGCCTGCTGGCGACTTCCTCTTCAGATGCTGTGAAGGAAGCGAGGGGCCGACCGCAGAGCAGCGGCGGCGCTTTCACTTCAGGCGACGTGAAAACAGCACAAGAGACGATGAAACGGTTCAAAGCTGCTGTTGCTGCTGCGAAAAAACGCAAAAACCACGACGTTTTCCATCACTTTACAGACTGATGGGCTTTTTATAATCAGAAATGCATCTAATTTATCTTTTCCTGGTTTAAAATCAGAGTCTGAATCCTGAGAATCAGGCTGGCAGGTGGAGAAAAGGGTTTAATGATAACTGGAAGGTTTTAGGTTAAAAACATTAAAGAATCCATTTTTTTTTCTTTTGCTCCGTCCAACAATGCATAGATGGATAAACACGGATGGATCGTCTGGTTTATTTCAGTGCAGATTAGCTTCTTATTTCCACTAAATATTTGCACTTTTATAGCTTTGTGTAAATCTGTTAGTTTTTTTAAATGGTTCAAATATTTGTTTGTAAAACTGTCCTGGCCGATGTTTGCCAGGCTGCCTTTGCTTTCCTCTCTGCTCATAATGCTGAGTCGCTTTCCTTCAGACTTTAAAGATATAAAGCAGCTGTTGACGTTGCTTTGTTCCATGTGTTATCGTTTCCCGCCCAGCCGGTAGCTTTGACATCGATGCGCAGCCAAAACAACCAAATAGACTCGAGGTTATTTCTGTGACATTTGATTATCTTTTAAAGGCGGAAATTCACTAATCTGTACAGTTGTGTCCCAGAGAGGAAAGTCGGTGAAATGGATTCAGCGCAGAGGTACCTGCTGCTGCCATGTTGGACGGATTCTTTACCTAATAGGGAGGTTTGTAGTTGTGTGGTTAAAACCAGGAAGTGAGATTTTTTTTTTCCGGTAGACGGCTGTGAAAATGTTCTACAGGTTGTTGTCGTCTGTTTTTTTGTTTTGTTTTTTTAGCTTCTATTGTAGCAAAAGCAGAAAACCAGCAGGTGCTCTGATTATCATTTGTATGGAGTGAACATTGCTCCATTAATTTTGTAAACAAAGAGCATATTTTGTAAACGGGAATTAAAAACTGAAAAAAAAAATGCAAATCCAGAAATGAAATTTTTGAAAAAAGTTTTAATTGAAAATTAACTTTACTTTGTTTTATTAGATTTTATTTTTTACACTATTATATTTGTCATAATTGTCAAATGTCTCTCTCTCTCAGATTTATAGGTATTATCTTTGAAAATCTATATTTTTGATCAAATTGTTGCATTTAAGCACTTTCATTTCTTAGTGTTATTTTTTAAACCATATTTAATATTATATTAATTGCTTTTTATTGGTATTATTATATCATGGGAGTGGCGGCCTAGTGGTTAGGGCATAGAGCTTGAAATACTGAGGGTCTGAGTTTGAGCCCCACTCCCACAGACTGACACTCTGGGTCCCTGAGGAAAGAGCCCCCACACTGCTCCCCAGGAGCCACACAGTGGCAGTCCACTGCTCCCCTAGGGGAGGGGTTAAATGCAGAGGTTAACTTCACTGCTCTGTACTTGTGGCAGAGAATTGTCAATAAAACCAGGGAATAAAAAAGCAGAAATTATTAATGCGATGTTGGCTGATGGTTAGAGTTCTGGTGAAGATTGTCATCAGGTCATTGTCAGTCCTAAAAAAAAGTAAAAATATATCATTGCATCCTCATTGCATCCCTTTACAGAGCACCAAACCACCTCACCTGTTGCAGAGACATAGACAGGTATGGGGCATTGCAGGCTAACAAAGAAGCCAAACTACTCCCATTCCAGGGGGGGGGGGAGCCGTTCTTCTGGTTCTATTTGCATGTTTTCTAAACCAAAACAAGGCTTTGTTTTTGGTCCACTCTATAAAGCCTCGAACTCAACATGGCGACTACAGTCTGTCAATATCACTCACACCCCCCCACCATGCTCCTGTGTTTACATCTGAGAGGAAGAAGAAGAAAAAGAAGAATCCTTGTTTGCACACTGAGCGATTTGCCCAGGACCACCTTATGATGGCCGACTGAATTTCAAACATGTTTAATTTTCTCCCGACCTCACCGTTCCTGATGGGGTGGTGGTCGTTAGCGGCTCATCGCCCCTCGTTACCCCCTGTACACTATACCACGCACCATCAGGCTGAAAGTCGGCCCAAAAAATTCTCACATGGCTGGAAAGTAGAGCATGAAACAGGCCTTGAAAGTCAGCCCGAAACCGACCCGAGTCCGAAAGAACCAGGCCCGTGCCCGGCCCGGCCCGTTATGATTGACAGCTTCGTAGAGCCCGACCCATTTGCAGCCCGACATTTTTCAATTGTGCGCATTAAGGGTTAATCTCCGTTTCACTTCTGTATCATCCATTTTGCAATCATCGCGTATAGATCGAACGTTATCACATGATCATTTATTTGCCGCGCATATAACGTTTTAAAGCCCGAGCCCGGCCCGGCCCGAATGAAATAATAAAAAGTACAGCCCGAACCCGGCAGGACCTCTCGGGTCCCGTCGGGTTCGGGCTAATATTCCCTGCTCTACTGGAACGTCTGCCTGAAAAGGGAATAAAATCATACAGCATACAATCATTTTGACTATAATCTCTTTTTTTTTAACATTCTTTATTTAAGATTATTAGGAATCCAGAACATATACATATGTATATTTATGCATGTACTTACATAAAGAAAAACAAAACAAAAAACAAACAAACAAACAAACAAAAAAAACGGGGGGGGTCTCCGCAAACACTTAAGTCCATTTTGGCAATTGACATTTAGAGGTTCTCATCGGCTCACATGAAAGAGAAATGTTTATATCCAGTGTCTTTCATTAAAAGAGAGAGACATGTCAAGGGGATTAGCAGTTTTAGCATCTTTATCAAAGTGGCCATCCAAAGTGGGAAATAGCTGGGGTCCAAACACTCAGAAAAATGTCCATTTTTACATGAAGTTTTGCTGTTATCTTTTCCATGATATACACATTCTTCAATCTGTCTTGCCACTGTTGAAGGGTGGGAGGCAAAGGCTTGAGCCAAGACAAAGTTATCATTTTTCTTGCTACTAGTAGCAGAATCTGTAGTAACTGGACTTCCTTTTTCCCAATATCATCTCCTGGGGTCAAACCCAGTATATAATGCAGTGGGTTCAGTGGTAACGTAAACTTGAGTATATTTTTAATTTCTGTCTGAACCCCCTGCCAGAATGGAATCAGTACTGGGCAGTCCCAAAAAATGTGAGTGTGATCCCCAATCTGATTGCAATTCCTCCAACACACATTTGTAGCATTTCTGTCGTATTTTGAAATACTGAAAGGTGTTTTGAAGAATCTCATTTTTAATTTCCAGTCCAATTCTTTCCAATTTGGACTGTGGGTGATCTTAAAACCTTTCTCACAAATCTCCTCCCACTCCTCATCTTCAATAACAATATTCATTTCTAGTTCCCACTATTGCTTTATGTCTATAGAGCTGTCAGAGAAATGCATTTGTAAATGTTTATATAGATTAGATATGATCTTCCTCTTATTATTTTCCTCCACACATTTTATCAAAAATATTTCCAAAGGTGAAGTATTTTGTTTCAATTTAGGCCATTCTTTATGTGATAGAAGATAATCTCTTAATTGTAAATACTTATAGAAATCTTTTGAGCATAATCCATATTTGTCCTGTAATTGCTTAAATGTCTTAATATTTTCTCCACTGAATAACTGATTAATTCTTATTAATCCTTTCTGAGCCCGACTATAATCTGTTTAATTGTAAAGTGCCTTGAGATGACGTGTTGTGAATTGGTGCCATAGAAATAAACTAAATTAAATTAAATTGGGGAAAAAAGAAACAACTTTATCGGCGTCATCAGAACCAGATCCTAATTTCCGCTCCGCGTATTGGATCGGTGCGTTTCTATTCGGTGAGCAGGTCGTATTGACTTTCCCTTTTAGTGAATGAGCTGTAGTGATATGTTAAATGTTTATTTTTTGGTCCTGCTGTATCGCCTGTCCTTTGTTATGACTGAATTCATATCCTTTCATCAGAGACACAACAGAGATGTTAGAATGCAGTGAATATGAAACCGGTTCTGCAGGACATGATAGCCGCCGTCTGACATTATGCTGCTATCATTTTACACATGTTTGCTTTCAGGTTTTGTTTTGGTTTGTTTTAAATGACAATCTGTGCTGCTGGTGTCAGGGGGCGGCAGGATGTCTGTGGAGGTGGACCTGCTGCTGCAGGAGGCGAAGGAGAGCATCGAGGCGGCCCAGAACTACCGCAGCGAGCTCCAGCAGCGTCTGCACGGCCTCAACCAGGCGCGCAAACAGGTACCCGCTGCCGCCCTTCACCCTTTCTCTGCGTTACGCTTCTTTTTCTGTCGCCTCACTCAGAGGGACGGCTTAAAGGGGAGCTGCTGACCCAAAATAATCTCAGGGGAGTATATTGGGTCTGCTATCTCTTCCTTCCCCCTGCTGTGTAGATCTACCCGTCCAGCTGCTCACCAATAAACAATGCAGCTATTTCCTGTTTCTGCTCAGCGACTTCTTGCCTCAGAGGAGAGATGGCTGCAGATTTCTGGTCCCAAACACATGAGATAAGGAGGGATAAACAGAGATGGTCCTGTTTGCTGAACCTGAATTTGTTCTTTGTGCTTTAAAATCATATTTCATGTCAAATCATTCTGGCTTAAACATATATATAAATGTACTCTTTATCAGATTTTATTGTCCCAAAAGTTAGAAAATTTCTATAAAAAAAAAAAAAAATCTGTCTTAAAATCTGTGGCGTTTTTTTCTGTTATTTTATGCCGGCCAGACCTAAATTCATCCAATCTTATATTAACGGTCATCTGTCAATCAAATGTTTTTTGTCATAGCATCTTGATTCATATGTCGCAGCTAATATACGCAACGGTTGAAATCAGAATCCTTTCCTTTCCCATTGAGTTGCGTCCCAGTGTTCACGGGGATGGACGTCTGTGTCTTCGGCAGGCGTAGAGCTAACAGAACTGGCAGCGTTGCGAGGCAAGGGCTCAAACATGTACGGCTGGAAGCCTTCTACACCAAACCAAGCTTCTGCCGCCCTGGCGTCCTCTTCCACAACATCTTCGTCCCCGCTTTCCTCCTCTAAATAAAAAATGGATGACGGAGGAGACTCATCCACGACCTCCGACACTAAACTCTCCTCCTCTTGCATGTTTCCTCTGTCCATAGCGTTCCTTGACAGCGTCGTTTCTAAGTCACCAATTTAGTGCTACTTGGTCCCAATGGAATTTCCCATTTGGAACCTGCTAGCACTAAGATGCTAACTGGTTAGCAAGATGCTTCCCACAAACCAGCCACACCAAAAAAGCTTGCGAACCTTCCACCACAACAATCCCGCCCCCTTGATAATTGACCAATCACATTAACTTTATTCACTCGTGTAAAGTCGGGCAGCACTCGGGGGAATTCGGAAATGAAACGGTTTTGGTTTGTTTGTTTTTTAAAACCCAAACCAAGCCCGCTGGTTCAGGTGGACAGATTCCTGAGACAATCAGTTCACTTTCTGGAGGACTGGTGGGGACAGTCCCTACCAATAATTTCCGTGAGTGTTTTCAGTCTGTTTTTTTCCCTTTCTGCCACTGCTCCTGTGTCCCGCCTCTTGGTGTAACATCATCAGATCTGTTGCTCTGAGACATCTGATTTGCAGTCGCATTTCACTGACATAGGAGAGACGCACAGCAGCACTCAGTGATTATTAACTGGTATAAAAACCAGGGAATAAAAAAAGCAGACATTATTAGGGCAATGATGGCTGATGGTTAGAGTTCTGGTGAAGATTCTCAGTCATCCAGGAATCCAGAAGATTCATAGTCATTCCTAAAGTTAAAAAAGCATCATTGCATCCCCCACCCATTTACAGAGGACCAAAACACCTCACCTGTTTCAGCCAGGACAACAATTCCCTCTAACGACCCCCCTTTCAGAGACATAGACAGGTATGGAGCATTGCAGGCTAACAAAACAAGCTAAATGACCCCCATTCCAAAGGGGGGGACCCGTTCATTCGTTTCATTCGAACTAAACGCTATTTCTGACATTTTGAATTGAAAAAACTTCCTAGATGGAAGAGAAACGTCTTTAGACTTAGAAAGAAAGTTCTTTTTTTTTTTTTTTTTTACTTTTTTGGAATGACTACGACCTGGATGAGTGTTTTCACCAGCACTAGTACCAGTTTAGCGTGGTTGGGTTGTGCGTACCATTTACATTTAACAGTTATCTCGGTTAACGCTCGGATCAATGTCAGCACGGTTTCTAAAGTCTAGCGGGGCTTAATGCTGCGTTCACACCGGACGCAGCAGGCGCGGCAGAAGCAGCGAGTTTACATGCAAAGTTAATGGTTGACGCGCGTCAAGCTGCAGCAAAAGGTCCCGCAGCACGTCTGAGCAGCTGAAGCAGCACGTCGGGAGCGTTTAAGCATCTGACGCGCTGCTGCTCCAGATGGAAAAATTAAACTTTTGCTGCTCGACGCGCCGCATCAACCAATCAGAGAAGCTGATCTGGGAGCTGGCAGGGAGAGACACAGATCGCTGATGATACAGAGCGCTGTGATCGCTCCTCTGAAACTGTTTATTAACGTCTAAATTAAATTAAAATGCTGAAACCTGCCGACAGAATATGTTCGATTTTATTATCCTGGTGCCTGCAGTTTGGATTATGTACATGAAAACCGCCTTCCAGCCGCGGCGGCAAACCGCGTGGAGGCGACCCGGCCAGAGGCTGCTGATAATGGGATTCCTACTGACGGCGCACCGCTGGTATGTGGGGGTCTGAGCGGCTCCCACAGAAATAATATTGGAAGGCAGGATGGTAATCTGGATGATCTGACTGCAATGATTAAGTTTTCAGTTGGATTTTCTCACTTTAAAACATATTAAAACTACTTTATTCCCACTGATCACAGCAAATATAGCTGCAAGGCAGAGAAAGGATAGAGTAGCTCCGCCCAACGCGCGTCAGACACAATTTTGCACCGCGCAGCCAGAGCAGCAAAGCTGCTTCAGCCGCGCGTCAGAAGCTGGTACAAGCAGCAAAAATGAAGCAGCAGACGCGATTTTGCTGCTCCTGCTGCATCCGGTGTGAACCTAGCATAAGAGTCTGGAGGCAAAAGATCAGAACTGGTGTAATAAAATAGTTTTCTGTCTGTTAAACTGGTTTATAAGGCCAGTTAGATTTCCTCCTCCACATTAACCAGGGGGACCAGTTTGTTCTGCTGTTAGTTTGTGGATAAAACAGCTAAATGTGTTTGGAGGAAGAACATCAGACTGGAGCAGATGTGTAAAACCTCAGGACTAATGATCCATCTGATCCAGAGCTCTCGTTGATCCCAGTCTCCTCCACCCAGTCCCAGCTGTGCATCATCTTGGACGCTTTTCCTTCCCATAAATCGCAGCTTCAGGCGGCAGGAGTCAAGGAAACACATCAGCGCAGTGAGAGTGGGAGCGAGCAGGAGATAGCAGGATGTTTGAGATCCCAGACAATGCTATCACTGCAGCATCTCAGGGGGAGGAGTCAAAACAGTCAGAAACTATTTCTGCATTGTGTAAAAGCTGATTATTTTCCAACACACCCTCAGAATATTGATCTGTGTTGGTTTTTGCGGCGCCGATGATCCACAGGAAGAGACACGGACACGGCGATGCTCTGCAGCGACCCAGACAGGAGCGCTTTCTGTGTGTTTCCACTCTGGCAGGCACCGCCTTCCTGGTTTATCAGCGCTGCAGCTGTCAATCAACCTTCCGCTTCCTACCTCTCTGTACGCTCATTGTGAAATCCCTTCAGCTCTCTGAGTTCGAGTTAGAGGAACCAAAAAATAGCTTACACTTCAGCTAACTTCCTGTCCAGGTTCCCCATATAGATCTGTGGTTACAGAATGTGTAGTTTGTGCTGTAGTGGCTGATAGGTGACGGAGACGGCCTCTGATCTGGATCCGATTAACGTATCCGATGAATAATCTGCTTCTCAAACATTAGAGACAGAAAGGTAGCCGTCAGCTGCTGCTGATTAAATAAAACCTGTCAGAAACCCGAACGCATATCAATATACGATCAACCAAGCTAGGAATATTTCATAGGGTGGACACAATCACTGGAAAATGTTTAAATTTAGACTCTGAAATGTTATATCCTGCATTTTGAGGTGGAATGCAGATAATTTTTTCTTTGTTCCAACAAACCGTTTGTCCTGATTATGGGAAGCATGTTTGCTCGACTAGAGGGGGAAATTTCATAAAGAAGACATGAGATAATTTTCAGGGACAATATAATGTTTAATAGGTTAATTCAAACAATCAGAAAGTCTTAAGGGCTGGTGCAGATATTTTTGATTTATGCCCGATATTGAAGCGTGGTCTGCGCTCTTATTCCACGCCACAACGCCAGAGGGACCATCAGGAACTAGCTGTGGGTCTAGAGGTGTGGGGGGGAAGTGGAAAAAAGGGCAAGTTTGTGTGACAACGGAGGTACATGAGGGCCAAAAAGAGCAGGGATCCAGGTGGAAAAAGGGTCCCAACACTGGAAAAAAAAACTAAATCTAGGTCATTTTTTCTTAAATTAAGTGAATTTGTTCTTGAATTGAGGAGATAAAATATACATTTTGCCAATGGAATAAAACAGTTTCCATTTAAAATAGGAAAACGCAATTACATTGTCCTATTTCAAGTTCATATTATCGAATTATCTTATTTTAAGAGTAAAACAGGGTTCCCGCTAGCCTGACGTAGTCCGACTCAATTCTAGTCAGAATGAGTCTGATGCTGCTCCATAGAGCTGTGATTATGGGGCGTGTTTCGAACGAACCAGGAAAAAAAATGCCCCTGCACTCAATTGGATAGACCTACAACCAATAAGAGCAACGGAGTGCGTGACGTATGTTAAGCGACGCATAGTTGTTGTCAACAAAAATCAAAGCATGCAGTTGCACGCCTAGAATAAGAAGATGAGCCTTGATCGCGTTTCTCTGTTCCTCTTTTAAAATTAATTTGCTGTCGATATCTTCTAGAACAGACCTAATAGCAGAATCTACTCACCTCAACTCTCCAGCGGCAGCCATTGTTGTTGTCACCCAAGCGCGCATTGGTCACGTGGTTGATTACGTTACTGTTGATCATCTGTCCATCATCGTATAAAGCCCGCCCTGACAATTTGATTGGATCGCCAGAGAGTGGGCGATAATACTCGCGCTACTATGGAGCAATGCCAGACCGAACTTCCCCGAACTCAAACTTTGTGGGCGGGACTAAGTTCGGAATGGCACCCAGGCTAAAGGTTCCCGCAGGTCCTTAAAAAGTCTTAAAAGGCATTGAATTCTTCAAATAAAACTAAGGCCTTAATTGGTATTAAAATGTCTTAAATCAGTCTTTCGTAGGTCTTAATTTTTAAACATCATAAATAGGATTATTTTTATTACGATTTATGTTTGTAATCTAAATAAAACATTAAAATTGACAATTTTTTATTTTATAAAAAAAAATAACGGCTCTCCATTATTGGTTCCGTCCCGATAGCGGAACCAATAAAGCGTTGTTGCGGCCGGGACATTTGGGAGATGCACCATTAACGTTTTGTCTGGAAAATCTGAGCAAGTGTAAATGTAACCAAAATTGTCTCCAGCCAAGAGTTTTCTCCATGGCTAAAACCAGGGAACATACATGAGGCTCAGTGGATTTAGTGCAAGAAGTCATTCAAGCTCAGAACGATGGGAATTAAGGCAGTGGAGTCGCACATGCGAAGCACGAAACACAAAGCGTCAAAATGGAGTTACAGAGAAACAGCCGGTATTTCTCACTTTAGTTCCACCCTTGTCTCTGCAACGCCTCCACTTATCACCAAATCAAACATACTAAGAAAACCATACAAAGAAAAATAGCTGCAAAAAAGACTTAGCACTGGTTATGTTGTGGCTTAAAAACTGATTTGTTTTGTTCCCTGCTAAAACACAGTTTGTGAATTCAGTTAAATAATTGTTAAAATATATCTGTCATTTGTGTGTTTTTAGCTTTCTTCCTGTATGGGAAGCTTTTCAACATTTGAAACATTAGTGCAGTGGTTTATGTTAAAATAAACCTTTGGGTTAAGTTGATGCAAGCAGGGTTTTTTTTGTGTTTCTTGTGAATTTGGTCTTAAATTTTTATTTCAAGTGGCATTAAAAAGTCTTAAAAAGTCTTGAATTTAAGTTGCCTTATGCTGTAGGAACCCTGTAATAATACTAATTCCATTGGTAAATCATCTTATTTACCTGCTCAAATTAAGGGCAAATACACTTAATTTAAGACATTTTTACTGCTTTTAAGATCGTTTTTGCAGTGCAGCGTTCTCGCGTCCCTCGCTCTGCTAGCTGGTACATCTTCAGTCGTTTTCCAAAATGGCGGTCATACAAACAAAACAAGCCGGTAAGGAACCAAACAGGAAATACGCATAGAGTAGAGCGGATGTAGATTTGACCAATCGGAGGCCTCCTGTCTGCAGTCAATTACAGTTTTGGGGAGGAGCAGCAGAGTGTCTGCTGAAGGGGCGGGGCATATCTGGGTTAACTGCGACACACGCAGTCGTCCTGGTTTCTGAGTGTAAACCAGGTTTCAGAGAAAGATGGCTGCTGTAGGTGCGTTCAGACAGCGGCAGCTAATGAGAACATAACCTTTCTCTGTTTGATGAATTCAAGGTTAAAATGAAGAACATTTAGAAGTTCGTCCTTCTTGTTCCTCCTCAGATTCGAGGCAGCTCAGGTCAGGCCCGCGAGGCTCTCAAGAGGCACTTCACCGAGCTGCAGGCGGCGGCGGGTCGCCTGCTGTCGGAGCGACTGGCCGGCCTGCTGGCCGAGGTCGACGCCATCGAGGCCGACAGCATCAAACCTCTGGATGACTGTCAGAGCCTCATCGAGCACGGCGTGGGACAGGCCGACGAGCTGCTGAGGGAAGGTGATGAAACTCAGAAACGCATCGATTAGACGCTAACTTGTTCTATGAAGGGATAATTAGGAATATTCTCGATGCAGGAGAAGCAGCTCTGCGATGTGGCCTCGGGGAGAAGGAGGACAAACTGGGCAGCTTTACGAAGAAAGCCCTGCACATCCAGCTGGACAGGTAGCACAGAGACTCTGGATTCCTCCACAGGTCGCCCAGCGCCGCTGATAAGCTCATCTCTGCTGTCTTCCAGTCTTCCTGAGGTTCCCGCGTTGGTGGACGTCCCGTGTGTTTCAGCCCAGCTTGACGACTCGCTCCTGAGCCTGCTGAGGGACCGGGTGTCCCGCCACGGCTGCGTCTCCTCCCATCCGCCCGTCCAGATAGAGGAGCTGCAGGAGAGGCCGGGCAGCGTCCTGGTCCGCTGGTGTAAGGTGAGAGCGGACGTTACGTCCTCTTCATCAGCGTAACACTACAACTCCAACAGCCGCCATTTTGATGGTTTATGTGGGTCATTAAAAGTCATTAAATTATAATTATTTAAAGCCCTTAATTTGCATTAAAAGTAATTAAATTTGATTATTGTGGCATTTCAAATGCTTTATTAAAAAAAAAAAATTCTAAAAACAATTTCGTCCGATATATTATAATGCAATATATTTGCGCGAAATTGCTTCCGGTTTATCGTTAAATCGTATGTTCGAAAAAGAAGCTTGAGGCAGAGAAAAAGCTAGAGAATGGGAAAATGGAAATTTCAAGAAAAGTGGCTGGAAAACCAGGAATTCTGGATATGGCTGCAGCCATGATTGGAGCTGCTTTTCACCTCCTGTTATTAATAGTCTCTAGATGATAATAAATTCTGACTTTTTTCATTTAGTGGAGGAATAATAATGAACACAGTCAGATAAACACAAATCAAATGAACATTTTGCCAAATAAAGTAAACAAAAAAAAAAACCTCTATCAGAGCCGGCGGTACTTGACGAGCTGCAGACGGGCTAACGTTAGCTCTGGCCTCTGCAGACGGGCTAACATTAGCTCTGGCCTCTGCAGACGGGCTAACATTAGCTCTGGCCTCTGCAGACGGGCTAACGTTAGCCCTGGCCTCTGCAGACGGGCTAACGTTAGCTCTGGCCTCTGCAGACGGGCTAACGTTACCTCTGGCCTCTGCAGACGGGCTAACGTTACCTCTGGCCTCTGCAGACGGGCTAACATTAGCTCTGGCCTCTGCAGACGGGCTAACGTTAGCCCTGGCCTCTGCAGACGGGCTAACGTTAGCTCTGGCCTCTGCAGACGGGCTAACGTTAGCCCTGGCCTCTGCAGACGGGCTAACGTTAGCTCTGGCCTCTGCAGACGGGCTAACATTAGCTCTGGCCTCTGCAGACGGGCTAACATTAGCTCTGGCCTCTGCAGACGGGCTAACATTAGCTCTGGCCTCTGCAGACGGGCTAACATTAGCTCTGGCCTCTGCAGACGGGCTAACATTAGCTCTGGCCTCTGCAGACGGGCTAACGTTAGCTCTGGCCTCTGCAGACGGGCTAACGTTAGCCCTGGCCTCTGCAGACAAGCTAACGTTAGCCCTGGCCTCTGCAGACGGGCTAACATTAGCTCTGGCCTCTGCAGAGGGGCTAACGTTAGCCCTGGCCTCTGCAGATGGGCTAACATTAGCCCTGGCCTCTGCAGACAAGCTAACCTTAGCCCTGGCCTCTGCAGACAAGCTAACGTTAGCCCTGACCGCTGTAGACGGGCTAACGTTAGCCCTGGCTACATTACGCATTTATAGTGACGCTTAAAGTATAATATTCTCGCCTCAGATGCTCTTAAAACGTACTTTTATTGAACAGCAACAACAAAAAAGAGAACTTTTAACTTAGTACTCTGAGCTCTGTGAGCGCTAACCTGGAAGCTGCTGCAGCCGCAGTGCATGCTGGGACAGCTCTCAGTCTGGAGAACGGACAAGTCTGCTCTGATGCATGCTGGGTAAAGAGGGATGGGACATCCGAGGACTTTGTCTGTTCTCGGTCTGCTGTTCTAGTAAATTGGAACAGTACTAGGGCTGAGGCTGAGGATATTTCAGGTGCACACGAATATGCACAAGTACACAGTGAGAAACAGCCCTCGTGTTGATGTAAACTTTATTTACTCTGCAGCGCTTCCCCTTTCTATGTTAGCATCAATGCGTCCTACAACAGATTTTATGAATGTGTTATACTCCAGGTGGACGAGGACTTTGCTGCTGCAGATTATCGGCTGCAGTACCGGCGGTCGGGCAGCGGGGGGAGCCAGTACGAGGACGCCTACATTGGTCGGGACTGTGAGTTCCTGGTTCTCCACCTGGATCCTCACACAGACTACCTGTTTCGGGTCTGCGCCCGTGGAGAGGGCCGCACCGAGTGGAGTCCCTGGAGCATCCCGCAGACGGGCTACACCACCCTGGCTGCACACGGTAGGCGGAGCCTCCAGGCTGCATCACACTGATGAATCTGGTTTCTTTTTTTGGGGGGGTGGATTGTCTGTCAGCCTGGGTATGCTGATCTGATGGGGTATGCTGATCTGACAGAGCAGCGGGCTGAAGCTGTGCTTCTGTGTTTCTGCAGAGTGGCGTTCAGGGACAGAAGGCTACATCCTGAGCAGCAGGAAAAACATCGCCCTGCGGAACGACTCCTCCCAGGGCCGCAGCACCGTCCTTTACTCCAACGCCCCCACCTACTTCTGCGGGCAGACGCTGACCTTTAAGTACGCCTGAACGTTCACATCGTTTCTCTAACCCCCCCTCCCTCAAAGACTCTGTGCTTTGCTGACGGTTTGCACGTTTGCAGGATCTCTGCAGCAGGTCAGCTCAGCCGGCTGGACAGCCTGGGGGTTTGCATCGACGCTCAGAGCGGCGAGGAGTCTCTGCAGAGAGACCAGGCCGTCTGCATCTCCACCAACGGTTGGCTGAGTTCACTTCTAATCTGAGCTGGACTCTAGAAGCAGCTGCTAGCATTGATTTCTAACCTAAACCTCTTCATTTGTTCTGCATTTCATTTTAAAAAAACAGATTTATGATTTCTAACTGCTGCGTCTCGTATCCCCTCCTCCATTTCAGGCGCCGTTTTCGTCAACGGTAAAGAGATGACCAATCAGCTTCCAGCCATCACCGTGGGCTCGGCCGTGACCTTTGACATGGAGGTGGTCAACCTGCTCCCCATCAGCAACAACAACCTGAGCGAGGGCGGCCATTTTAAGCTGAGGGTGACCATCGGCTCCGGGAACAGGGAGGTGGTCTTTGATTGGCTGGTGGACCAGGCGGTAGACTGCCTCTTCTTCGGCTGCTCCTTCGTCCACTCCGGCTGGAAAGTCCTCGTGTTTTAGGAAGATGAATCGTTCCATTTTTTTTTTTTTTTAACCTTCTCTTGTCTTTTGACGGTGAGCATCCGGTCCTCAGGCATCCAGGACCCCTGGGATCGCAGCGACCTCCACCACGCTGATGGAGCGCAACGTTTCGCACATCAAAACCCGCCCCTTTATTTTCCCTTCATGATTTTCTATTAACTAATTAAATCAAAAATACAACTTTTCTTTAAAGATCAGTTTTAATGGTTTTCAGTTACATAGATCTTTCACTATTTTAATTTTTGTTTCAATCAGAAGGTTTAAAGTTACTGCGCCAAATTTATATCCGCTCAAAAATACTTTAAACTCAAAACGTACCGACCCTGTGATGGAAGTCTTAATCTAAAGAACACATTGGAGATCTTTACTGTTTTTGTCTTAACTGCTTGGAAACTGCCATGAAATAATTCACAAAATGTAATTGAATGATCAGGAAAAATGAAAAAGAGAAATTTTACCAAAACAAAAAAAACGATCATCCTTCATCAAGGGGGAAATCATAGTGGGCCTAATATTGTACCCTGAGGGATCCCGTAGTCAATTAGAGCATCTGAAGTGGAATTCTGCTCCCCTTTCCCGCTCTATGGATATCAAATATCTGATCCCTTTGGAGGAAGAAAGATTTAATCCACTTTAATCTGGAATCTTCCTCTTTTGTTCAACTCAAAAAACGTTTCAAATAGTTGATTCTTGCCTTTAGCTTTCACTCCATTGCAGTAAATAGTTCTGATTTAGACCAAATGGAACAGCTAGCCAAACACGACTTTTATCCTGCCGGTTCCTTAATCTGCCTTTCATTGAGACGGCTAATCTGATTTGTTAACGGGGGAAATCATACGGCCCAAATATGGTACCCTGAGGGATCCCAGGTTTAATAAGGTATAAAAAAAAAATAAAAAAAAAAAAAATTCTTAGTGATTATAAGGAGAGAAAACGGGATTCGCATTGAATCATATTTTCACAAAAGTTCCTGACTTGTTTTATTTCACCATCATAACGAGAAAAGTGATTTTTTTTTAACATTTCTTTTAGTTAAACTCCAAATACTTTTGTTAATGTTTATAAGGAAGCGAAATTTTATGCTTGAAAGTCACTGAGACGTTGGAGCTAATGAGGCTAATGTTATTCATTAAGTGACCCGAATAGTGAACCCTGAGGTGTCCCACAGTTAATTATAGATTCAAATCTGGATTAGAAAAAAAACTCTTATTTTTTTGTAACTCAGAAAAGAAAAGGAGGATTATTCAGGTCACCTTTTCTGATTTCACTTAAGAAACATAGTTGATTTTTAACAATTAAATTCTTACCTGTGTTATTAAAAGTAGAGTTACAATATTAACCGTTCTCAGTAAAATAGATTTATAACTAGAATAAGATGCTGGGATTAGTAATAAGGTAAAGAAAGCAGTCATAATGTTTTTCTCCAGTGACATGCTAATAATAGTGACCCCAGTATTGAACCCTGAGGTGTCCCAAAGTTAAAGGAAGGAGAAATCTAGAATGTCTTTAAGCCTAATTTCTTTTTTATGTGTAAAATAGCTGATTCTTATGGGAGAAAATGTCCGCCTTGATGAGGTGAGACTTTTCCTTGCTTGTTAGTTTCCTGCAAAGAGGACACACTGTAAAAATTATCTGGATATAAGTTAACATTTCTTTAATTGAGTGTATTTAGCATTAATTTGAGCAGGTAAATAAGATGATTTGCCAATTGGATCGGTCTGTCTACTGTTAAAATAAGATAATTAGGTTTTATGCACTTGAAATTTTCTTATTTTAAATATAAATTGTCTTGTTCCATTGACAAAGTGTCAATTTAAGACAAAAGGCCCTTATTTTAAGAAAAAAATGACTTATTTAGATTACACTTTTTTTCCAGTGCAGACAGTTTTTACACACTGGAAAAAAATCCAAATCTGGAAAATTCTATTTTTCTTAAATTAAGTGCATTTGTTCTTCAATTGAGGAGGTTTGTGAAACATTTTTCCAATGGAACAAGACAATTTACATTTAAAATAAGAAAATTGACTTGTGCATATAACCTAATTATCTTATTTTAAGAGTAAAAACACTCATTCTATTTGCAGATCATCATATTTATCTGCTTATGAAATGGTAAATGCACTTAATTAAAGTCATTTTTACTTCTTTCTAGATATTTTGTCAGTTTTTGCTCGTTTAAACCCAGGATCCTCTCACAGAGCGAGTTGTTTACAGCTTCAGCAGTCTCTATTGTCGGACATTTTTATTAAACTATAAATCTATGCAATTTTTTTCAGTTTAACCGTAGAACAGTCGCGCAGCTTTTCAGGAGGACAGTAGAAGTTTAAGCTGCCTGGTTTTAGCTGTTTTTATTATTTTTTTTGGTTCACTGTGAATGTTGCGTCCGTTTTTTTGCTAGCTGAAAGCAACGGTCACACGCTAAAGAGAAACTACAACATTGTGCCGTTTTTGTTAATCCCAATTCTATAATCTTTATTTAAATTTCGGTTCTTGCGATAAACATGTCTAGTTTTATTGGAATACTTTAAAGGAAAAGTTCTGTTAGCTTCTGTCAGCCGATGTTCATCCCTGATTCTTTAGCAGAAGACTTTTATCAAAATGTCTTTTTTTTTATTCCTGCATCTGTTTGGAGAAAAACGACCCCTTGGTGTTAAAGATGTGAAATATTTGTATCTAATTTATCTGTTTCTTTCTCTTTGATCCTGCCAGAACAAAATGTGTTTATGGAGACCATTAGAGCTCCAAAGCTTCCTGCTGTGACAATCCTAACAGTGTTCACATCTCCCAGAGCCACAACATTCACCTGCATTTCAATTTCTGCTCTTTGTTTTCCCTCTTTAACAAGTTTTTGTTAAAAACTTGTTCCTGTCTTTCTGTGAATCTATTTTTTTTTTATCTTCAGGGAGTCTGGAAAACATCAGCGAAAAGGTTTCGGTGTGTTTTTGTGTAGTTTTATGTAATATCTGAAATGAGGATGCAGGTCAGAGGAAAACCATAGGAAGGCCTCATCGCTGGAAGAAACGGGATCCGTTCTCCATAAAGGACATTTTCCTGTCGCTTAAAAGAATAAAAACGGATTTATCTGTGGATGTTTTCTAAATCCTGACGCAGGACGATTGGAACCGGAAACAACCGGTTCAGCCGATGGTACAAATGTCCTGAAATCAACCAACAGAACCTCAGAAATGAAGCCTTTCCTCTCTGTTTGGGGGGGGAGGGGTTTAACGGTGACACCTGTTGGTCGAAACTGTGTATTGCATTTGTGTTCTCACCAGTTTTTGTTCAATGAAATCTTCCTCCTGATGAAGAAAAAAAACTCTTCCATCTTTTCTTCCTGCTCTCTGGATTTTTATCATTTCATGCAAACAAAATATGAATTGTGATGAAAATTATACTTTATTAACAAAAGCAAAATTATTTAGGGAATTAATGAGCGAAAAATTAAAAAAACTTACCAACACGTAAACTTTCAGACTTTTTTCACAAGGGTTTGGTTTTTCATAAAGGCCTTTATCAGCTGATAAGACTAGAAAGTTTAGTGGAAGGAAAACATGGTTAAAAAAGCACAAGAAATAAAAACAGACTTTAAAGGAAAAGTCCGCTCATATTCAAACTTCTGAAAGTTCTTTAAATCTGAAATGATTCCATCCTGTTCAATAAATGATCAGTGTTTTTAATCCAGAGTAATTTTCATGTGAATGTGCTTTACTGGAGGCATCCATGTTTGTCAAAGAACACTACTGCCACAAATCTTAAAGGAACAGTCCGGTCAGCGAGGAAGAATCAATGATTATTATTTATACCCAAAACTAATACTTTCATGGTGATTTAATGAATTTGGCGTTAATCAGTAAAAAAATCAGCGGCCATTTTTGCCCAAATATAGTAGCCCCTCCCTCCTGCCATCTTCCGGCAGTGACGTCACGGTGCGGTAAGCCTAGCGCCATTCTCCCCGCTTTACAAGCTAAATCAATGGGAACTACTAGACACATCTGCAATCAACAACAATTATTGAAGATTTCCAGAGGACTTCACCATTGAAATTCACCAGAGCTATAGTGAAACTGACAATGCCCACGTGCATGGCAGCTGGATGCTGGAATACATCGGGTAAAAGTGAAAAAAAGAGTTATTCCACCTTTCTGATTCCTGATCCTCCACGGACGGGTTGGTCGTTGGATCGCCAACTTGAAGAGGGAGGATTTGCCATCGCACTTCTGGCCAGAGAAAAAACCCGTAATATGTAGCCAACATTTGGAAGAAGAATGTTTTCAAGATGACTTGGATAATAGCGCGTTGTGACAAACACCAGATACAGCACTGGGACTTGATCAACAGCCGATACCGCACCGTGACGTCACTAACCAGTAGGTGGCAGTAGTGTTCTTTGACAAACATGGATGCCTCCAGTAAAAGCACATTCACATGAAAATTACTCTGAATTAAAAACACTGATCATTTATTGAACAGGATGGAATCATTTCACATTTAAAGAACTTTCAGAAGTTTGAATTCTGAATATGAGCGACTTTTCCTTTAAACAATTGTGTAGCAAACTGGGGAGGTTTTAATCGATTGCAGTTGGAGTTAAAGCTTTAGGATATGAATTACAGAAAATAAAAGGTCTTTTAAATCATATTTTTATTTATAGGAAATCTAGTTTTACTTTCCTTAAAGGAGCAATGTTTAAAAAGAGACTCAGAAACAGAAAACAGAATCCTTTCCTCTTCCTGAAGCATCATGCAGCTCAGAGGCAACATGACAACTAAAGATGATTCGGCCACAATAAGCTTCTGTCCCAGGAAGCTAAAGCTTTATTGAGGATATTTTCAGTGTGCTTCTGTTTGCTGCTGTTTTACCAACATCAAGCATTAAATGCTGCGCTGTGTTTTGGCAACATTAGGAAGGAGCAGTTTAGGAACCAGGAAGCAAAAACACTGAACCAGAGCAGATCAGGGTGGAACCTTTAATCAGTGAGGTCACCGTGGAAGTGGATCCAAAGGCGTCAGACTAAATGAAACCTGAATAGGGAGGCGATTGGAAAAGAATTTATTAGTTTAACCAAATGATAAAAAAAAAAAAAAAAATCCCACAAAATATCCAGCTGCCTTTTGTATCTATGCTTCTTTTTCTATGTCTGCTTCTGTCTCCTTGAACCCCAGTGGGCCTCAGCAGATGGCCGCTCACACTGAGCCTGGTTCTGCTGGAGGTTTCTTCCTGTTCAAAGGGAGTTTTTCCTCTCCACTGTCGCTACAAGCATGCTTAGTGTGAGCGATTGCTGAAGACTCAATGAGTCGATGCAATCAGCTGGTTTTCCTTAGATAGAAAACTTTGAATCAATCTGACTGGATGATCTGGTGAACTGGAAAGTGACCTGAGATGACATGATATGAATTGGAGCTATAGAAATAAACTGAATAGAATATTCAGAAACTTTTTTTTTTTTTACGTTTTTTACAATCCCAGAATTTGCCAACAGTTTGTTTTATTTAAATGTTTCTTTTAAAATAAATCAGAGGATCAGTTACTCATCAGTTATGAAGCCTTTTTACCATTTTAATACTTTTATCATTTTTTTTACTAGATATTTTTATTGTTGAAGCTTCTGAATTTGCTCAGATCTCTCCAGAGATATTTTTTTTAAAAAGCGCTGAATGTTTGAAACTTTAAATGATAGTCTTATTTCTATCACTGCTGTACTTTAAATATGAAAATGTCTTGAGAGCTGTAATTAATGAAATTTCTTTTTTAATATGCTCAGTCTAAAAAAAAAGACAGTAAAGTCTAAGTTTAAAATGAAAGAAGTAATCATGGCGGCGGCGTTGACCCTAAATATGAGCCCGTTTTAGCCTTTTCTATCGGGTGAACCCAACATTTTAAAGTTTAAATTTCTAAATATGTTAATTTGTGCTGCCAATCTTCCCTCTGCTCTGCCATCTAGTGGTGAAGTAGAGCTACAACAATAAAGGTTAATATGTATTTGTTGGAAGTGAAGGAACCATTGTGGAAAAAAAACAATTTAAAAACCAAAACAGGACAATCTTCTTCACATTTTTACTTTATTAGAAAACCATGATTCCACAGTTTATATCATCAAGCCGTTTTTTCTGTTTTTTTTTTTTTTTACAGCAATATTTTAGACCAGTTTTTTAATTTTTATTATAATTATTATTATTTGACATGGCTCCTCCCGTCTTGTGCAAAACGCTGCTGGTGTTGTGAAGAAACAAAAACAAAACGATCCAGTCAAAAGCTAAAAAACAAAAACAACAGTCAGTCTGGATTAAAGCGGAAACTCGGGAGGCATCAGTGGAGCTTTTCCAGGTCGGCGTCGTTTTTTTTTAACGCCGCTTCTGCCGGGTCGGTTAAAGTGTTAAGGCAGCATCAGCGTCCAGACTGTCTAAAGGCGGAGGAGGTTCTGGCTGCAGCAGTCTTAAAAAAAAAAAAAAATAAAGTTAGAGACAATGGGGGGGGAGCAAGCAGAGAGTGAATCTCCTTTTGTCCGGGAGGCTAAAACCAAACACGACGCTTCATGGAAGGAAGGAAAAAGCTAAATAGTTCCCACCTACGGCTTTATGTACAAACGTCCAGAGACGATGGAGCACCTTGATCAGACAGCAGGGAGCTGCAGGCAGTTCAGGGCTTAGAGAATGTTGGGAGTGCTGGCAGTAGGTGGCGCTGTGGGACAGTCGCCTCTGAGGAGTGAAACTCGTTTTAGCACCAGTGATAAAAACCAGGAAGCTGCTTTTTCTTCAGGTTCAGCTCATTTTTTCCTTTTTTTTTGAGGTCAAAAAGAACCGGAACGTTCCAGTTTGGACCGGGATATGTTTGACCACGACCCAGAACCAAACGGCGGGACTTTAACGGCGCGTCCTAAGCTGATCCATCAGGGCTTCGCTTTGCAAAAAAAAAATAAAAAAAAAGCAAATAAAAGAATTTATTGACATTTTTAAAGCTGAGTTTTTTTTTTCCCTGGAGGAGGAGTCGGCGGTGACATCACGGCGCCTGAGAGCTGCTCCTCTTCCTCCAGCTCTGATCCCTGAAGCGCGGGCTGAAAATAAAAACCGTGAAATCGGATTCATTTCATCGACTCTGATTCAAGTTTGGTCGTTAGTGGAAGAACAAACAGGCTGCGGTTGTTTTTCACTCCTGGAAAAGTTTAGCACCTCAGAGTTAAAACCCTTAAAAACATCCAAAATAAAATTCCTGAAAATTTCCTGAAGCCTCGTCAACGGATCATAGAGAAAAGAAAAAAAAAAAAACAGGCGTTCAAAGTGTGAGCAGACTGGGAGCTTCCCGTCTCTGGCTCCAGTTCATGGTTCTGCTGCATGGCGCCTCCTCCTCCTCCTCCTCTTACTGCTCGTCCAGCTTGTTTTGGTTCTCTTCGACGCAGAGTTTAAACTCTGCAGCTTCGGGATCCGGATCCGGCTGAGACTCCACAGCCGTCTCCCAGTCCTCCTCCTCTTCCTCCTCCTCTTCCTCCTGGCCGTTGTCCCTCTTGGCTGACTGGTTCTGGAGGTCGTGGATCCAGGCCATGGCGTCGTTGATGGTCCTGGTGTTTATCAGGTTGAAGTCGTGCATGCTGATGAGGTGCAGCAGGAAGTTGCGGCACAGGTTTCGCTCCACGATGGCGGCGGCGTTGTGCTTCGCGAACAGCAGGCAGGCCTCTTTCATCTGGTTGTCGGCGATAAAACTGGAAGGAAAAAGAGGAAAGGATGAGCTCATTTCATTCGTTTCTCCTAAAAACGATTAAATATTAATTTAAAGACATTTTTAGACACCTCTAAAGTCTAAAAGCGGCCGTTCCAAACGTTGCATTTCAGAATTCTCCCGAGTGGTTTCACGACTTTACAGGAGTGAATAAAATATTGTGATTGGTCGTTTATAAAAGGGGCGGGATTGTTGTGGCGGAAGGTTCGTAAGCAAGTTTCGTTGTAGCCGGTTTGTTGGAAGCATCTTGCTAACCAGTTAGCAACTTAGTGCTAGCAGGTTCCCAATGGGAAATTCCATTGGGACCAAGTAGCACTAAATTGGTGACTTAGAAACGACGCTGTCAAGGAACGCTATGGACAGAGGAAACATGCAAGAGGAGGAGAGTTTAGTGTCGGAGGTCGTGGATGAGTCTCCTCCGTCATCCATTTTTTATTTAGAGGAGGAAAGCGGGGATGAAGATGTTGTGGAAGAGGACGCCAGGGCGGCAGAAGCTTGGTTTGGTGTAGAAGGCTTCCAGCCGTACGTGTTTGAGCCCTTGCCTCGCAACGCTGCCAGTTCTGTTAGCTCTACGCCTGCTGAAGACACAGACGTCCATCCCCGTGAACACTGGGACGCAACTCAATGGGAAAGGAAAGGATTCACATTTCTACCGTTGCGGATATTAGCTGCGACATATGAATCAAGATGCTACGACCGAAAACATTTGATTGACAGATGACCGTTGATATATGATTGGCCGAATTTAGGTGTTCAGGCTGACGTAGAACTAACTGGCCTGCAGAAGATAACGGAAAAAAACACAGATTCTAAGAGGATTTTTGGGACAATATCGCCTGATAATGAGCACATTTAATCTGTGTGCAGAATTATTAGGCAAGTTGTATTTTTTAGGGTTATTTTTAATATTGGGCCAGAATTGTGTTCTAAATCAACCCAAAAGACTCCTTAACATCCAAGTTTCATATTTTTGGTCGTTGATGTGTTTTTGTGGCCATTTTATGAGGATGTCTGTGTGTGCCTTATTTCATTCGCTACTAAGCCAAACAGCCCATCTGGTCTTACGCTACGTTCATCCAGATTACCATTCCTGCCTTCAAAGATTATTTCTCTGTGGGAGCCGCTGCGCTGTCACTGGGAATCCCCAGCAGCAGCTGCCTCAGGCCCGCTCGCCTCTTGGGGGTTTTCCCCTACTGTTTGGGGCTGGAAGGCGTTTTTCATGTACATAATCCAAACTGCTGGCAGCAGAATAATAAAAGCCAACATATTCTGCCGGCAGGTTTCTACAAGTTAATTTAGACGTTAATAAACTGTTTCAGAGGAGCGATCATAGCGCTCTGCATCAGCAGTGCTGCGTCTGACTCCCTGCCAGCTCCCAGATCAGCTTCTCTGATTGGTTGATGCGGCGCATCCAGCAGCAAAAGTTCAATTTCTCAAGCAGCTGCTGCTTCTGAAGCGTCTCAGATGCTTAGAAGATCAAAATGCGCTGCAGCACCTTTTGCTGCGACTTGATGCTCTTCAGCCATTGACTTAGCATGGAAACTAGCTGCTTTTGCTGCTTGCCGTCTAAACGTAGCATTAACCAATAACAGCAGGACTCTATGAGGCGTAATATCGCTCTACTCTGTGAGTCATTGGCTGGGAGCGCTTTTAAGACTTCCTTGGCTGTCCCCGACTCAAATGGAGTCAGACAAAGAAGACATTTTTGTCTTATAGGCAAGAAGACGACGTAAAGAACCATATCAAACATGGTGGGCTAACAGACAAGGAAGTAAGTCTTCTTAGCAAGATGCTAAGCATTAGCTATGACCATCCAACTTTTGACGTCAAAAACCGAACGTTATGAGGGGATTTTCTCGTCATTGAATGTTTTTATTATGAATAATCTGGATTATTTTTAATCTGTGGATGAATAGAGTATAAACAACTGAAGATTGGATTTATAAACCGGCTTCTGGACGCCTTCAAAGGTATGTGGCTGTTTTGTCATGTTTACATTTTTTACATGCTGCTTCGGTACTCGCTGTGTAAATAGAATAGAATCAAAGCTTTCTAACGATGTCTACGATGTCAGTTGCAGCGATTGGATGGATTTTGAGAGGTTAATAGGTTCAGAAACTGTTACCATGCCAACGTCAGCATGAAAGGATTGAGCACCAATAGGAACAGTAGTTGAAGAGCGAAAGGCGGAGCTTAGACCTTCCCAGATATCAGTTCCGTTTAGTATTTTCATCCCTGCCCAGCAGCAGCTGATGGCGCCACCTACTGGCTGGGAGGAGCTAACCTGAAAATGATGGATTCTCAGCTTTAATCTAGTTTCCACCAAATCTTCTCTATCAAACAGTCTCATCTGAGTCGGACCGAACAGCAGCACCGCTCTCACCCGTGCTTCATGACGTGAAGGTTCCACAGCTTCATGATCTCCTTCTCGCCCTCGTTGACGTCGGTGAACTCCTCGATTTGCTGCGGGGAGGAGCAGAGAAGTCAGGCGACACATCGGGTTCAGATTGAAAGCAGAGGTTCATTTTACTGCCGTAAAGCTTCTATTTGGTTCTGATGGGTGAAAGATCGGTCAGACTCGCCTCTGATTGGCTGTTTGGCGTCAATCAAACAATCTTTTTACTTAAAACAACCAAACTTCCTCTAAACTGGAGTTTAAATGAAGTTGATGAGATCCAAGTTAATAAAGAAGCAACTGAACCCAGGTTGGGTCACATCTGAACCGGCTGTGACCCCTGGACTCCACCGGCTTTAGCGGCCCGATTACACGTTTAAATTTCCCGCCTTCTGATCTCTGATTCTTAGCAACGCCCCCCCCCAATGTGCCTGCAGGGTTCCTGAATGAACCCGCGGCGGGTGGAACCGGTGGGATCCAGGGGTTAACGGGACGTTAACAGACCAGCAGCAGAAAGGTGAGCGTCGCCGGGGCTGGATCTGGCGTGATTCTGGTCACGCCAATCTGGAAACGTTAGAAAACAGTAAAGACAAACCCAACAGTTCACAGGAGCAGAGAAAACAGCTGAAGAGCCGGGATAAAAACATCGCTTCTTTCTCCCTTCTCAGGAAAGAAGCAGAAAGTTTAGACGCCTGAAGAAAATGAGCCGGATGAGCGGGTTCTGACCCACCTTCACCGTCTTCTCCTTCAGCCAATCGGGGTCCCTCTCGTCCTCGCTGTCCTCCTCCATCTCCTGGGGCCTCATGGGCATGCAGCTGTCGCTGTGGAAGTAGAGCCGGTTGTGTCCGCTGGTGAACGTCCTCTGGTTCTGCTCCCGGTCGCTGTCCTCCAGCTCCAGGAACTCTGACAGGCTGGGTTCGGTTCTCTTGGGTCTGCGTGGTGGAGAGGCGGCAGGTGAGCCCGGTCCCAGCAGGATGGGAATCCTAAGGCTGGGGGGGGCGGCGGTGGTTACCTGCAGACCAGGAGTCTGGTGACGGCGGTCCTCTTGACGGGTCCGTTCCTGCTGAAGGCGAAGCCGGGCTGGTTGTGGATGTCCTGCGGGTTTCCTGCGTAGGAGCCGTCGTAGCAATCGTTGATGGAGACCTCGATATTCGCTCCTTTAGGTGCAGGCTGGAAGCAGCAGAGACACGGAAACGCGTCACTCGCCGAGCTTTTCCCGGAGATACAAACGCCCAGGCAGTCGGGACACAAATATCGCGCCTTTACTGAACCAACATGGCTGCTTTTTCTACCAGAACCCAAACAGGATGTTCCTGAGGAAGCAAGTGGGCGGAGAAGCCTTCTTTAGGGAAACTTGGCCATTTCTCAATTCACTAGAACGCGAATACGGACTCGTTTCCTCGTCACGTATGTTCTTGAGAAAACCACAGGAAAGTCTGGACTCAGGGAGAACGGGAGCACGCAGCATAGATCTGCGAAAATCGCACAGTGTACGAACCGGCTTAACTAAATAAACATCTCTGTTGGATAATGTCTCCCACCCGAGCTCCTTCAGTGACAGACTGCTGCCCCTTAAAGGCACCAGGGAGCGTTATCACAGATCCTTCCTCCCAGCAGCTGGACGACTCTAGAACCACCACTGTTCCCAACAACCTCAACCAGTTTCTACCTTTAGTCAGTTAAATAACCTGCTGCTGTCATTCTGCACATCTCTGATGTTGCTGCTATTTTCAAATATTCATTACTGGAAAAATGTCCATATATTGTTTTTTTATTCTCCAGGTGAACAGTTTTATATTGTTTAAACACTTTACAGTGCAGTATTTTATTAATTTTTTAGCTCTTCATTATTATGTTATTCTTATACATCTTTCTAAGGTCCACATTTGTGTGACTTTTTTTTTCTTATCTTTTAGCTGCTGTAAAATATCGTGTATCGCGATAAGGCCCAAATATATTAGATTTACTTCATATCGCCTTAGTTTAAACTAGGGCTGCAACTAACGATTATTTTAAAAATCGATGAATCGGACGATTATTTTTTCGATTAATCGATGAATCGGACAAAAAATTATTTTTATATTAACCTCTTTATTCCAAAATAAACATTTTAGACAGAACAAACAAGCACACAAGTACAGGTTGCTCATTAACTGTACTGGTGCAATATGAAAAATAAATGTTTGTGTTAAAACTACGCAAACTTACATGAAAAATGTAGCTGTACATCCACAAAATATAGGCTACTTTGTTTCATAAAGTGCAAAAAAAGACATTTTTGTTTTTAAAAGCCCCTAAGGGGCTCAAACAATAGGCCCCCCCATTTCAACAAATGAGGTTTTTTTAGACTAGAAGAGTTCTGCCTTTTAAGACAGGAAAGTATAGCAGTTAAAGTTGCTACTTGAGAAAATACTGAACCATATAGATAAAAATAGCCCTGTGATTCAAATTATAAATTGTATTTGGAATAAAAATGAGAGAACTAGGGGTGCTAAAAAACACATCCTCCAAAGACAGATATTTACATGGGAATGTGGCATATAATTAATTGACATATTACTGATCTTGCTGGATTTTATTCTGCTTTACTTCCATAAATTGCAGGATCTTCTTTACTTTATCTTTGCCAGAAGATTTAAACTTTAAAAGCCCTGCCCTCATAATTTGCAAGTTCATTTATTTATAAAGTAAATATAAACGCTGCTTAAGCTAATTCAAATGAAATTAAAAGTAAAATAAGTAGCCAACCTTATCACTGTCTGTAACCTACTAACACGGTAAGGAAAGCATCAGATGAGCTACCTGAGAAACTAACGTTACGTTTCCCCACTTTAAAACCAAACAAACATGGTGGTTCCGTGCCATGTTAATTTGTTTTTACAAAAGTTGCATGTTATCACTTTTTTCGCTTTACAAAGCGCCGGCTATTTTAATTATTGTGATCAATTTGCGCCGTCAATCCTGGCGCATGCGCGCTTCATTTGCAGTCTCGACGCTGAGGCTCTGACTGCAGCGCTGAGAGGGACTCCTGTGGGAAAACGGGGTTGGGATGGGGGAGGCGCCCCACGGCAGAGTAGGAATGATACATGCTTTCACGTAAGAGTCTCTAAAAGCCGCCAGTGACACCGTAAAAAGTCGCCAGATTTGTCGCTAGTCGCTTTTTTGAAAAATAGTCGCTGGAGGGGTCTGAAAAGTCGCTGAGTTGGCAACACTGCACCTGCGGCGCTGACTCGCTCTGCCATATTTTTTTTCTTCCTCTTTCAGTCAAGAGGCAGTGATGACGGCGCGGCGGATGACGCAATAATCGCGCGACACAACTAATCGATGATGAAATTCGTTGCCAACGCTTTTAAAAGTCGATTTTTATCGATTTTATCGATTCGTTGTTGCAGCCCTAGTTTAAACTGTAACCGTAACGTTTTTAAGTCTGAACAGATGCAAATTTTGCAACTCTGTAAACTGACTGAGCCTGATTTTGACCAGATCAGCAGGAATCAAACAGAGTCAAGGTTCGTTCCTGTGATATTGGAGCCAAAAACAACTGACCCGTTTATTAAACAGTTCGTTACAAAACAGAAGCGTTGTGTTTTTATCAGAGTCTGATATCAGTTTTTTTTGCTGAAATTGTATCTGTATTGGACTGGAACTTCCGTCAGATGTCTAACGATCATGAAACTTCCTCAACAGTTTTCAGGAACTCTGCCCTGCAGATGATTCAAGGCGAAGAATCGGCCTGAAAACGAGGGGATTGCGGCGGTTTAAAGTTCAGACCAGAAAGAGGCACCTCGTGTCTCCATTTTTCTCACCGCGTAGTTGAAGATGAAGCGGGAGTGCGACAGCTTGAGGTGCTTCAGCAGGCTGTAGAGCTTCCTGCAGTTCAGCGTGCACCAGGGGCAGTGGAGGTCGTCTCTGGCCTCCGTCTGATGTTTGTTGTTGCTGTACCGGAACTAGAAGAAAGAAAACAGGCCGTTAGGTTTGAGTCGGTTCAGAGAGACGGCGTCTGATGTGGGAGACCCTCTGACATGATAGACGATCCGTAGCTTCTGCCGGGGCTCCGCTGAGATGGGCTCTCTCCTGGTTGGAACGTCAGTGCTCATGGATTCCTTCACAGCTGGAGGGAAGTGGACAAACATCATCATCATCCTCGCCGTTCCCCCTCAGACGGGTCAGATTAATGAAGGCGGCACCAGGTTTCCTCACCCTGGGTGTGTGTGGCTCTCTGTGTGCTCGGTCGGGTGTCCTGGTTGGCATCAGAGTTGCGGGTGGCCAAAGGTTTGGCCACAGGAGCCGTGGAGCAATCAGAGGAATCTGTGGTCCAACGCAGGGTGAACTGCAGCGTCGGACCCTGAGAGAAACTCTCGAATGGAGGCAAACGCTGCAGAGACGGAGAGAGGCAGCACTGAAAACAACGATCGAGAAATGAGTAAAAATGTCTTAAATTAAGAGTATTTACCCTTAATTTGAGCAGGTAAATGAAATAGTTTGCCAATGAAATGAGTATTTTTACTCTTAAAATAATGTAATTAGATAAAATGCACTTGAAATAAGACTATGCAGTTGTGTTTTCTTATTTTAAGTGTAAATTATCTTGTTCCATTGGCAAAATGTCTTCTTTTTCACCTCAATCCAAGAACAAATGCACTTATTTTAAGAAAAAATGACTTATCTAGATTTTATTTAATTTTTCCCCCCAATGAGCGATATCTGATTTTGGGGCCAAAGAGACTCAGATAATAGGAAACGTCACAATCAGACGTTTTATAGAACATTAAGTCGGGAATACACCGTTACATACATGCAGCTACAGCTCAAACTGTACGACGAAACGAGGTTTAAAAGTTCTCAGTTCACGATGTTTGTTCTCACGCTGCGACCCGACGCTCTGATGCGATCTACCTGCTCACACTGTACGTCTAAAAACCAGGTGGGACTCAGCTCCGCAGTGAGATGGCGCTACTCGGACTCGTCTATCTGGAAGCCAAAGGAGCAGAAGAGGAATATGAAGCTCACTAGAGTGAAACGCGCTGCCTTGGATATTTGGGCAATTTTGTGCTGAAAGCCCTAAAAAGAAAAGGAGACGACGTATTTGGACAAAGACATGGCTGAGCTAACGTGGCTGCTACGGTCTGTCAGTTTGACAGAAAGATTTCACTCATTGCACCCCCGCCATGCTATGGGCTTTACATCTGAGAGGAAGAAAAAAAAAAAGAAGAATCCTGAGCGGTTTGCCAACAAACATGTTTGGTTTTCTCCTGACCTCACGATTCCTGATCGGGAAATCAAATATAGTATAAAATATAGTAATGACAGATCTGCAACTACAAATTAGAGCAGAATACTTTTTATACCGTAAATTCTCTAATATAGGCCCGGGCCTTTATTTCACTCAAGTGCATCGCGGTCCAGGCCTTTATTGGATAGAGGCCAGTATTAGAGACAGGCCTCTATTGCTATTTGAGCAAAACAGACTACCAGTGGAATGAATAAAAATGAGATTTTGTGTCTATTTGAACCTATAAAACACTAGGTTCATTTATTGAAAAAGTACAGTTACCGTGTCTCGCTTGGTTTGAAGTAAAAAAAAAAAAAAAAAAAAATCCTCCAATTCTGTTTAATCCTCCTCCTCAGTTTCCTCCTCCTCTTCATCTCTCCCTTTAATCTCCTCATCACTCGCGCTCCTCCTCATGTTGTGCTGCGTGTCTGTTCTCTTCCTCGCGCAGACGGGCAGCAGTCAGGGCCTGTCGTCCAGCTGCGCAGGGCTGTGGTACTTGTATGTTACTACCACAAGTATAATGTTGAGGTATGCCCAGAAAAAACGTTTATAGCCCCGGCCTGTATTAGAGACCGGCCATTATTTACCTCCTCTGACAGCGAGACCGGCCAATGTTAGAGTCCCGGCCGCTATTGGAATACAGGCCAATATTAGAGAATTTACGGTATATTCCCAAAATCTAAACAGTTTACTTAAATGATTGGATGCAAACTATTGGTACTTCAACAAACCAGGAAGCAGATTTCTCATCTCACTCCATGTATTTATTTTATACCGAAAGGCTTAAAGGTTTCATCAAATCCAGTCACAACAGCTTCCAAGAATGCATCTCATCAACATCTTATCGCAGGCCTGGATGATGCTGAGTTTAGAGGTAGAGAACAAACATAGTTCATACCAAACTATTTTGTGTGATCCTAGTTATCCATGTTACAAAAACGAAAACATTCGGACAGAAACGGCACATATGTGGATGCTGATTGGGATTTTTTACATATGTATAAAATTAAGCATTAATTTCTGCACGTTTTGCTCCTTTCAGGGTTCATCAGCATGAGGCAACTTAAAATCAAGACCTTTTAATGCCACTTGAAATAAAAATTTAAGACCAAATTTACAAGAAACACAAGAAAAACCTGCTTGCGACAACTTAACCCAAAGGTTTATTTTAACATAAACCACTGCACTGATGTTTCAAATGTTGAAAAGCTTCCCATACAGGAAGAAAGCTAAAAACACACAAATGACAGATATATTTGAACAATTATTTAACTGAATTCACAAACTTTGTTTTAGCAGGGAACAAACCTAATCAGTTTTAAAGCCCCAACATAACCAGTGCCAAGTCTTTTTAGCAGCTATTTTTCTTTGTATGGTTTTCTTAGTATGTTTGATTTGGTGATAAGTGGAGGCGTTGCAGAGACAAGGGTGGAACTAAACTGAGAAATACCGGCTGCTTCTCTCTAACTCCATTTTGACGCTTTGTGTTTCGTGCTTCGCATGTGCGACTCCACTGCCTTAATTCCCATCGTTCTGAGCTTGAATGACTTCTTGCACTAAATCCACTGAGCCTCATGGATGTTCCCTGGTTTTAGCCATGGAGAAAACTCTTGGCTGGAGACAATTTTAGTTACATTTACACTTGCTCAGATTTTCTAGACAAAAAGTTAATGGTGCATCTCCCAAATGTCCCGGCAGCAACAACGCTTTATTGGTTCCGCTATCGGGACGGAATCAATAATGGTGAGCAGTTCTTTTATTTTTTATATAAAAAAAAAAAAAATGATCAATTTTAACGTTTTATTTAGATTACAAAAATAAATCCTAATAATAATAATCCTATTTATGATGTTTTAAAAATTAAGACCAACGAAAAACTGATTTAAGACATTTTAATACCAATTAAGGCCTTAGTTTTATTTTGAAGAATTCAATGCCTTTTAAGACTTTTTAAGGACCCGCAGGAACCCAGATATAAATGTAATGCTATACTTTTGTGGGTGTAAAAAAAACCCTAACACGTCAAGAGAAATTTGATTGTTTTTAATTTAAGTTCAAACCCTCCAAATCATTTATGGATTAAAGACAAACTGGAGCCAAAGCAAGCTTAGAATCTCTCAGTAGAGTGCCGGTTTGTTACGTCTCCAAGCTTTGACTCTTGACGTGTTTCACATAAAGATAATAAACACTTTTAAATTAATTCTTCTTGTTTAAAATGCAGGTTTTATGTGGTAAATCATAAAGTATAAAAAGATAAATCTCCTACCTTCCCATCCACAATGGTCTCCCAGGTGGCCCTCTTCTTCCCCACAGGACACTCCTCCATCTCCTGCATGGACACCTCGTACTCCCCGTCCAGCAGCTGCAGACGCCTGCAGACAAACACCGAGGCCACATCTTCACCTCTGGCCTCTGCGACCGCAGCGCCGCGGTCCTGCTTCACAGGCACTCGCTCTCACCTGTTTTTATCAAAGACCGTCATCTGAGCCACAAACATGGTTTCTCCCTCCTCCCTGAGAGAGGAGCTCCTCCTCTTCCTGTTGACGGACTCTTCTGAAAAATCTGAATCACAAACAAAAACAAACTTGTTCATCACGTCCAAATGTGGAGAAAAAACCCAAACATTTCTGAAGCTCCGACTTCAGCTCTGATTCACCTGCTCAGCTGGATTTAAAATCATATCAGAGATCTGATTGTTCCTGATGTTCCTAACAGAGCACTTCGCTCTCAATCTGCAGGTTTACTAGTGGTTCCTAGAATTTCTAAAAGTAGAATGGGAGGCAGATCTTTTAGTTATCAGGCTCCTCTCCTGTGGAACCAACTACCAGTTTTAGTCCGTGAGGCAGACACCCTGTCTACTTTTAAGGCTAGGCTTAAAACTTTCCTTTTTGATAAAGCTTCTAGTTAGAGTGGCTCGGGTTATCCTGAGCTATCTCTATAGTTATGCTGCTATAGGCTTAGACTGCTGGAGGACAAAGACCCCTTTTTCATCATTCTGCTTCATTCTATCTCTATTCTCCCACTCTGCAGAATCTGTTAGTTCAATCTCTAACGTTCTGCTCTCTCTGCTTTTCCTCATAGTAGCTTCATCTGGTCTGTTCCTGTTTGGCTGTGACTCCATCCTGGAGAGAAATATCAGCTGTGCTGCTGCCATCAACACCTTTGTTTCTAGATGTTGGAGCTTGGCCTGTTTTCCAGTGTAGTCCTGTTTCTCTGACTGTGACTAACTGGATGTGCTCTCTTCATCCTCTGACATGGGAGCTGGCTCGGAGCTCGTCTGCCTGGCTGTGTGTTTCCTGGACGGGGCCGCCTGTGGAGCTGGTTGACAGTTGCCTTTTGTATCTATGCTTCTTTTTCTATGTCTGCTTCTGTCTCCTTGAACCCCAGTGGGCCTCAGCAGATGGCCGCTCACACTGAGCCTGGTTCTGCTGGAGGTTTCTTCCTGTTAAAAGGGAGTTTTTCCCCTCCACTGTCGCTACAAGCATGCTTAGTGTGAGGGATTGCTGAAGAGTCAATGAGTCGATGCAATCAGCTGGTTTTCCTTAGATAGAAAACTTTGAATCAATCTGACTGGATGATCTAGTGAACTGGAAAGTTCCTTGAGATGACATGATTTGAATTGGAGCTATAGAAATAAACTGAATTGAAAATTAAACCCTAAATATATTTCCTCTAAATGTTCATGATTAACTGGACTGAAAAGAAAACTACTGAAAAACATCCAAAGGTGTGTGTCCTATCAGCTTGCCTCTGCTGTGGTGGTTCTCCCCGTTGCTCAGCCCGTTCATCTGTCCTCTGGAGCATCCGGGCCTCGATACTCTGAAGAGCAGAGAGTAGGACTTGACCATGTGGGAGTTGCTGGGTTCGAACTCGCTGCTGGGGACCAGCAGGGTGGGGAGGGAGCCCGCTTTGACCTGAACTCCGGCGCTCGGGTCTGGGTTCAGAGGGACCTGCTTCTTCCCCGTTGGGACCTGTTTCACCGGACAGCTGACATCCTGCAAATAAAACCATAACAGAGGAAACCTGAGCTACACCTGGAGCAGGAACTATAAGAATGGTCCCGAACCCGGACACCAACCTTCCTCTTCTTGTGGCACACTTTAACCAGCAGGACCTCCAGAGAAACGGACGTCTGCTCGTTCTCGCTATCCTGAGACGGTTTTCCTGAAGAAACAGAACCAAACCTTTTATAAGCAACACTGGTAAACAGGAAGATGGCGCATCACGTCATCCGCAGAGAAACGCCCGACGGGACCGACTCACCAGCTTTATGGAAGAATCCAGTAAAGGTGAGCTGCAGGTTAGAGGCCAGGCTGCAGAGGGAAAAAACAATGAGGCCTCAAACTGCACGAATTCAAACAGTCAATTTTTCTTAAAAGAAGAAAAAATGCATTTTCACCTGATATAAGCAGGGTTTTAAGACACCGACCAAGTAGATTATTCACATTTAAAGTATTAAAAGAAATCCCACATCTCATTTAAAATGCATATAATATCTAATGATAGTATTTAGTGTGTTAAAATAATGGATTTATTGGTAGATCATCTTATTTAGCTGCTCAAACTCATTTTAAGCACGGATGCATGATTTATATCAGTCAAACTGGGTCAACATTCTCAACCAACGGTAGACCCTGTCACACCATGCCGATTCATCCAGCGTTTGCCTGACGTCCCAGAAACTCCTAAATGCTGGCATATGCTGAACCTTCTATGCATTTTTTCAGATTTTGGGCGAATATTTAAAGTATTCATAACGAGTCCAAAACTTATGTCTAAAGCACACAGTGTGTGCATCATTTCATGGGCATTGCTGCCTGATCTTTTAGTTATCAGGCTCCTCTCCTGTGGAACCAACTACCAGTTTTAGTCCGTGAGGCAGACACCCTGTCTACTTTTAAGGCTAGGCTTAAAACTTTCCTTTTTGATAAAGCTTCTAGTTAGAGTGGCTCAGGTTATCCTGAGCTATCTCTGTAGTTCTGCTGCTATAGCCTTACACTGCTGGAGGACATAGGGACCCCTTTTTCATCATTCTGCTTCATTCTATCTCTATTCTCCCATTCTGCAGAATCTGTTAGTTCAATCTCTAACCTTCTGCTCTCTCTGCTTTTTCTCATAGTAGCTTCATCTGGTCTGTTCCTGTTTGGCTGTGACTCCATCCTGGAGAGAAATATCAGCTGTGCTGCTGCCATCAACACCTTTGTTTCTAGATGTTGGAGCTTGGCCTGTTTTCCAGTGTAGTCCTGTTTTTCTGACTGTGACTAACTGGATGTGCTCTCTTCATCCTCTGACATGGGAGCTGGCTCGGAGCTCGTCTGCCTGGCTGTGTGTTTCCTGGACGGGGCCGCCTGTGGAGCTGGTTGACAGTTGCCTTTTGTATCTATGCTTCTTTTTCTATGTCTGCTTCTGTCTCCTTGAACCCCAGTGGGCCTCAGCAGATGGCCGCTCACACTGAGCCTGGTTCTGCTGGAGGTTTCTTCCTGTTCAAAGGGAGTTTTTCCTCTCCACTGTCGCTACAAGCATGCTTAGTGTGAGGGATTGCTGAAGAGTCAATGAGTCGATGCAATCAGCTGGTTTTCCTTAGATAGAAAACTTTGACTCAATCTGACTGGATGATCTGGTGAACTGGAAAGTGACCTGAGATGACATGATGGGAATTGGAGCTATAGAAATAAACTGAATAGAAAAGGGGCAGTGATGCGCCTGGAGGTCTGCATAAAACAGTATTAACCTAGCTGCTGTTTACCGCCCGCCACACAAAAAAATTAATATATATAAAAAGAAAGAAAGCAGGTTTTTGTTGGCAGCAGATTGAGCGTCATGTCTGCTAGGAAGTGTGTTGGTGGTGGGCGTGAACGCAGGGAGGATCCATCACTCCCCTACTGGCTCACCCTATGATGGGGATGAAGTCTGGAGGAGAACTGACGGTTTCCTCCTGTGAACCCCCTTTATACCAAAACGCTGCCAATACGTCATTATACAGTAGCTGGAAGTTAGAAACACGTTCAGCGCTCGTCTGGAACACGTCAGATACGTTGGAGAGAAGCTCTGGATAAGTTACGCAGAAGTTAGTCAGAGGTTTAGGATAAGCTAGACGCCACGACTTATGAGGAACTGATACTGAACGTCTGTCAACCATCAGATAACTGACCTGGAACTGATGTCCCATGTATGAGCATACGCTGGCATACAGCGGGATGATCCTGGTATTAACCTAGCTTGACCTACTTTCTGTATGTCGATGTGTGCCGGCGTGTTTTTGGGTGCTTCACCATGTTTAAACAAAACGTACCCATAACTTATCCAACGTACGGCAGCGTTTTCAGCAGATTTTTTGTTCGTCCGGTATACGCTGGTCTAAATCGTCAAGGTGTGACAGGAGCTTTAGTTGTTTTGTTAAAGGAGGAGGGATCTTTTGTTTGCTCATGTGACGATGATTGTGATGCAGCTGCTTTTCATCATGATGTCTAAACATTAGGAAATTTATAAACTTGAGAGTAGGATTAACACTGATTAGCAGCAATAACAGCAAAAATAATAATGATAATCTGATGATAATCTGTCCAGATTTTCAGATCACTAATAAAAAGGAAAGAGCAGCAGAGTTTACCTGACAGTCTCCTGTTCTCCTCTCATCTTTTCCACTTTGAACAACAGATTGTCGACTTTGGAGGTTTTCCTGTGAAACAGAAAGAAGCTTTAAACTGTTCAGGACTTGATGCACAAACAATCGGACACCGAGCACCGGCGCTAAACAAAATGTCATTAAGCTATGGAGAGAAATTTGTTCCAGAATTAATGAAACCAAAAATGTAAAGAAAATTATAGTAAAAACATTGAACTTTTAAGAAATTCTCAATCAATAATAAGGTTTCAGGAGCAATTTGTAAGCTTTCTAAGAAATATCAACTTATGCTTTTACAGTTCTTTGGGGTTTTTTTTTTAGCTTTTTTTTTTTTTTTTATAATTTCAGTTATTGTGGAATGGTTCCCCTCTAACAGGTCGGTGCGAGGACCAATAGAAATGCCTTTTCTAACGTCCTCAGAGAGCAGACTCGTTTCTATTGGTCCACACACAGAAACACCTATTAGTAGATTAGAACGTATTAGTTTTAGGTATAAATAATGATCCATTGATTAATCCTTGCTGTCCTTTAAATAACCAACTTGCCTCTTTATTATTATTATTATTATTTAATTCTCTGCAGATAATGTAAATCTCTGCAGAGATGCTGAAACTTTTAAAGCGCACTCAGGGAAATCATTTGAAAATCTAAATTTCAAGCATGTAGCTTAATTAGAATCCAGGAAAAGACCTTATTACCTTTGCAACTTTCTAAAAATATTAAGAAAAATAACAAAAACAAACAAAATAAGAAATTCAAGAAAAACACTCAGAGTGAGAATTATTATTTTTTGTCCAACATAACCTTATAGGCATTAATGCTGATACTGCCACTTACATTTATTAGTTTATAGACATAAATAAAATTGTTAACGAGGCTTATTAATTTGTTACCTTTTTTTCCAGTAGGTAATCTATCATTAAAGGGTTCATCTAATTGGTAAAATGCCAAAAGAAGATCTACAGCCATGTAGCAATATCTTTGCTGAATGGCTGGATATAGATCTTGTGCTCCTAGATCAGGGGTCACCAACTTTTTTAAGGCTGAGGGCTACTTTATGGCTACTGATTCATAGGACGGGCTACCAATACTGACCTATGAACTGGAAGAGTCGGCGTTCACCTGAACTTCATAGATAATAAACATATTTCTGTTGTTTCTTTTCATTTTTAATTTGCTTTTAGATATTCTCATTATGAGATCCATATAAATCCTCAAATGTTCTAATTTATTGATCTGATAAAATGCTTCATAATAAGAGCTTCAGTAAAAAATAACATTTCAGATTTAGTCCGCTGGTGAATTGTTGTTTTCAAAAGATGCTGAGGGCCCCCCATGTTGTCCTTGAGGGCCCCTTGGTGCCCACAGGCACCGCGTTGGTGACCCCTGTTCTAGACCTTGCTGAGGGACGGGGGGGGGGATCCATTTGTAAGGGGTATGCAGGTGCACAGAGCAGCCAGCTTGCTTAGACTACCAAGGGATCATGGGAAACCTAAGGCTATGGAAGATACAGCGGAACCGTCCTTCAAAACGTGCAAAAAGAAGGCTGCATTTTTCGTCCGCTTAACGAGGAGTCTTCCGATCCAAACAGGCCTCAGCGCCACGCTATGACGTAATCGGCCAACAAACCTGGCCTTCAGGAGACGCAGCTACTAAATTCAGACTCAGCAAACGTCAGGATTTCGAGTCGGACCGCTTGAGGGCCGGACTTCAGCAGGAGAGCAGTGGAGAAATTACCGGCAGGCTGCTGCGACCTGCAGGTGATAAAAACCGTGAAGCTGCTCCTCACTGTCGCTCCTTCCTGGAAGATTGTTCTGGTTGTTTTAGCAGGTCTGAATCCCAGATTTGGGTTATGAATGAAACTCAGAAACCTCCAGAGGGAAATCAAAGAACCGCTGAATACTTGATCCTTTTAACATCTTCTGCTCCAACAAACCGAACACATTTCACGTCACTCATTCCAACAGTTTACTCTCTAAACTAAACTCCACTGATGTCATCCACACACTTTAAACCAGTCATCCTCTGAACCCAAACATCGCTGAGCTCTGCCATCTGCAGCCTCTCACCCCCCCGCCCCCAACCACAGCCAGCCCCACGTGTATCAGCTCCATCTTCACTCCTTCCTGCAGCTTCTGCCTCCGTATGCAAAGCAGCCTCAACTGAAAAACGCTCCTCTTAACCGATCTACCTCGCCACACAGCCGCCGCGTCGGTCTGCTTTCACTCACGATAACCGTTGACCTGCTTTCTAAGAAAACGGGGAATCCAGTTTTTTAACCTGCAAGTTTCAACCCGCAGATCTGCAGAGATCTTACCTTCTGGCGTTACTCCTGGAGTTTCTGTGCGACATGTAAGTCAGCGTCCTGTGCAGGAAAATAGGCTGGAGAGAAATGAAGAGAGGAGGGGGGTTATTATCTACCGTTACGTTGCTGTTTGAGAGGAAGAGGAGGAGGAGGAGGAAAAACTCACAGCGATCAGGTTTCTAGTGCGGAGAAACCTGTAGATTTGCGTCGGCTCTGCAGGAAAAAAACAAAACAAAAACTGATGTTTTCAACTCTGAAAATTAAAGCCATCAGAAATTAGATTAAAATCAAAGAATGAAAGACATCTTAGCTGCGGCTAAAATGAATACATAAACATTTATACAGCAGAAACATTTCAGCAGTTTAGGACCAGAGGAAAAAACAGAAGAAAGGCAAAATAATACTGATAAAAATAGGCATTGTTACACCTGATTGTGATTAGAGAAGCCATCTTACAGACACCTTATGGAACATAAATGGATTATTTCTATTCAGACTGAAGGACTAAACTGACAGGAAAAGTCTGGATCATTATTTGTACTAACTAATGTAATCGGATGTAGCGCCATTTCCACGACCCTTTTGAAACCGTGCTGAGAACGGTCCGAGCACGGAAACGAGATAACTGTTAAGTGTAAATGATACGCAGAACTGACTGGACCGTGCCAGACACAACGGAACCATGTCAACGTGGTACTATTTCATCCGTAGGGCTCGGCACGGTTCAGTTCTGGCGCGGATGTCAGATAAAGGGCGCATGAGCAGACTGCCTCATCTCCTTACAGTCAGCCTCCATTATCAGGGAATTTCAGACGTTCATAAAAATCCTAGATTCCTTACCACGCCGCACGATTTCCAGAGATGATTCTGCTTAGCAGTGTGATGAACCTGTTGTTTCCTGCCTCTGTAAGCCCTAATTAGACTAATTAGTAGGGGTGTAAATAACGGTTTTGTATCGATGCATCGATCCAAAAGCCGACGATCCGATGCATCGACACGTATCGAGTATCGATTTATGTTTTTTTTTTTTCCCTCTGGTCTATTTTTATCCATTTGCTCCTGGGCGTAATTCTCCCTCCCGTGCTGCGGTGGCGCTAAACCTATTTTGCCCTCCTACCTTGCTTCCTGGTTATACTCTTACAGCAGTGTGTTGCAGTGAGCTTGATGCAGACATTTTTGATTTATGCTCAATATTGAAGCGTGGTCTGAGCTACACACTGTGGGTCTAGATACGGCCGAGGCGGCGAGGAAGTGGGGGAGAGTTTAGTCCGACGACGGAGGGACATGAGGGCCAAAAAGAGCGGAGATCCAGGTGGAAAAATGGTCCCAGCGTTCTCGCGCACCTCGCTCTTCTAGCGGGTCAAACTTCACGAGTTGTTTTCCGCAATTTCGGTCATAAAAACAAACCAAGCCGGCCTCCTGTCTGCGGTCAGCTACAATTTGGGAGAGGAGCAGCGGAGCGTCTGTGGAGGGGGGGGACGTCTGGAGCCGAGGTATAGCGTTGCACTCATTGCACTGATTTTCTGCAGTATTTTTTTATGCAAGGCCTTTCAGAATCTATAACGCAGGGGAATTATTATTTTTCAGTGAATGAGGTTTTAATAGGAATAGGTGGAGTACAACTTTTCTACTTCTGTTATTTGCTGTAGTTTCTCAAAAAAATGCATAACACTTTTACAGCTTTCATTGATTTATTTCAAATTTGAAACAAAACGAACCAATTACTCGAATCGTATCGTGGTGTATTCTTGAGGATCGAAAATAATCGAATCGTTGGGTCAGGAAATCGAAACTGAATCGAATCGCCATGATGGTTTACACCCTCACTAATTAGATCGTTTGTTGTATCCTCTTCCCATAAGGCGACTGTTAAATAAATTCACCAAGTTCCCTTCGCCTGAATAGCCGCAAACAAACGGTTTTTGATCTGATACAAAATATTTACTCATTTATTTTAAGAATTATAGTATAATTACTTCTCTAATCGGGTCGCTCTGTCAGCTAAAGGCACGTTTTACAGTCTCTATACTCCAGTTAACCATTAATCAATTACTAAATTGGTTGATTATTTTAATAATTAATCACAAATAATCTGATTGTTTCAGCCCCAATATGAATAAAAACACATTAGGTCTTAAAAACAAATGCATATTTTAAGGTTAAACTAAAGGAGCAATCCGGTGGCGTTTAAGCCCTAAAATCATCTCCTCCAGCTCCGTGTTTCTGCTGCGTTGTGTCGCTCTCCGCTCTGCCAGCGGCTCCGACACAAACACTTCACCGTCTGATGACAGCCGACGTTCTCCTGACTCTGCTTCGTCTCTCTGATAGAGACTGAAATGCTTCTTTGGAAACATCTGATTGTTCGCCCCGTCTGTCAACAGCCACAGTAGCAGCAGTTATTGCTGAGGTTTCCTCTAAATGTCATAATAGAGGGAAACAATCGCAAACTCAGAGTGGTTTTTATTAAAGGGAGACTGTAATCATATTTATTTAAAAACTATTTCAACAGCTTTACATTTATTTCAACAGTATTTTAATTAGTATTCATTTTCTAGACGTATAAATAAGGTCAATCCCTTTAAGATGATGAGAGCTTCAAGGTTGTTTCTGAGTAATCTAATAATAGTCCAGCACAGGCAGGAAGGTACGGTTCAAACGAGGAGTAGAGATAACGAGAGGAAGGTTTAAAGCAAAAAAAATGAAAAAACTTTAATCGTAAGCTGAGCGAGCAAACAACCTGTGGATAAACTCTGAAGACGAGGCAGGAAACCAGGATTTCACTCTAAAAAACACTCAAACTGGCCAAACAGGAGGTAGAAATTCATCCAATTTAAATCATCTGAAATCCTCCTGCTTGGCGCTTTAAAACCACCTTAGCTAGATTACTTTAACTGGTCAGATGTGGGCTATTTAAAAGATGGAGATGAGTTAGGAACGTTTTTCTTGACTCTCTGACATGATCCTCATACCAAGATAACAGATTCTTTGATTTGAGTCGAGGTTCAACGGTAACCTTTTAAAATCATCCAGATGCGACACCGCAGAAGTTTCATCTTTAGTCCATTTTTTTCTAAAATATTTATTGTATTTTCCCTGATTTGAGCAGGAAAATAAGACAGTTGGATGATGAAAGAAGATGATTTACATTAAAAATAAGACAAAACAATCATCTTATTTCAGATGCATAATATCTAATGATCTTATTCTAGTATAAACTCTTCATTAGCTGATCGTGTTTAATCTCAATTTTATGAATCAACTTCTCAAATCTGCTCATTATAAGAAACGTTCTCTCTTTTATAGATCAGGTTTTGCAGGTTATAGAGCTGGAGCCACTTTCACTGGTTGGAATAGATACTTTATCATCATAATGAGGCCAGAACCTGCAGCTGGATCTGAATCCAACCATCACTCTGGACGCTACTGGTCTGGTTTGACTCAAACTGGATCTATACTGGAGTCACTGTAACCAGTTTCTCTTCTCAAAGTACCAAACAGATGCCGCCTGAAGGAGGCCAGGCTGATATTAAACAATCTAAGAGCCGATTTTGGATTTCAGACGCCAACAAAATGAAACGTTGCAAATGTTTTGACCGCAGAAGATATTTAATGTGATGCTGCAACAATTCAAATTCATTTAATCCCGTTTATCTACAGATTAATATTCAGTTTAATATTAACATTGCCGATATATTTAATATTGCTTTGTAATTTTGCAATTAACTTATTGGTAAAAATAAAAAAATAAACTTAAATAATGAACTTAAAGTGATATTCTGGCATCCAAAAAATCTTTTACCTTCTTGTATTTATGCAGGTAAAATTAGTCTGGCTTCATTTACATGTTGACCAATTTAATCTTTATTCTTTTTTTTTTTTAATGTAGAATTGCAAATCTAAGGAGGGTTAAATTTTTAATATTGATATATATAAAAAAGACTTTCAATCTTGAAAATAAAAAGTTTTCACAACCTACGTCTAAAGAAATGGGTTCAGATTTTTAAAATAATCTGTTGGATTTTAATTTGACCCGTTTTTGTACCGTGGATTTAAACTTGACCTAAATATTGTGGCCTGAATGACAGAATAATTAAAATCCCAATTTCTCCTTTATTTACAAATAAAAATTTCCAGATCATTTTCAAAAAATATGATATAATTTAAGATTAATTCAATTCATCTCTATTAGTCCTGATCACACCTGAAATTTCTTGAATAACATTGATTTGCAAGATCATAATCTGTATTTAAAATTCAGTTTGATGATTTAAGAACCTAATAAAGGATTTGACCAACCCAGCTGCCGTAGTTCTGCCACAACAGAAAGCAAATTAAAAAATATCATTTCATTTCGACTCTATTAGTCTGGGTCAGAGCTGAAATTCCTTGCACTTTTACAAAAAAACAAAAAGAAAAACAATAGATTGCAAGATCATAATCTGTATTTAAAAATCAAATTGAAGATTTAAGAAGAACGCAATACAGGTTTGACCAACCCAGCTACCGTAGTTCTGCCACAACAGAAAGCAAGATAAGATATTTAACCATATTTTTAAACACAAACATCACCAGGTTTTAAATGCAATATTGTTTGAACATTTATACACAAACTGGCACTTTCCTAAAGGAAATGTTTAAAAAAATAAATCAATGTTTGTGTCTAAAATGTATATAACAGCTGAAATTAATTGCTCTTATGTTTTATTTTGCTTTTTGTTGTGGCAAAACTACGGCAGCTGGGTTGGTCAAACCATTCATTGGGTTCTTCTTAAATCCTAAAGTTGTGTATAAATAATTTCAGATTGAAACCTGTGAATCTAAATGATCTAAATTGACTAAAATGTCTTTATTCCACTGCTGAACCTGAAGCTTAATAAAAGCTTAATAAAAGATTGAACAGTTGGGATGAGAGGAAGTTGAAGATCCAGCTGACAGCAGCAGCAGATGGAGGCTGTGAAACCTTCTCTAAACTTAGCAATAAGCCTGAGATGAGTGTCTGTGTGTCTGCAGGTCGGTGACAGCAGGAACTCACTCTCAAAGGCCTGCAGGAAGAGCTCATGGTCGGCCTGGATCTCCTGCATGCTGGGCTTCTTGGCTGCAGCGGAGGGCGGCTGGTACAACCCGTTGGTCTTTCCTCCAGAACCGAAACCCACATGGTGGTGGCCTCCACCCGAGGAGCTCTGCTTGTGCGGAGCCATGGAGGTCAAACGCTACAGGAGAGGAGCAGTAAAGCCGGCTCCCCGCCTGAAGTGGGGCACAGTGAAAAAATGAATAAATAAAATAAGAAATTCGGCTCCTCTTCCTCCCTTTGTCAAAACAAAAGAGGCAGAGATGGAGGAAAACCGACCGCTAAACTAGAAACACGCCTCAAGTCCTCATTTTGGAGAGTATTTAATTTCCTAATATATTAAATTTGAAGATGATTAAGCGTTAGAGATCAGCTGTGGTGTGGATGAGGCTGTTTTAGCGGGTAGCAGGTCGAAGAATGCGCGGAACAAGAGAACAGCCTCCGGGGCGAGCTGAGGCGGAAACCCCGGGCTAACCGGTTAGCATCGCCCCAACATCGACTTTTCAGCGAGAAGGACGCTAAAAACCCGACCTCCACGCGGGGAAAAAGGGAAAACACTTAAACCGGTAACAACTGTATCGCTCTTAAGCGGATAATTAACCAAAAATGTGCATTATAATCACCGAGGGTCTGTTAGCAAGTAGGATTCTGAGGTAGGAAAAAGCTAACCGGGTTAGCCCTGATTATATCCTGTTTGAATTTTCAAAGTAAAATCATATTTGCTCTAAATGGAATTTTGTTTCATTGTATTGATATTTCATCTTCCATTGGATTAAAAACAGAAATTCATCACAACATATTAAATTATAGACGTTTATCTTTGTTAGTTTTAATTTTATGGCCTTATAAATTATGGAAACTCAGATTATAGTTCTTTATAAAATTGAACTATAAACAATATTTTTATACCGACATTAAGGATATGGCCAAACTCATGAGGTGGTCCTAAAAAATCCAGCTCAATCACTTAAATTCTCAGCAATACAGCTTTCTACATACAGGTTTATATTTTTAATAATATTTTAATGTGTTGGTTTTAATCCTTTTTTTTTCTTTGTCACATCTCCATTGGTCAGGCAATCTCAGCAAAGACATTCGTAGTTATATAGTGTTCAGTGTAAACAAATTTTCAACATGTTTTCTTCAGACATCCTGCTTAAGTATAAGCGACAAAATTCTCAATTCAAGTATATGGCTGCAAAGTTGAATGGAAGAAATAAATGTGGTAGAATATTTCAAGCAATCAATGCAAAAAAGGGGGGATTGTAATACCAATATGTAGATGTCTTAAAAAATATGTTCAGATATTGACCTTTTTCCAGTGTAGTCCTGTTTCTCTGACTGTGACTGCCTGGATGTGCTCTCTTCATCCTCTGACATAAGAGCTCGTCTGCCTGGCTGTGTGTTTCCTGGACGGGGCCGCCTGTGGAGCTGGTTGACAGCTGCCTTTTGTATCTATGCTTCTTTTTCTATGTCTGCTTCAGTCTCCTTGAACCCCAGTCGGCCTCAGCAGATGGCCGCTCACACTGAGCCTGGTTCTGCTGGAGGTTTCTTCCTGTTCAAAGGGAGTTTTTACTCTCCACTGTCGCTACAAGCATGCTTAGTGTGAGGGATTGCTGAAGAGTCAATGAGTCGATGCAATCAGCTGGTTTTCCTCAGATAGAAAACTTTGAATCAATCTGACTGGATGATCTGGTTGAACTGGAAAGTTCCTTGAGATGACGTGTGATGATAATTGGAGCTATAGAAATAAACTGAATAGAATTGAATTGTACTAACCTCTATATGGGCCTCTTAATATGTGCATACTACTACAACATGAATGTGGTGAAGCAATCTGCCCGAGGTGTTAAAGAAGCACACTTTCAGCTTTTCTGCAATGTTAGTTCTTGTGTCTCTCATCCTCCTCTCATGGATTCCCGTTGGTTTTAGATCAGGTCTGTTTTCTGTTATGAAAGCAGATTTTGGAGAATCTGTCTTTTTTTCTTTCTCCATTGTTTTATTGTCATGAAACTGTCAAAAGTATCCTCTTAAAGAGCAGTGGGCTTTCATTGTGCGGCGCCCGGGGAGCAGTGTGGGGTTAAGGGTCTTGCTCAGGGACCCAGAGAGGCAGTCGGTGGGAGTTGGGCTCGAACCCAGAACCTGAGGTGGTGGCCTAATGTCAAGGGGCGGGTCTAGATGGCCACCAATAGCCAATCACTGGCCACCCCAGCAACCCTCCCAGGTGATTGGTTATTCCCCCTGAGATGTAATTCGATAACCCTGGAACAAGCAGCTCTCCTCTAAGCCTGATGGTGGCAGCAGTGATACCGTCTGGAATTTCCGACTTTGATATTTTAACACCAAAAATTTAATACAGAAATTTAGCAAAAATAAATGTAGAAAAAAATATTCACAACAATATACAATATGTGCAGAGGGTTAAAGAAAAATCCGCTCATATTCAGAATTCAAACTTCTGAAAATCCTTTAAATATGAATTTATTACATCCTGTTCAATAAAAGATAAGTGTTTATAATGAAGAGTAATTTTGATGTGAATGTGCTTTACTGGAGGCATCCATGTTTGTCAAAGAACACTACTGCCACCTACTGGTTTGTGACGTCGCGGTGCGGTATCGGCTGTTGATCAAGTCCCATGTTTTCTTTTTGTCTTTTCTCTCGCACTGTTTACATTTGAATGAAAATGTCATGAAAGCTCTACAAAACAAAATTTCGTTTGGTATACACTCTTTGTATTTAAAAGGACAAAAAATGTTGTCAGAAAAATCTGCTGTCTTCTGTTATTTATTTGGAAATTAAGATGTTGTTTGCAGTGTCCATTTTGCATAACTGTCATAAAATAACCTTATTTTTGTTTGGAGACACTTTACCCACAATAAAGACGGATGGAGGCGGAAGGTATCTTGCAGAGTTAAAGTTACTTTTGGAAAATGTCTTCCACCCTGAACATGATAATGATGCAGAACCTTAGAGCTCCTTTCAATGACAGATGGTTGCATCCTAGGTGCATAAAGACGCACTTCTGCAGATCCTTCCTTCTATCAGTTCTTAGACATTAAAGTCGTAGGGAAGCGGCTGGTCCAACCGTTACATTTCCAAATTTTCCCGAGTGGTGCCCGACTTTACACGAGTGAATGAAGTGAATGTGATTGGTCGTTTATCAAGGGGGCGGGATTGTTGTGGAGGAAGGTTCACAAGCATGTTTCATTGTAGCGAGTTGTTTATATAACCGGCTACATTATATTACTGGCTATTAACATTTGATTGACAGATGGCCGTTGATACCGTTGATACATGATTGGCTGAATTTAGGTGTTCAGGCTGATGTATAACTAACAGAAGATAACGAAGAAAGGATTTCTTTAAAAATAGAAATTTTCTAACTTTTTGGACAATATGGTTTTCTAAAGAGTACATTTATATACATGTTTAAGCCAGAATAATTTGACATTTAATGACTTCCCTACTACTTTAAATCTAACATTGCTCCCAACAAGTTTAAAATAATTTTTTGTCATTGTTTTTAACCTTCATATGTATGCTTCAATTTCAAGCGTGTCACTTTTCTGATTTATTATTTATATATCATATATAACATCAGTATATAACACCTGTGTTTTATTGTGAAGGGCCAGACTGAAACATCCGGGTCTCGTTGCGCTCTCTGCTGAAGGGACGTCCTCTGCAACAGAGCGATGACTCGTGTTTAGAGATCCCGCCTTCTAATTCCTCTATCCAATCACTGCGTTTGCTGCTGTAGTGCTGAGCTGTGATTGGTTGCTATAGACATCAGAAGCAGGAGGCGCAGCGTTTAGGCACGTTTGCCGCCTCCTGCTTTAAGAAGAGCAATGAATCTCAAAGGAAAATTACTATTATGAGATTTTTAATTTATTTTATTTATATTTGTCTTTTCTGAAGAGGTGCAGCGTACGCTTTAAGCTAACAACATGAGATATATAGTCAAAAACATTATGTGGATTTCAAACCTGGGGATAAAAGATTTATTCAGACACATCTCTGATATTCTTAAGAATAATTTGAATAATATGTAAGTCTTAAAAGCTCTAGTTAATAAATACCGCTGATATACTTCAACTGTTTATCCTGTTCTATAAATAATGTACCAGAATTTACTCATTGTGGAACAAAAAAGGGATTTTCTATTCTATGTTTTTATCTTTAAGATGCTGGACGTTTACTTTGAGTTTTGATGATATTTAGTCAGATCCCAACAAAATGTGACCCCCTCTTTTCTGGCTTTGAGCAGGGGCGGATTTAGGAAATTTGGGGCCCTAGGCAAAGACAGGCAGGGGGCCCTCTGAATTGAGAAGACGACACATAAAACAGCCCCATTACACAGATAGAGAAATTAAATCCATTATCTGTTCTACCTTTTGTTCCTCACTAAGCCCATTCTCACTTAGCTGATTGCTCCGTCCTGCTTTTCCAAAAAGCCGACGGTAAAAGTAAATAACCCAGTCCTTCTTTTCACTGTAGGCAAGCCAGGATCTGCTTATCTGTTCTCCATTTTTTATTTGTATGATATAGTTGCGGAAAGTAAATATATGCCCGTCTCCATTTCTCAGGTCTCCATTAGAAAGGATACCCAAAAGCCGGATGTTTTCCACTTCAACATGAGAGAAAAAAAGAACAAAAAGCACCTAAATAATTGATTTCTGATCATCTGTAGCAAAAAAAAAAAAAGAAAACAATAAACTTAATTTTAAAATGATGGTAAATATATACTTATCAATATATTCAACGGTTTAATACTCACTAGTTCATCTCTTGTTAAACAGGTGTCAATTTTGAAACTTAGTCTGCTGCCGTCTGTTTGGACTTTTCTGAACATGTGCAGCAAATGGACTGATCCAATATGGCGGACACTGAAGGCATTTTGATGGCATTTTTCAATTCAATTCAGTTTATTTATATAGCGCCAAATTCACAACACATTTAATCTAAAGGCACTTTCCAGTTCAACCAGATCATCCAGTCAGATTGATTCAAAGTTTTCTATCTAAGGAAAACCAGCTGATTGCATGGACTCATTGACTCTTCAGCAATCCCTCACACTAAGCATGCTTGTAGCGACAGTGGAGAGGAAAAACTCCTTTTTAACAGGAAGGGCTTTTTAGCGAAAGTAACATAATGTGCACAAATAGGGAATAGTTGAAATAACTCCACATGTAAAAGTAGCTTTATGGGGCCCCCAGGAACTTGGGGCCCTAGGCAACTGCCAAGTTTTGCCTAATGGTAAATCCCCCCCTTGCATGGGGAGCAGTGGGCTGCCATTATGCGGCGCTCAGGGAGCAGTGTGGGGTTAAGGGTCTTGCTACCCACCAGGCCATCACTATCTGCATCACTTTGCTCAACAAGCTGATGAACATTTAAACTTCAGTTGCAGAGTTTTCAAAATAAAACAAATTTTTTTTTAGAAATATTTGCAAAAAAAAACAAAAAGGAAAGAAAAACACATAAAGCTCATCCCAGCTTTATGTGAGCAGAACAAGCAGAGTTTGAACAGAACCTTCTTTGGTCCCGGCTGGAGATTGATGCTCTGTGGAAACATATGTTGAACCAGTGTGAACTCTGAAGCTATTTCTGTCCTCGTTATGTTTTGGGTCAGCCGTTCAGCCTTCTGTAGGCAGCAGCAGTTTAACACTGGTTGCTAGATCTGTTTCAGGAAGTAGCTGCCATGCTACTTCCCTCTTATTCATAAAGACGAAGGTTTGCATCATACAGACACAGCATTAATTTGTGCTTGATTCAGAGTAGAAATCAGTTTTCCTAATTTGTATAAACGGAAGTGCAGGTTTCAGGCGACACAGCTTTACATCCCAATGTCACCAGGTGACTGAACCCAAATTAAGGGTAAATGCACTTAATTGAAGAAATTTGTAATAATTTTTAGATTGTTTTTCCATTGCTCACTTCCCTCCTCAATTCAAGAAAAAAATGCACTAATTAAAAAAAAAAAATTACTTATTGAGATCTAGATTTTTTACAGTGTAATAAGGTCTGCAATGATTTTGCAAAGTTTTTACTGAGAAAATACAATATTAGAAAAACAGTTTGCATATCTATGCCAAAAGTCGACTTTTATTTGAAGAAAAGATGGAAATTTTAAATTAATAATGAATAATAATCAGTCTCCTTGAATTAAAAAAGAGCAAAGTCTGCTTTATGTGTGCAGATTAAAACCACAAGACTAAAGTAAAATAAAGATGAAAACTAAATGAGAGATTAAATTACACTTATATTTATTAGTCAATATTTTTCCGTTGATTTCATGGTTTTAATTGATCAAACAGATATTAGAGCAAACGGAGCAGTGATAACAAACAGCAGCGATGGCGTAACGAGACGTAAACAACACAGCGTCTCCCTTTTTTTATAAAACCTTTGAAAAACTCTAAACACACAAGAATTCATAAATAAATAGAGAAAAACCGATGAAGAAAGATCTCTGTAGTCAGTGTTTTTATGCATTTTAGTTTGTGGACAAACCATCAGAAGCACAGACAGCTGTGGGGCTTTACTGAAACGGTTTAAAACCAGTACCTGAGACGGACGGCCCAGTGAACCAGTCAAACCTTTCAGAGTAAAGCTTTAAAACACGGATGAATAAATAACAATTCCAGGACGTTCAAGCTTGTCAAACAGGTAAAGTGCTGATTAGAGCAGCAGATGAACATTAAAACTGGACTGAACTGGGCCTGTGGAAGGAGCTACTGCTGGACTTTCCCTTCGTTTGGGACTCAAACTTTAACCTGGACGCCGGTCTGACCGCCATGCAGGTCAGTGTTTCCTCAGCAGGATGTAGGCCATGAGCAGGATGAGGCCCGCCGACAGGCCGGCGATCACCAACTGATGGATGGACAGGACGTGCTCCAGAGTGTGGATCCGCTCCTCCATTGCGCTGGTGTGGAAGTAGTCGTAGATGCCGGCTGTGATGCTCCACAGCGCCCACACGGCGTCCACCACCAGCGGCATGGTGGGCGGGGCTCAGCCGCGGGTCGCGCCGGCTCCCTCAGACCCCGGAGGAAACAGCAAGCTTCAGCTGGAGCCACAGGAAAACAGTGAAGGTTTTATTAAGGATTATTATTATTATTATTTTACAGGTAGTTTGGTTAAAATACATGAAAGAAAACATCAGAAGTCTGAAATGTAACATTTATCTATTTAATGCATTATTAAATATTTGAATGTTCCATCAAGTTATGGAATATAAAAAAACAAATTAGCCTTTGAATTAAGGGTGTGCAAAATAATCGTCATGACGATGCATCGCGATTCTAATTTTTGTGATCTACTGCATCGATTCTTGAAGGCAAGAATCGATTATTTAAAAAAGAAAAATGAATAAAATACATTAATGGTTGGCCCACGTCAGCCAAACCAAGTGGAATACAACTTCCAGTCCAGCAGATGTCGCTGCGGATGTGTTGACGCCCGCTGCTTTGTGTCACTAGCATGTCCGGCCGCGGGATGCTGAGACGAGTCATATGAAATAAAACATGGAGGACACTATGAAAATTCGCCCCGTGGCTCCATCGCATTTCAAGTCAGATGCTTGGATGCATTTTGGCTTTTAAAACAAAGAAGGTAAAAATGAAAATGATATGATGCACGTCATTTGCAAAAGGGGAAATATACATTTGAATGTTTTCGTTTCATTGGTTTAAAGGGCCACTGAGGCCATGTAAACGGCACTGATTATCCTTATTTTGTTATTTTAAGTTTGATGAATCCTAAGACCAGTAATAGTAATATTTCTGTCCAGTATTTGTTTCCATGGCAACACCTCCAAAAGTCGTTTCAATAAATACAGCTATGTATGAATTCAGTTGCTTTCAGTTATGTATCAATTGAAGACACGATCCAGATCATACCCAGCCAGTCAGCCACTGGTAAGGGCTGGATTTTTTTCTTACAGTGTTCAGTGTAAATATCGCGATGCATCGCAATATTTCAAGTATCGTGATGCATCGTGATAGAATCGCATCGTGGTATGTGAATAATGATTCGAATCGAATCGTGACCTCTTTGCCAATACCCACCCCTACTTTGAATAATTTAATGTACCCTTTACATTATACTAATAGTGTTTGGTGGTACTTTCTGCGGAGGATGAGGAGAGCCCGCCTGCCCCCGCCCATCCTCACAACCTTCTACAGAAGCACCATAGAGAGCGTTCTGACCAGCTGTCTCTCTCTGTGGTGTGGAGGCTGCAGAGCTTCTGACTGGAAGAATGTGAGGAGGGTGGTGAGGACAGCGGAAGGAATCATTGGGGCTCCTCTTCCCTCCATTAAGGACATTTCATCACAGCGCTGTGTGTCCCGAGCCCGTAATATCATCAAAGACCCCTCACACCCCCACCATGGACTGTTCTCCCTGCTGCCCTCTGGAAAGAGGTTCCGCAGCATCCGCTGCAGATCCACCAGGTTGTGCAACAGCTTCTTCCCCACTGCCATCAGACTGTTGAACCTTTGATCCACAATCCGAACTCTGCACCTATTGCACATTATCGGGCATCAAATGCTGCTGAACTTTTAACTTTTAGCCCTTTAAATTGTTCATCTCATTGTATTTTTCAATAACGCATTTTTTGCACAAATGCCATTTTGCACTGAACCACTGCAACTTGCACACTGTCTCTTATCCTCTGCACTGTTCACACTTTGACCACTGCTGCACTTTTTGTATTTTTCTATAACTCGTGCCATTGTGAAATATCAATGCAACGTTCATAAGCTGTATGTAACGCAATTTCGTTCTGTATGCACCCTGTGCATACAAAATGACAAATAAAGAAGTCTAAGTCTAAGTTAAATAAATTCATTTACACGATAACCTCATTATTTCTCTGTATTTCGTGCATTGGCGCCACCAGGAGGTGGCCAGGGCATTGCAGAGGGCGGCCAACCTACTCGCTGGTGTAAATTGTAGTAGCATCAGTTTAGCATTTCATCCCATTCTGCAAAGCCAGCGATGTAACAATAAAAACAATAAACCAAGCTACACTGAAACAACTAAAGTCGCCATTTTTGGGATTTATGAATGAAAATAATTAATTTAAATGGTTACTGAGTGGCTGCTCAGTGGCTCACTGGTACTTGTCTTGCAGCAAGAAGATTTGGGTTTGATTCCCGGCCTGGGGTCTTTCTGCATGGAGTTTGCATGTTCTCCCTGTGCATGCGCGGGTTCTCTCTGGGTACCCCGGCTTCCTCCAACTTCTGTGTGTGCATGAATGGTTGTTTTTCTCTGTGTTGCCCTGCGATGGACTGGCGACCTGTCCAGGGTGGACCCCGCCTCTCGCCCATAGACAGCTGGAGATAGGAACCAGCACCCCTCGCGACCTCAGCTGGGTCACGGTTGCTAGGCGACAGAGCATGTGCTGAGTGAAGGGTGCTGACAGCTGGGGAAGGTTGGACGGTCTGTTTTAAACTAAAGCTGAACCTCCTTATTTTCATGGCCTCGGAAGGACCCAATGACGCAGTCACCGAAATTGGTCTGCTTCAGATCTGCAGTCTTGAAAGGAATATAAATTATGGGAGTTGATTCTAACATTTTTGGAGAGGAACTGACTAAGATTGGCACAGTCCTGCTTTATGAAGCAAGTTTGGTGCTCTTTTTTAACTTTCTTGGGTGTTTCTTTTTTCTTTCCTCTTCTATCCAGAATAATCTCTATCATGACCTATCCCATATATATATATATATATATATATATATATATATATATATATATATATATATATATTCTATAGTTGCAGCATTTTGATTTGCATTTTTTATTTTATTGTTTGCAACACGTCCTTTTTGTATTTTTCTAATGTTTTTGTGATTTAAAGTTTGCATTAATCGTGTGTTTACAAAACGTCTAGCTGTCAGCTGCATGTTTGCACCTGTCGGTCAGTATTATTGGCTGCACACTTTCCAGAAGTCTGACCTTTTTTCTGTTTAAAATATAAAGATAAATATAGTATACCATTTAATTTATATAATATTCAGAGCTACTGAGACATTTGAACTGGAGGTTTAAAAAAAAATAGCTTGGAACATTTAACTTGTAATGAATATGTGACAAAACACATAGAACTTTAACAATACTCACATTTTTAGCTGCATTTGTATCTGTGCTAATTAGCCATGTTTGCTATATGCTAGCCTAAAACCGGCTGTCAGCTTAAAAGACATAAACGGTATATAATGAATTACTTACACCGCGAAATGATCATTAATATTTTGAGGACCATAAATATTCCTCCAACCTTCCAAACGTGAAGCCCAGAGTACTCATATTACACTGGAAGCACAGATTTCCTTGGCTACTTCCGGGTGTTTCACTCTAAACGTTCCCCCTCACTACAGCCTGCCTTGTCATAGAAGGCCCTATTTCAAAAATTCACATTTTTGGATTTTACTTAAAATTAATACATATAGTTATGTCTCAAAAATATTGTTGTAGTTATAAATATAAGCAGAGTAAATCGGCACTGATGAGCGAATTTAGTTAACAATCTTTTTTATTTTATCGCCGTTTGTTCTGTTTTTTTTGTTATTCGACAACAGTAATGTTTGATTTGAATATGACAAAAGAAACAGACTGAATGAATTTTATACTTATTATTTATTTTCTAAAACATGTTGAACGCTCACAGGTCTCGAGAGAACGTCAAAGCGGGCATATCTCCGGTGGAGTTCCGTAATGTGTTATCGACTTAACAGACGAGATTTCCGTACAATCTGACAATGAATAACATAAAAAAGAAAAATACGTCGATAAATCATCGTACGATGTGTGCTGTTAAATAATATCGTGTTCTCGTGAAAATGGCGGTAGGCGCGGTGGCCAAGTGGTAAGGCGTCGGTCTCGTAAACCGAAGATCGCGGGTTCGAACCCCGTCCGTGCCTAACGATGTGAACGGAACTAGTGGCATTTTTTTTGGACCACAGCTATTTTTTTTTTACTTTTAAAGTACTGTGTCACAACTGTTAAGATCATTTAAACAATTGTTTTCATATTTTCTCACTTTAGGCGGTTATATACTACTTTTTAAAGTCAGGAAACTTGACTAATCTGCTTTACACTTCATTTAATATGAACTTGGATTTTTGCTGCTGTAAACACCAGAATTTCCTCATTGTGGGACAATAAATAGATTTTCTATTCTATTTATTCTAATTTTTACATGATTTAAACAAAATGCATTTGTATAATGAGAGGTGATGTCATGTCAGGAGACCAACACTCTACCTAAGCTGTTATCAAGCATCTTCTCCTCATGCAAAGCAGGGCAAAAATAGCTTTAAGTGAAACAAATAAAAAATTATTAAACTTAAATGTAAACTTAATGACTAGTTCTAGGCAGCAACGCCTAATACCAAGACTTTATGAAAACCCTTGTGTTTATGAGTCTTTTGCTCCATTCTATTTTTTTTCACAATGATTGTGAATTTGGTCACATTGGAGAGTTTTTAAAGTATAAGGTTTTTTTTTAAGGTGAAGCCACAACATCTCAGGTGGATATAAACCCAGATTTTGACTAAGCCACAAAACATTAACTGAAATAAGTTTAGGTTTAAATTCATAAACTGCTTCTTCTTCATAATTTCATCCAAGAAAATAAAATTCATAGTTTTATTATTATAGTAGGTTGCAAACAACTTTACACTACTTGCATTATGGTGTATAGGTGCTCCTACACTTGATTAGCAACTATTTTTATAATATTTTTAAATTAGAAAGTAAAAAAAAAAGGTATTTGATGTATTTACTCATTTGAATCAAGATCAGTTTGTTTAAATTAAAAGTGAAATTAGAGCTTGCCTAAAAGGCTGCCCTTCATATCCATTTTTTTAAGGAGGAATTAATCAGAACTAAAATAAAAAATAAAATATAAATAAAATAAAAATAAAAATATTAAAACATACTTTATTAATTTATTTGGGATTGGGTCAAGCCTATACCTTGACTTAATAAGATGTTTGTTATATATAAGCTAAAGTACCTTAAAAGGAGGTTTAATTGATTCCTCTGCTGCCATCTACTGGACTCTGGGATGAACAGCAGCTCGTTTCTTGTATTATTTTATTTAAAGGACTTTCCAGGGCAGGTTTTTATCTGTTTTTGAGATGAGAACTTTTCTTTTCTCTCAGGAAACTGTTGTTAAAATAATTAGTTAGTTTATTTATCCTAAAAGGTTTATGTATTTATATTGAGTAAAAGAATTTTGCACCTTTTCTGCTAAAAATCTAACACCTGGAAGCCAAATTACAGACATGTTATCTAATTATCTTAATTTAAGAGTAAAAATACTTATTCCATTGGCAAATTAAGGGTAAATACGCTTAATTTAAGAAATATTTTTTTATTTCTAGATCATTTTTCCATTGTAGAGGGAGTAAAATGTTGAAGGCAGCAGAAGCAGCTCCTAAGTGGATCTTCATCCAAATTGCTATTTATTGACATTTCAGAGCCGTTTTCTTTAAGAGAACGTTGGAATCAAAGCAGTCCTTTATTACCTTGTATGTCTTACATAAACCTGAGGATACTGCTGGAATTTAACAACAAATGGCAGCTCCTTATGTGTTTCTATGGTCTCTTTTAGCCTCTGCAGAGTTTATTTCTTAAATGAAGTATTAATTTCTTATTGTACTGAATTAGGCTCAGCTCCTGAGTTTGTTCTGGTTCTCTCAGCTGAATTAAAGTTAGCAGATTTACACGGAGGGTTTGTATAAAGAAAATTAGCTCCATTAGAAAGTTCAACATCACCAGTTTGATAAGAAGTATAGTTTTCTGCAGCTTTAAGCTAAGTCCTGAAACTGTTCTGCAAAGTGTCTCGATCTGCTTGATCATAGTAATTAAACATTAATGGATACTTGATGTAAAAACATGCAAAACTTTTAGATCTGTAGTTTATAATCCTACAATCCAAACCACTTAAGAAAAACATGTAAATAAATGCTGTAAGTCAGACTGACTTCTTTCATATTCAGATACATAAAGAATCAATGACCAACCTCATGATGCAAAAGCTGTATTTATTAATTTTGCAATTCAAAGTCAGAAAACGAAGTGTTTTGGCAGGAAAAGCATTTAAAAGAAAAAAATGATCACATTTCAGTTCCAGTGTTTTGTTGTTAATAACCGACACAAAGTCTTTTTCCATGTTTCACAAATATCCATCATATTAACATTTTCTTTTGAACAAATTGGTTGTTGCTGTGAATTTATGGCAAAATAAAAGAACATATTTGAATATGTCTAAACAATGAAACATGCGGTCCACACTACTAATTCATGCCAGATGATTTTATAAATGACTCACAAAGTTTTATTGATTGGATCGGACAGACCAACCTGCAAATTACACTCTAGGCCCTTCGGGTCAGTCTTAAAGGTAAATAAACCATAACTTTAAAATAGTAATAATTCATGATTAGAAATATTCAGAATCATGGAAAAAAAACAAACATCTTAAAATGTCTTAAAACTGGAAGCCATGTTGATAAAGAGTCAAATGCATTTTAAAGAGCTTTGCTGATAGGACTGGATTAAATGAATTAGAACCAGAGATTAGGGAACTTTTATATTTTGCCTATCCCTATTTTGATGGCCTCTATGAACTCTTTCTGACTAATTTCACAGTTTGAACCGGTGTAGCCTTTCTCACACACACATATTGCCTTCTGGACATTTTCCAAAACAACACATTTGCCTTGTTCTGGTTTACCACAGTTTACATTTTCACACAGATTCTTATTCTTATTCAGCTCTTCATCACTTTTAATCATAACCCTAAAGTGTCCACCTTTTATAGTCTGTAATCTTTTACACTCTCCTGTGTAAATGCGAGCTATGGAGTTATCTTCACCATCAATAAACTCATCCTCGTCTAAATCTGCACTATCATGGCTTTTACTGATATATGAATGAACAGCTGTGTACTTGTCAGATAGAGCTCTACCATCATTCCCGATACACTTATTGAGTTTTTTTATAATGTCTTCACATTTAGATTCCTTAGTGCATTGTTCTATATCTTCTTTGACCGTTTGTGCAATGGTATAGCTCCCCTTTATCTGTTTGGCTACAGCGACACTCACCTCGCCCTTGGTCACCTCTGTAAACCCTTCTAAATAATGCCTATTCCGGAATCTAGTGTAAAAAGCTGAATATTTAGAGTGTCTGGTAATAAAGGCAACAACCAACCAGTCATACAAGCTGTACGTTTTATCCAAAAACACCTTGATGTCTTTAGCCAGCTGCTGGCGGTCTTGGTTTTCATCAATCAGGTCGATTACATCCTTTTCAATGTATTTCTCAGGGTTTGAAATGCAGAACCTTTGGACGTCAGACATGACTGACATCATTTCAAAGGTCATCCTAGCCATGTCCTCTGCTTTGTCGATCCCATGCAGACTGTAGTAGAAAATATTAACCGTGTTGCTCATGTACACGAGTGCAGAAATCAGCCGTACAAAGCCTTTAATTCTGTCTTCGTGACACCTGGCGTGGTCCGTGACAAGAGTCTTAAAGTCTATCATGAAAGAAGGTTCCTGCGTCGTCAGTAACATGTGGAGTTTATCAGGGGAAAACACCAGGTTTGCATGAAGCTCTTTGAACACATTCTTATTTCTCTCTTTCTGCTCTTCACTAAAACATGGGTTTTCACACTTATCTAACAGTTCATTCAAAATTTTCCAGGCTAATCTGATATTGGACTCAGCTTCCTGATACGGACCGCTGGCCCAGATGTTCCATGTTGTTGTTATTAGTTGAATATCAAGCTTATTATTTAGGTCTTTGAACCCAGTTTGGAGATTTCGAATTATTTTGTTTGTGTCTCCTTCTCCCTTTAGAAATACATTAATGAAAGCTCCTAAAAATGGTCCAACGTAAGGTAGTTGTCTAATAAAAGGCTCTGCTTTTATTGCTAAATTTTTAATGTCTTTTGCTGTTTTTTTTCCGTTTTCTCTCTTTATCAGAACATGATGCTCTTGGTCTTTGGATCCCTGCGGAGAACTCTGACTACAGATGGGGAAGGAAACCAACATCAGCAGTAGCAGCAGAAACGGACCAGAGAACGCCATGGCTGAGGAAAGATGACAAACTGTTAGTTTTTAGGACATTTTTTCAGAGTTATGCTTGAATTTGATTGAACAGATCTAAACCCTGATCTTCATATATAAAAGTAAAATGAACAAGATAAAACAAAGGAGAACATTAGCTGCACAAAATGCCAGTGAAGGACATCTAGAGAGACAATAAGATCTGGATTTTCGGAGATAGGACATGACATTACATAGATTTAGGGGTCAGCAAATCACCATCAACCCAATAATGCATAACAGGTGTTGTTTCTTTATACATGCAAACCTTTAACATAAAGGTTATTATTTATAATGGCCGACGTACTACATATTTCAGAATTGTCCTGCTTCAGCACACTTGATTTCCAGTAATGGCTAATCAAAAGGCTTTTTGCTAAACTGTCATCGCCTGAATCAGGTGTGTAAAAGCAGAGGAACATCTTAAAGTGGCCGCTGACCCTGCTTTAGTAGACCGAATGGAAGATTAACAGCTGAGCACTTAAAATGAAGCTGATGATGGTTTAAAGGAGTTCAATACTGACCTGTAGAAGAGTTCTGGAGATCTGGTTCAGTCTCTGCACATCAACCGGTGTAGATGTGAAGACTCCAGCTGCAGACTGAAAAGATTGCCTTGAGTGTTGTTCTTTTATAGGGAAATTTTCTGGCCTAGTCCTCAGCCTGACGTCAAAGAGGGGGGAGTTTTGACTTGTAGTCTAACCCTCATCTTCTCACTAACTGTTCTGCTATGAAAACAATTATCTGGCAGAAACTTAACGCTGTGTTAAGGGTAACAAAATGTAAGTCCTCTGTCAAATATTTTACTGGTTTTTATGCAAGTTTGGCTCATTTGGATTGTCAAGAACATCACTATATTTACCCAGTGCCCACATTACTTATGCTCTCAGCTACATAAAAGTGTTGATCTTCCTCTCTTAAAAACAACAATAATAATTCTGCTACCTACCACCAATATGACAAACAATATAATATATATTGGCATGTAATCCAGACAAAATGCAGAGTCCTGGAATGTGGCAAGGAATTCAAAAAGCTCTGGGTGGGATAAAGGGAGGCGGGTAAAAAAGCTCTGGAGGTTAACCAATCTGTCATTCACTTCTGCTAAGATGCTTTATGTCTTGGAGGCTGAAGAAAGTAGCCCAGTGACTGTTTTAAACAGGCACACTTTAGGAACACTAGCATATCCATAGTTAGAGAGCTGTTGATGTGCCTGGTTCTTTCAGTCATGGTCCAACTGTCAGGACAATATAAGAGGGTTGTAACAAACACAGATTGTCTAATCTAGAGCTCTATCAATTTTCTAATTCGTTCTAAATCCAGAAAGAAACAAGGTAGAAATGTCAAAATGTCAGGAATAGCGCAGGTTTTATACAGCAGCCCAACAAAGCCTTGTTTTTGTTAAGAAAACATGCAAATTGAAACAGACGAATGGGTCCCCCCCTTTGGAATGGGGGTCGTTTGGCTGCTTTGTTAGCCTGCAATGCCCCATAAACATCTAAGTGTCTGAAAAAATCAGCAAGGACACTTTTTACTACAGTGGAAGTGAGGCAGGAGTCACCATAAGTGCAATTCAAATAGTATAAGCCCCTGGTTTTCAAAGTGGGGTCAGTGGCCCCCTGGGGGGGCTGCCAGGGGGCTCCAGCGGGGCCGCGGGTTAGGTTTATTCTTTTATACATCATGTGCACTGTTACTTTGTTAGCCAGATAGAGAGAGTAGATGGCCTTCCTTCAACAATGCACATGATGTATAAAAGAATAAACCTAACATACATGAATATAAACATAATATTCCTGTCTGGGTATGAAAACCATTCACCTAAAGCTTACAAATAATATTTTCTGGCTGCATGTAAGACAAGAGTCTGCCACCCTAGCTGAAAGGCCTCTGAAATGTCTCGTTCCATTTGCAACCACTTACTTGTGAGAGTCTGGCTTTTCCACTTTAAAAGCCTTGAAAACTAAACACAGATCACGTTTGAATGTGGAGAATGATATGCGTGTTGCTCTGTCAGACATCAAGCCCAGACTAGACAAACTGTAGAAGCCATCAGGCCCACTGCTCCCATTAGCATGGTATGTCTGTGTATCTCTCATGTAGCCTACATTTGTTTGTTAGGCTATGTTGTTAAAATGCCTGCATGTTTAATTTGGGACAAACTTTTATTTCGTTCACAAATCTTTCTGTTTTTGCAAGATATAAAGAGGTTCATCGTTTAAAAAAAGGTTATTCAAATTAAAGTGGTGGGCCTATATTATATTTTATTCATTAAATTAATGAATTAAAGTTTAACAAAATATAATTGTGACTTCATCTTTACAAAATAAAGATGAAGTGTGTTTTTATTTAGGTGGTTCGTTCACTAATTTTTTAATCCTGTTGCTGTAGCTTATACGTGAGCTATACAGTTACCCACAATCCTTTGCATGTCAGGATATAGGCCCACCTCAAAGAGGTTAACAAGAATGCATTTTTTTTCCCTGTGTGACACATACTAATGCACACACCTTCAAAAGTTGATAATTTTTTGTAGTTCTTGTCCAGAAGGCTATAGTCCCAGTTTGACCAGTATCCTCCCTGTGCATTCCCATCCAGGTTGTAGGCTGCCTGGACTCAGCTGCCCTCAGTCTGAAATGTCTATGTTGATTAGGGTTAATAGGCATCATTCACAGCTGTTAGAAAGAAACCAGAAGGACCAAATGAACATTTGAATGCAGAGGAGGACCTCTGTGTTATCTGGGTTTGAGGCTAACAAAGAGCCTCACTATGTTCTTCACTTAATGAAGTAATTTTCATAAAAGTTACTTAAGATCAGCTGGTACTGTGTTCCCTTTTGAATAATACCAACCCGATATTTCTGTTGTCACATTCCACAGAAGGACAGGAAGAATGGAAGAGGTCAGTAATATGCAAATGTTTGTAAAATATAAATGTTGGGAGTTGAAGAGGCAGTTAAGGAATATTTAAATAAATGGAGGCCTTATTCCCAGTTGTCAGATGGAAACCAGCAGAAGGACTAACTGAACAGTTGAATGCAAAACCCTCAACAAAGGCCTCACTACCTTCTTGAGTTGATAAAATAATTTCCATGTAAACCGTTTAAGTTCGCCTGAGTTGGTGATGGTTTGTTCAAGGATTAGCTGGCCCTCCCTTGCAGCTCACTGTGACACAGACGGCAGTTCCTCTGGGCCTTATGTTTTGCATAGTATGTCCTCCTGGATCCTGTGTTTTCTTTTGACTGTGGCCTCTTAAAATTCAGATATCTTTTTCCTCCTAGTTAATAATTAGACAGTAGAACCATTATTTGAACGAGGCTGTTGTAACTTAATACTATTTAATCAAATAACCTTTAACCTCCCATACAGTATCTGGTCATCTGGACCTCTCAGACCACTCAGGTCTTCTAGTTCCACCTTTCATTGTATATTCTGGTACTCACAGTTTTTACCACAAACTTAAAAACTCTTTCTATTCACTTTCAGTTGCTGCGAACGGAAATCCCCCACAGGCTGGCTGCAGCAGAGAGCTTTCAGCTGAGATTTCCAGTGCTGCCTCTCGCTGGTATGCTGGTGGTCTGGCTCTCCTTTTTTTTTTTTTCTTTTTTACAGTGTCCTGTCTGGCAATGTGGCAATAAGAATAATTGTCTTGATGCCAAAAAGAGCCCAACAGATTTTCCTTTCACAAGTGTAGCAGTATGGCAATTGCCATATTGCTCCACTTGTTTCATGCATATAAATTGCTTTATTATAATTATGCAGGGAGTTTTATAGTTTATATGGACACTGCAATGTAAATAGAGCAGAAAAACAGAAGAAGAAAAGGAAAAAATAGAAAAAAAGAGAAAAGATGAAAGAAAAAGAGATAGAAAGGAGACAATGATAAAACATTTTCAGTCTGCTTCAACACCTGTAATGAGATGGAAAAAGAACAGCACAACCGAAAGACATGGTACGAGATATACAATAAAGCAACACTTTGAAACTATCGCTAAAGTAATATTATTAAGTCTGATCAGCTGCAGAACAGAAACCAAACACTAGTGATGAAGCCCTCTAATAGCGGCCTATGGTTCTTCAGAAGGGGGAACATTTTTAATCACAAGGCAAAACAGAGACGTGCAAGAAATAAAACCTTGAAGGGACTCATAAGGGACTCAACTCATGTTGAGAAATCTCATTAAAATGGTAAGTTAGCTAAAAAATGCTGTGCTGTAGAAGCTATTCTTAAATTAGGTGGAACAATTTAAACTAAAATGATTTTGCTTCAAAATATGGGCATAACAGCCATATTTCTATGGGTACCAGCACACAGGGAGCACAACAGAGTCAGGTCTCCTTCGAAAATAAGATTTTATCTCAAGGGACTTCCTGGTAAAATAAAGGTTAAATTAAAAAAACAGGGGAGTTAAAGGAAATGAAAAGACAGATAAGGCTGCAAAGGAGGCTACAATAAGAGAAGCCATCGATCTGTCCGTTAAAATTAGAAAGATGGAAACAAAGAGCATCAAGCAATGGGAAGAAGAGGGGAAAGGATGGTGGTTTCATCTGATTTAGAGGAGAGAGGGAGAAATGAGATGTGCAGGAAGGAACAGAAGAGAAGAAACAATTATATCAAGACTTAGATTTAGGCAAACAGGATTAAACAGTACTTTATTCAAAATAGCACTGTTATGTGTGAATACTCTGAGCAACAAGAGACCATTGAACGTGTTATGGTTGACTGTAAGAAGTATGACAGATAAGGGAGGGAATTGGATCACAATCTTAATAAAGAGAGAATACACTTTAATTTAATAAAAGTATGATGTAATTGTTTTTCATTATCTTAGATTAATCAGTGTAATTGAGAGGATTTTAATCTTATTTTGGTTTTATTTTGTTGATTTTGTTTTGTTCAGTATGAGTAGGTAGTAGCCATTCAGATTCACACTCCATACCAGCTGGTGGCGGTAATGCACCATTTCGTTACGTGCCAACCGCCTATAAAATCTCATAAAGAAGAAGAAGAAAAAGAAGTTAGGACCCGGAAGAAGATCGGAGAAGTATTGAGGCTGTCATGGCGGACCAAAACAAGCCAGAGAGCGCAGAGAACTTCTTCAATGAGATATTAAGGTTTGATTTAACTTTATAAACCCGGATAACCAGAATTTATAGACAGGTTTAAAATATCATACATCACGTTAGGTTTATTTTGGATGTTGTTGCTTATTTTGGGCTGTCGGAACCATAGATATCTATGGTCGGAACTATGTGGTCGCTAGTTAGCCCAGGAATTACTCGATGCTAACTGTTAGTTCATCCGGTTTGGACATGTTACTCTGTCTCCCTCTTTTGAATGTTTTGATTAAAAACAGTTAAATTAACTACACATAATTTGGATATACATATCTGACTCATTTACGGTTCAAACTAAGCAATAGATCTTAGAGTTTTAAATGAAATAACAAACATTTAAACAGGTTAATCAAGTATTCCTTTGCAGTGAATCATAACCAAATGATTTGTTCTTCGAGAACAGAGCTATTAATAGATACACAGTTATATACGTAGACGCCTATTTGGACGCAGGCCGACGTGCATAGAGGGCGGCCATCTTGGATCAGACCACAGTTCAGACAGCTGCTGTTAGAATGAATAGGAGGCTCCTTAGATCTCATTTTAATCACATGAAAGAGGATCCAGAGATAAAATTATAATAATCTTTGACATCTAAGAACCCATTAAAAGACCAAAACAAATTCTAATATATATATATATATATATATATATATATATATATATATATATATATATATATATGGGAGAATTATCCTGCCATAATGCAAGAGCACATAATTTCAATTTGAGAAAAGAATTTCATCTTCTTGCACTCAAAACTTATAATGCTCACACTCAAAACATGCGCTCTCTCTCAAATATTTTCTCTTCTCTCTCAAATCTTTGTTTCTTCTCTCAGATTTAATGCTTCTTTCACAGATATTTTCTCCTCTCGCTTGCCTCCTTCTCTTCGCGCACAAACCGCGCTCTGCTCGGGTCTGATATGCGCTCACAAACCTGTAGGCTCTGCTTGCGGATTTTTTCTGCTCTCTCGCGGATTGCAGGAGGATCGTCGCCTAGCAACCCTTCCAGCCAATAGAACGACAGCCTGGGAAAGGGTGCGCTTGTTTAACCCTACTGAGTGTGCCTGTGCTACTACGCCACTTATAAGAGCGTCAGCTGAAACTGCTATTTACAGTAGTTTTGTGGCTCGATTCAACAAAGTTCAGTACTTATGGATAATCCAAACAGTTCTGTACTTTTAAACAATTAGTGGTTTGTTATGTACAAAAGCAAAGAACCGACATATTAAATTATTATCTTGAAATACTTTGTTAGTATAATGGCAAATCTTTACGTTTTAACCAGTCAGTGAGTTATGGATGTTTTAAAATGTTGGATGAGTGGACAATTGGTTCGAAAGAGGAGTCCAATCGCAGCTCTAGTAGGACACTACAAGGAAAGGAGACTTATGTCTTCTGAAAGCCACCGCTGTTTTCACCTCAAAGGAGCTTTTCATTGGACTAACTATGCGGTTTGTTGGCTATATCAGCAGGTTAATAAATAATAAGTACTGTATTATGATATTAAAATTGGTATTTATTTATTTAAATGTTATCATGTTTAATCAGACCTCAAATTTTATATTTAGTTAAGAGTGAGATCGTTAACTTTCAGAGGCGTGGATGACTTGACCCTGGAAGAGAAATCTTTTTCTCCTGACTTCTATAAGAAAATCAAAGTCAGGATTTTCTCTGACTGACAGCCCTGTGGCTGCAAGGCTATCAGTCAGAGGTGGCAGTCTGCAGCACTGGGGCCTCCAGGCCACCGTCCTGTCTCCATTTCTCTTCACCCTCTACACCTTCACCTCGTGGGCTGAGGGGAATGAGCTGGAGTACCGGTCAGTCATCATCGACTTTGTGGACTGTTGTGAGAAAAAACACCTGTGTTTAAAGTTAGGAGTCACAGCCAAACTCCAGCGGGTGCTTGGAGCGCGAAAAAAAAGACGCTAAAATAAATTAATATTGGGCTACGAAACTAGTCCGAATTAAAAAACTTATTATCTATGCTAAAACAGGCGAAAGCTTCTGATTGGAGTTCTGTAAAGAAGCAGGAGAGAGTTTTTTGATTTGTGGAACTTGAGAAATGTAAGTTAACAACGTTAGGATTTCTTTATTTTATCTTTTAATCAGATAGCCAAAGGCTCCTTAAAGAAGATCTTTTCTGAAATGAAACCAGGTGAAACAGAAACGTTTAAACGTTTCCTTTGGAGGAGTTCTGGATGGAGAATATTGACAGACAAAAACTATTTTTTTTTACTTCATAAATGCAAAATGTTTACATATTTTTTTACAATCTTGGTATAATTCCTGCTCTAAGTGGGTCGCTCTGTCGGCTAAAGGCACATTTTAGTGGCCCTATACTCCAGTTTACGATTAATCAATTACATAGTTCACGATTATTTAAATAATTTGTTAATATGATTAATTGTTTCAGCCATAGATAAAATACATGAAATTAGCTAAACAGAGTAACTACAGCCCAGATGTACAACTTCTAATATTAATATTTTAAATGCTCACTGTCAGTTCCTCTTATAGTTCCAGTGCACATGTAAATACAATTCATTTATTTGCTGTCCCTTGAATGTATTATTTTGCATGATCCAGAGAGAGCATATTAGATAATAAAAAATAAGAGTGGGTTTTACCTCTGTTTACCTCTGCACAATTCTATATCTTCAGAAGAAAACACAGGATAAATCCACATATTACAGACTATATTTGGTTAAACAGACACTGTCTTAGTAGCAGGTAAATTTAAATGCAATCCTTTTCAAAGTGGAAAAAGTCCTAATTCCACATTCATCAGAGCCAGTTATGCTTTAAATATTGATAAACAGCATCTAGTGCATGTTGTGCTTATAAGATTTGTATTAATGTAGCAAGAAATGCTGCTGTTCTCTTTAAACAAAATGAGCCCTGAAGCTCACATTAAGCTTAAAAAAGAGCATGCATATTTTTTGCAAAGGACCAATGAAACTGAAGAATAGTGTCCCTACCAAAGTTGAAATCAAACCAACGCCCTTGTTTCAAATACCTTGGTGTTCACGTCAATAAGAAAGTTGACTTGACACATAACACCATAATAATAATTGGAAATAACCATCCAACATTTTTACTTTTTGTAAAAAATTTATTTTTTCCCCTACATTTTGAAATTAATACTAGCAAAGTATTTCAAGATAATAATTTAATATGTCGGTTCTTTGCTTTTGTACATAACAAACCACTAACTGTTTAAAAGTACAGAACTGTTTGGGTTATCCATAAGTACTGAACTTTGTTGAATCGAGCCACAAAACTACTGTAAATAACAGTTTCAGCTGACGCTCTTATAAGTGGCGTAGTAGCACAGGCACACTCAGTAGGGTTAAACAGTAGGCTGTCGTTCTATTGGCTGGAAGGGTTGCTAGGCGACGATCCTCCTGCAATCCGCGAGAGAGCAGAAAAAATCCGCAAGCAGAGCCTACAGGTTTGTGAGCGCATATCAGACCCGAGCAGAGCGCGGTTTGTGCGCGAACAGAAGGAGGCAAGCGAGAGGAGAAAATATCTGTGAAAGAAGCATTAAATCTGAGAGAAGAAACAAAGATTTGAGAGAAGAGAAAATATTTGAGAGAGAGCGCATGTTTTGAGTGTGAGCATTATAAGTTTTGAGTGCAAGAAGAAAATATTTGAGAGAGAGCGCATGTTTTGAGTGTGAGCATTATAAGTTTTGAGTGCAAGAAGATGAAATTCTTTTCTCAAATTGAAATTATGTGCTCTTGCATTATGGCAGGATGTTCACATATGCATACATAATGATAAAAAAACACATAGATTGAAAAAGAAGAAGTTTAGACAAACTTATAAGGACAAAAAGCCTTTAGTTGGACACAACACAAATTTACTGTTCACTACTATTTTACAACAAAGTCTTGACAATAACAAAAAATGAATAATAGTTCTAACAGATTCAGTTCTTTATTAAAGGTCCAGTTCTTTCTGGTAACAGATTCAGTTCTTCCTGGTAACAGATTCAGTTCTTTCTGGGAACAGATTCAGTTCTTTCTGGTAACAGATTCAGTTCTTTCTGGTAACAGATTCAGTTCTTCCTGGTAACAGATTCAGTTCTTCCTGGTAACAGATTCAGTTCTTTCTGGTAACAGATTCAGTTCTTTCTGGTAACAGATTCAGTTCTTTCTGGTAACAGATTCAGTTCTTTCTGGTAACAGATTCAGTTCTAAGAGATTCAGTACTTTATTAAAGATTCAGTTCTTTCTGGTAACAGATTCAGTTATTTCTGGTAACAGATTCAGTTCTTTCTGGTAACAGATTTAGTTATTTCTGGTAACAGATTCAGTTCTTTCTGGTAACAGATTTAGTTCTTTCTGGTAACAGATTTAGTTCTTTCTGGTAACAGATTCAGTTATTTCTGGTAACAGATTCAGTTCTTTCTGGTAACAGATTTAGTTCTTTCTGGTAACAGATTCAGTTCTTTCTGGTAACAGATTTAGTTCTTTCTGGTAACAGATTCAGTTATTTCTGGTAACAGATTCAGTTCTTTCTGGTAACAGATTTAGTTCTTTCTGGTAACAGATTTAGTTCTTTCTGGTAACAGATTCAGTTATTTCTGGTAACAGATTCAGTTCTTTCTGGTAACAGATTTAGTTCTTTCTGGTAACAGATTCAGTTCTTTCTGGTAACAGATTTAGTTCTTTCTGGTAACAGATTTAGTTCTTTCTGGTAACAGATTCAGTTCTTTCTGGTAACAGATTCAGTTCTTTATGAAAGATTATGCGGCCTTTTCTAAAATCATTTCTTTTATCTGTATCTTTTCCTTTTGGATGGTTGATTAAATGAATCCGTTCTATTGTTAAATTCAGTTTGCTTGTCTCCTAATATGCTGCAGTCCATGCGAGCTGTTTGCAGCCCGCTCCAGGAGCCATAAGATCCCGGCTCGAGGACAGAAGGACTTCTATCCCGACGAGACGGAGGAGCAAAGACTGCGTCTGCAGCAGAGTTTGGACGAACACTGGAATCTCATATCGGAGGAGCGAGTCGAGCGGCTGTGAGTCAGATGGTCCGCTCTTAAAATCTCCTTTCCTGTTGGGTGGTAGGAAAGCAGATACATCAGATTTTCTTGGTTTTATGCCTTTGCAGAGGGAACCTGGTGAAAGCCACATGGATTCCAGATGACCGGATTGTGGAGCTTCAGACTCCTGCTGTAAGATCTTCTAGTTGTTTGTAAATAATCTCCTTTTGCTGCAGGATTTGGTGGTTATTTGTTTATTTGGTGCATGATGGGAGATGGAGGCATATGCAGCTCTGAATTTAATACATCTTTAAAGTCAAACTAACTTTGCTCATTAGCTGCACTTCTGCCCACATATAAGAGCTAGTGATGGTTTTATGATTCAGTGGTTGTCAGAGGAAATGGGGGGAGGAGGACAGAAAGTAAATTTTTTATATATATATTTTTTTTAGATTTAAAAAGTCAATGTATGACATGGATGCATAAAAACCTCATTTTATTTCAGTGTTTAATTCTGTTTAAAGTAACAGATTATAATTAAAAATGTCTCCTGACCTTTGCTGGTTGATGATTATCTTTAATTGGACCCTAATGATTTTTAATTGGTTACTCGTTTAGGGTTGTCACGATACTAAACTTTTCAACTCGATACCGATAGTAAGGAAAATATTCGATACTCGATACCATTTTCGATACCACAAGAATAAAAACAAAGACTCCAAAATTCAACAGAAATATTTTCATTAATAAATAAATACAATAAACAATAAGAACAATGTTTTGAGGTTGTATGCTGTGCACAATATTAAGCAAGCTTGATAAAAAAAACTTAATTAAGTGTTCCTTCCCTGGCTATGCTTTGCACACATAACAATGACACTAGCCAAACCGGTTAAGAAACAAAAATAATTCTCAGCAGCTGCACCTCTTACAAAAAAAAGTCTGAAACTGAAAAGTGCGTAGAATTATTCAATCACACAGTGTTCAGAAAGTGCATTTTCCTCCATTCTGCACCTTAGATGAATGACTGCTTAGGTGCCACTGGTGGTAGCACTGTATCGATACTTTTAAAAACGAGTATTGTATCCGGATACAACGTTTCAGTATCGATACTTTTGACAACCCTACTCGTTTTATACAGTAAGCCAACATAGCCTTGCTTTTGTTTAGAAAACATGGAAATTGAAATGGATGAACGGGTCCCCCCCCCTTTGGAATGGGGATCGTTTGGCCCCATACCTGTCTGTGTCTCTGAAAGGGGGGTCGTTAGAGGGAATTGTTGGCCTGGCTGAATAGGCGAGTTCTTCTGATCCCCTGTAAGGGTTGGGGTTGCGATGATTGCGGGAAAGGATCAACTTAACTTCCAACTTTCACCAGCAAACCTCAAAGTCTTCCTTCCTCCGTCCAGCGGACGATGAAAACATCGTTAGCAAAGCTCTGCTCTCCCCTCCAGAGGAGCTGGATGGTTTCCCAGAATCACTTTGAAGCCGGCTGATAGTCTTCATCCATGGCCTCTCCTCCTTTCCTTATACATATGTTTATTTTATTTTAGTATTAATTAAACTTTATTAGGTAAATGATTGTCAACTAGCTCTTCATTTTTACCGTTCTTACACTTTACGCTTTCTGTTTTTCAGTAAACTTTAATCTTTTTGGTTTTTATTGTTCCTCTTTTTGAGTAAAAAAAAACAGATATTTCTAAAGATGCAGTTTATGAATTCAGATCAGCTCTTCTCGTTCTGTTCAAACATGGCCTCCAGGCATCCATTAATAAACAAATGAAAGTCAATATTTTGTAATAAATAGCTTCTTTGTTTCTTATTTGTCATGTAATAATGGATCATTGTTGTTTTCAGGGTAAGTTCTGGCAGACGATGGGTTTCTCTGCAGAAGGGAAGCAGTATCTCCTCCCTGAAGAGGCTCTCTACCTGATGGAGTGTGTGAGTATCACTCGTTATTTAACTAATGTGTCGGAGGAGTTTCTTCCCCTCCTGACTGAATGTGTTTCTGGATGCAGGGCAGCCTGCTGGTGTTTAATCAGGACCTGCCGCTGTCCATCCAGGACGGCTATGAGATGTTTCTGTCTGCAGACGCTGTCAGCCTGCAGCAGTACCAGGTGCGTTTCTCCTCTGATGCTCTGATTAAAGCTGGAAGCTGCGTTTCTGGTCTGATCTGATGGTTCTTCTCTCACATTGAAGGTGTTTGGGCATCTGAAGAGGCTCGGCTACGTGGTTCACAGATTTGATCTCAGGTAACAGAAGCTGGAGTTTGGTCTTTGTCTCATGGAGGGAAGTTTTTGCTGCTTTAAGATGCAATTAAATAATGATAAAACTGGGCCTCTGATTTAAAGGTTTTTAGATGATTAAAGTCAGTTAGTCATATATATACACTCACCGGCCACTTTATTAGGTACCCCATGCTAGTAACGGGTTGGACCCCCCTTTGCCTTCAGAACTGCCTCAATTCTTGGTGGCATAGATTCAACAAGGTGCTGGAAGCATTCCTCAGGGAGTTTGGTCCATATTGACATGATGGCATCACACAGTTGCCGCAGATTTGTCGGCTGCACATCCATGATGCTAATCTCCCATTCCACCACATCCCAAAGATGCTCTATTGGATTGAGATCTGGTGACTGTGGAGGCCATTTGAGTACAGTGAACTCATTGTTATGTTCAAGAAACCAGTCTGAGATGATTCCAGCTTTATGACATGGCGCATTATCCTGCTGAAAGTAGCCTTCAGAAGTTGGGTACATTGTGGTCATAAAGGGATGGACATGGTCAGCAACAATACTCAGGTAGGCTGTGGCGTTGCAACGATGCTCAATTGGTACCAAGGGGCCCAAAGAGTGCCAAGAAAATATTCCCCACACCATGACACCACCACCACCAGCCTGAACCGTTGATACAAGGCAGGATGGATCCATGCTTTCATGTTGTAGACGCCAAATTCTGACCCTACCATCCGAATGTCGCAGCAGAAATCGAGACTCATCAGACCAGGCAACGTTTTTCCAATCTTCTATTGTCCAATTTCCATGAGCTTGTGCAAATTGTAGCCTCAGTTTCCTGTTCTTAGCTGAAAGGAGTGGCACCCGGTGTGGTCTTCTGCTGCTGTAGCCCATCTGCCTCAAAGTTCCACGTACTGTGCGTTCAGAGATGCTCTTCTGCCCACCTTGGTTGTAACGGGTGGTTATTTGAGTCACTGTTGCCCTTCTATCAGCTCGAACCAGTCTGGCCATTCTCCTCTGACCTCTGGCATCAACAAGGCATTTCCGCCCACAGAACTGCCGCTCACTGGATGTTTTTTCTTTTTCGGACCATTCTCTGTAAACCCTAGAGACGGTTGTGTGTGAAAATCCCAGTAGATCAGCAGTTTCTGAAATACTCAGACCAGCCCTTCTGGCACCAACAATCATGCCACGTTCAAAGTCACTCAAATCACCTTTCTTCCCCATACTGATGCTCAGTTTGAACTGCAGGAGATTGTCTTGACCATGTCTACATGCCTAAATGCACTGAGTTGCCACCATGTGATTGGCTGCTTAGAAATTAAGTGTTAACGAGCAGTTGGACAGGTGTACCTAATAAAGTGGCCGGTGAGTGTATTTGATGACTTTAAGGGTAATCCAAGCTAATTCTATTCAGTTTATTTCTATAGCGCCAATTCACATCATGTCATCTCAAGGAACTTTCCAGTTCACCAGATCATCCAGTCAGATTGATTTAAAGTTTTCTATCTAAGGAAAACCAGCTGATTGCATCGACTCATTGACTCTTCAGCAATCCCTCACACTAAGCATGCTTGTAGCGACAGTGGAGAGGAAAAACTCCCTTTGAACAGGAAGAAACCTCCAGCAGAACCAGGCTCAGTGTGAGCGGCCATCTGCTGAGGCCCACTGGGGTTCAAGGAGACAGAAGTAGACATAGAAAAAGAAGCATAGATACAAAAGGCAACTGTCAACCAGCTCCACAGGCGGCCCCGTCCAGGAAACACACAGCCAGGCAGACGAGCTCCGAGCCAGCTCCCATGTCAGAGGATGAAGAGAGCACATCCAGTTAGTCACAGTCAGAGAAACAGGACTACACTGGAAAACAGGCCAAGCTCCAACATCTAGAAACAAAGGTGTTGATGGCAGCAGCACAGCTGATATTTCTCTCCAGGATGGAGTCACAACCAATCAGGAACAGACCAGATGAAGCTAATTCCTTTTAGCTTTCAGAAAAATTAGTTTTTAAGCCACAGCTCTCCTGTTTCTGCTTTTAAAGCCGTTCTTCTTCTCTTCTGTCGTGTTTTTCCTGGTTCCTTCCAGCGCTGAGCCGTCTCCCTACGCCAGGCAGCTGAACCTGCCTAGGCAGCGAGACCGAGGGGGGTGGCCGCTGAAGAGGAAGCGCAGCCCCAGCCCGACGCCGACCTGCAGGTGAGCAGAGACCCAGAGCTGATCACCGCTTTTGGCTGAGAGCTTTTGGTGTTCACCGTGTCCACGTTTGCTCCGTCAGTCGCAGGAAAGCAGCAGGAGAGTCGCAGGCTGAGAGAATGGAGGAGGGTGAAGTAGCAGAGTCTGACCTTCCGTCCTCTGCAGAGCCTCAGACGCCCCCTCCGGGCCCCGCAGGTGAGGGCCGGACCTGGTGGGTGATGGACGCCCCGGAGGAGGACAAAAGGTCGCCCTGCGCTTCCCCATCCGGTCGCTTCCGCTGGAACTTCAGCGCCATCTCCTTCCCTGACCTGGGCTCCGGTCGACCCGGCTCCGTGGCCCCTCCGGACCCCTCCCTGCTTCCCGGAGGCGTGAAGGTGGGGCTGTGTGACGTCGCCTCCTGGATGCAGAGAATAAACCTGCGGAAGGTGAGGATGTCTGCGAGGGAGGAGCAGATGGAGAGACGCAGGCGGCGCCGGGATGTGAACAAAGACAGGCAGGTAAAGGCGTCCCGTCAGGCAGCAAAGCGGAACCTTCAGCGTCTCTGCTGGTTCTGATTCCACGTCTTTCAGGTTCAAAGCTGCAGAAACTGGGCGGAGTACCACGAGCTGCTGGCCCGGCGGCAGGCCACCCGACAGGGCCGACCGGCCCACCTGTGGAAAGGGAAAGTTAAACCTTTACACGACCCGACCCAGCCCATCGCCACCGGTGAGTTGGTGGCGGACCGCGCGGCGCCGACGTAGCAGATGCTATCAGACTGAGACGATCTCTGCTTCTTTCAGACGAGCTGCTGGAGAAAATCAGTGTGATCAAATCTACTGACCTGCTGGAGGGAGCATCCAGGTACTGCTGAGAAAACACACGGTTCGATAACGACTCCTTTCACATCAAACCGTCTGATTAACCTTTTCTTTAAAGGAAAAGTCCGGCCAGCAAGGAATAATCAATGGATCATTATTTATATCTGAAACTAATACGATCACAGTGATTTAATTAATTTAGTCTTAATCAGTGAGTATCACTGAGTCTGGGAGCGGCCATTTTTGTTCGCTCCTGCCATCTTCCAGCAGTGACGTCACGGTGCGGTAAGCCTAGCGCCATTCTCCCCGCTTTCCAAGCTAAATCAATGGGAACTACTAGACACATCTGCAATCAACAACAATTATTGAAGATTTCCAGAGGACTTCACCATTGAAATTCACCAGAGCTATAGTGAAACTGACAATGCCCACGTGCATGGCAGCTGGATGCTGGAATACATCGGGTAAAAGTGAAAAAAAAAAATATTATTTCACCTTTCTGATTCATGATAATGGTGAAAAACAGGTAATATGTAGCCAACATTTGGAAGAAGAATGTTTTCAAGATGACTTGGATAATAGCGCGTTGTGACAAACACCAGATACAGCACTGGGACTTGATCAACAGCCGATACCGCACCGTGACGTCACTAACCAGTAGGTGGCAGTAGTGTTCTTTGACAAACATGGATGCCTCCAGTAAAGCACATTCACATGAAAATTAGTCTGAATTAAAAACACAGATCATTTATTGAACAGGATGGAATCATTTCACATTTTAAGAACTTTCAGAAGTTTGGATTCTGAATATGAGCGACTTTTCCTTTAAAGGAGCTGAAGTCATTTCCTTTTTTATCTTTTTTTTAAGATAACAGCTGTGAAAAGCAGCAGCGTTTTTTTTTCTCTCCGTTGAATAAATCCTTCCTCTTTGGAGACTCTGCAGATGTTTGCAGTTATTCCAGTTTCTGCTCAGGTTGAAGTCTTTACTAAAGGCTGTAAACTAAAAAGCAAATCAAACGTGTTGATTAACGGAGCCAGATGTGACGCCAATCAACACAGAACGTCTGGAGATTCCATCAGAAGAAGTTTATTCATTTAGATTCATGTAGAAGCAAATTAGTTTTTTTTTTATAATCTGATATTTAGTGTAAATAATAACAGATTTATGCAAACTTTAATAGAAATCATTAAACTAAATGATGAGTCACGGATGTTTTATTGCTTACATGGTTCCCAACCTGAAGTTTGCACGCCCCCTAGAGGCGGCGCAGGAAATTTATTGAAGAAATGATTGAGATTTTTATGTATTTATTTACTGAAACTTTTATTACACTGAGGATTAAATAATTAAACTTGAAATTATTTTACTTTAGAGGTAATTTATCAATTTAAAGGAGATTGTAGTAAATTTTACTGCAATAATTAATTTACTGCTGCTGACTTTTCATTGGTTTACTCATGAAAAAAGGGGCGGGGGTGAAGATTGATTCGACATAAAATTTAAAGCACGGGGGGGGCTGCTTTAGCCTATCTACCTGTATATATAACGATTATTTTATCAAACGATTAAATACTTTTTGGATTAATAGTCTGATAGAAAAAGATGCTTTAATACATTTTATTTTTAATTTGAATGAGTTTAAACAGAAATAATTATTTTTGTTTTAAATGTAAAATGCAGATTTGGTTTCATTTCATTTTATGGCAGACCATTCGGTATTTATTATGGTACTTACCACAGAGGTGATTAAATAAAGAAGCTTATGGAAATTTATTGATTTATTTCTCGTTGTATAATTTAATTACTGCTTACATTCATTTATTTTTAATATTTCTGTCTGCATATAATTTAGAGCCTTTGTACTTCGTTTAGTGATTAATCCACGACTAATTTAGGCGGCGATTATTGGAATAATCCGTTAACTATTTAAGACGATTCCCCGTCTGTTGGCTCTAAAGTAAAGTTAAAGGATTGGTTGTTTATCATCAGCAGCACTCGGTGTCTCCTCAGCATCTTTGTTTCATAATATCAAACTGGACTCGCATGTCGGCCGACTCTGTTAAACCCAGGGGCCATAAATCCGAAGTGAGCGCGTCGCTTTGCTGTTTACGATCGTTCCTGTCCAGATCCATACAGATGAACGGTTGCATCACTCAGGAGGAATGGATGTCGTTTGTTTTTCTGCTCAGGTTAAAAGGTTCTGAGGAGTGGAGGATTTGTTTCAATGTTTACCAGCCGGATTCGGTGGCCGACTTCAAAAAGAGCAACCCGGGCAAACCGTACAGCCGCATGTGCGTCTGCAGGTAAGTCCTGAATGCTCGTTTACTCAGGATCCACTTACAGGAAAACAATGAACCCAACATGAACACCTCAGTTCTCCTCCTGACAGGAATAATCAACGACCTGATGAAAGGCGTCACTCTTTTTGTTCAGTAAACGTCAGAGAAAATATTCGTCACGCGGTTGATTCATTTCCTAAACGATGTTTCTCCTTTTTCCTCCCAGTCAACAGAATCTCCTTTTTTTCCAGTTTCGACGGTCCTGTTCCTGACCTCAGAGTCATCAAGCAGCTGGCCTTTCAGAGCGGAGACGTTCCCGTCGTTTACGCCGTCGTTGACCACGGAGACATTTCCTTCTACACCTTCAAGGACTTTGAGCTGCCAAGAGACGTGTTCCCCTGATATCCACCCCCCCCCCCCAGAACCTCTGCGTCTCCTTTAGACCCCAAAACACTCATTTCTTTCACCTACAGCCCGCTCATCCAGTTATTTTCTGTTTTTTGAGGTTATATTTGCTTCCTATGGATCGTTGTTAACAAGGGAATCACATTTTTTAAATAAATCTTTGTATTTTACCAACTGCTGAGCGTATATGATAACTTTTGCTGAAAATGGAATCTTGGGATTCATGAAACCTTTTTAGCTGATTTATAAAATCTTCTATTATAATATATAAAATTTTCCCCCACACTGGAAAAAATGAAAATCTAGATAAGTAATTTTTTCCTTAAAATAAGTGCATTTGTTCTTGGATTGAGGAGGTAAAAGGGATATTTTGCTAATGGAACAAGACAACTTACACTTAAAATAAGAAAACATAATTGCATTGTCTTATTTCAAGTGTATTTTATCTAAATATCTTATTTTAAGAGTAAAAATACTCATTCCATTGGCAAAATATCTCATTAACCTTCTCAAATTAAGGGTAAATACACTTAATTAAGAAATGTTGACTTAATTCTAGGTCGTTTTTCCAGTGCATTAAATTCTGAAGTGAATCCTTTGAGCTCCAAAATGTTAATAAGAACCCTTCATAATAGAAAAACAATATTTTTTATGAACCTACTTTAAGAAATAAAAATGTAAACTTTAAGTTGAAAGTAGCTCTAAATGCTGCAAAGCTTCCCTGAAAGTTCCAGAAAGAAAAACCTAAACTTCAAGGAAACGACTTGTTTTGCTGATCCGCTTGTTCTCAGCTTAAATCGTCCCTTAAAGGCCACAAGCTGAAACCCACTGAAAATAAAAGTTTCACTTCAGATCAGGAGTTTCACTTTGAAATGTTGGTGAAGTTGTTCCAGAAATGAACCCAAATGAAAAACTAACCTTTAAGTTCTAGAAAGGTTTTATGGATGATCTGGAAAGTACAGAGAAACTCACCTTAATGTCATTTATAGGATTTAATTTCCAATGTGCAGCAGTAGATGAAGTACTTTACAGTAGTAACTGAGTAAAAATATTGATACTCAGTCAAATCTTACTCAACTACAAGTAAAAGTTCGTCAGGTAAACATCTGTTCAGGTTAAAGCATTGAAGTACTCTCTTTTGAAAAATACTTAAGTATTCAAAAGTACAAAAAGTTAAAAAATACCAATTTAATTTTGTAATAATTTTAAAAGAACCTGTAACTTCAGAGACCATCTGATGTATTGATGCGTAGAACTACGGGGTATAGATTCTACACCACCTGGAAAGAACTTCAGCATTAAAATGCCTAAAAAAAGGCATCCGTTTTATTTTCTTATATAAAAACAAACCAAAAATAAAACAGAAAAGTCTTGATTCTCTATGGAATAGAGATTAAAGGTTGAATCTAATTTACCACAAAGAAACTAGAACTGATCTGAGACTCATCCTACTAATGCCTTTATAACATAAACTACTAAGAATATCTACTCTGAGTTTCTCACATCTGTGGAACGTCATTAAATCTCTAAATCAGTGCAGTTATTCATTCACTCTACCTGCCTAAGGACAGAAAAACGGCACCAATGGATTAAAAAGTTAAGGAACTAGCAGCTTCCTAGAAATTGAGTAAAATGTTACAAGTCCCACTCCCAAAGATACTCAAAAATAAGAAGTATCTAAGTACGGTAATCAAGTAAATGTACTTTACTTTCCACCACTGCCAATGTGCTGTAAATGATTAAAACTCACCTTTAGATTCTAAGAAATTTCTTCCTCTTCCATTTAAATTATTTGACAGTAAACTGTAAATTTCAGGACTGTAATCTACATAATTTCCCAGAAAGCACCCTGTCCCGTTCAGTGTTGGGGAGTAACGGATTACATGTAACGACGTCACATAATTTAATTACAAAAACAGAGTAACTGTAATTCGTTACAGTTAAAATTAGAAAATATGTAATTCAGTTACAGTTACGAAAATATTAAGAATTACAAATTTAGTTACATTTTTTTTTAAATATAAAGAAAAACCTTTGCGAAAAATTTACTGTAATGACATTTTTATTGCTTCGCGCCCTGTATCTCCGTTTCGCGCTACGGCTCCTTGTCTCTATCATATTTGCCACTCTGATGATCCATCCTGTGCTGGTGGAGCCTCCTTGAGGAACAGCAAGCGAGCGGACGGTTCTATTTCAGCTCAAGCAGCGCATCAAAAATGACAGCCGTCCAGCACTGGAAATTTAAGGAGCATTTCATTTACATCTGTGAAAATAGCTCAAATTTAACCGTGCAGTGCAAGAAGTGTTTGCCGGCTATCAACCTGAACCTGCTTGTGTTAGTCTGCAAACGGCGTAAATGGTAGAGCCTGGGGGAGGAACAGAAAAGAGTATGGCCCGATGAGAGGAGTCTGAGAAAATCTTCCATGCCTGCTGCTGGCATCTCTTCTTGTGGACATCCTGTGATTGCCTGTCAGCAATTCCCTCTCAGCTTAGTGCTTTTTCAAGGTTCACATTCAGTTCTCAAAAATTAAATGTTGAACAATGGTCAATACTCATTAAAACCTTAAAGTAATCAAAAAGTAATCAAAAGTAATTAGTTATATTACTTTTTAAAAGTAATCGAAAAAGTTAAACTACAAATACATTTTAAACAAGGTAACATGTAACTGTAACGGATTACATTTTTAAAGTAACTTCCCCAACACTGGTCCCGTTACACTAAGTTTGATAAAATGCGTTTTTATGCCCATATTAACGCGTAAAGTGGATAAAATGCCTGTGACTTCCAAAACATAACCTTGATATAAGATGGATTTTCACAAAATGTAACCTAAAGGAAATCAGTGAGTTCTAAGTGGAATCCTGGAAGTAGAGAAAGTAACCGGTAAGTTCATGGAAGGTAACCCGTCCCATGCAGGGAATTATGAAACCCTATAAGATCCGTTATATAACCTTTAGCTGATTTAAAAAAAAAAGAATCTTCTCAGTTTCTCTCTGCATTTAGAAAGAGGTTGGTAGAAAAGCCAAAAGTTCTCTTAAGAGTAAAAAAATATTGGGTAAAAAGGCCACTGAAGTACTGAGCAACTTATCATCCAATTTATGTGCAAATTCTTGTAAAATGATAATAAACGTAACTGGAAAACAATAAAACCCAGAAGAAGGCGGCTTTAAAAGGTTAAAAAAGGTCGTCTCTTCTGAAAAAAGCTGGAGAAAAGTACCTGAAACGTACCTGCGAGTTCCATAGAGCAGAAACCTACTGATCTATTACATTAAGAAAAGTATACACTGCAAAAAATGTAAATCTCAATAAGTAATTTTTTCTTAAAGTGCTTTTTCTCTTGAATTGAGGAGGTAAATGCCAATCAAACAAGACAATTTACATTTAAAATAAGAAAAAACAACTGCATTCTCTTATTTCAAGTGGATACTATCTAATTATCTTATTTTAAGAGTAAAAATGTTCATTCCATTGGCAAATTATCTCATTCATCATACTCAAATTACGGCTAAATACACCTAATTTCAGACATTTTTACTTATTTCTTGATTGTTTTTGTAGTGTATAAATTATCATTTAATTCACTCTGTACTTTCTGTTAAACAGGAATTATTATTTTTTCCACATGTGAAGGGGCTTAAAACCCACCTTTATAAGGTGGACGGGTCGCCTTTTACAGTTTTCTGTCTGCTTCTGTCTCCTTGAACCCCAGTCGGCCGCTCACACTGAGCCTGGTTCTGCTGACTCAGTTAAAAGGGAGTTTTTCCTCTCCACTGTCGCTACAAGCAACCCAGTCGTGAATTGGCGCTATAGAAATAAACTGAATTGAATTTAATGTAAATTCCTAATAGTAACCATTTGTGCAACATTTCAGTTATGCTAAATTTAAACCAGCTAATTTCAGAAAAAAAAAAAAAAGACTTAAGATGCAAAAAATCCATCAGATATTTTTTTCCCCTAGACTAAAAAGTTGTAGGAATTAATTTCCTCCACCTTTGATGATTTATCTACATATCTAATAAAGCTTTATTTGTACAGCTGTATAGTATATAGCATCAATGCATTTAATTAACTGTGAAGAACCACTGTGAGGTAACCCAAGTTTCATATGTTGATTTTTCTGCAGCTGCAGGAAAACAATTGAAATAATTTTCCTGCTTATTAGACGAACAAACAGAAGCATGCATGTGATGCGTTTGACCATGAAGGTCTGGTTTTTGCCTTTTGTGTTGCTGCGTCTGAAAGCAGCTTCACGGTTTATAAAGGTTTACCCAGATTGGATGGAAGGCTGAGAGCTATGGCTGCTCTGTGGATTCCCGCCTTGGTGATGTTTGCTGGTAAGTCTCTAAAAAATATATATCTTTATTCCAACTGAGAACCTCAAGTTTCTGCTCAGATTAGTAATCTCTTAACTCCTTTCCAGCAGGTGTTTGCAGCAGTCTGTCATCAGATTGCACATATTATGGTCTGCTGGAACACTTGAACCTGACGACATCAAATGCGGCTCTAGAAATAATGCGGCCGGTGAAAAACTGGAGATACACCACCGTAGTTTCCCTGGACATGGTGCTGTACGGCATTTTAGGGATTGTAAGCGTCCAACTCTTTCAGTGTTATCTTTTTTTTTTTTCAAATTTCCGTGTTTCACATTCAGTTTTATAAATTGAATTATTTTCAAATTATGTTTCACAGATCACAATCTCTTAATATCAAAGTATAAAAAAATGTTAACGTCCATCAGACCAATACATTGCAAAAACTATCAATAGGACAAAATTCATAAAATGAAATGTATTTGCTCTTAATCTGAGCAGCTAAATAAGAGGATTTACCAGTGGAATGAGATTTTGTTTTTATCTTAAATTAAGATTAGATTAAAAAAAAGGACTAGAAATAAGTACAATAGTTTTTTCTTATTTTACACTGGAAAAAATCAAAATCTAAAGTCATTTTTTCTTCAAATAAGTGCATTTGTTCTTGGATTGAGGAGATAAAAGAGACATTTTGCCAATTTAACAAGACAATTTACACCTAAAATAAGAAAATACAATTGCATTGTCTTATTTGTAGTGCATATTATCTAATTATCTTATTTTAAAAGTAAAAATACTCATTCCATTGGCAAACTATCCAATTTACCTACTCAAATTAAGGGTAAATACACTTCATTTAAGAAATTTTGACTTATTTCTAGATCGTTTTTTCCACTGTAAATGTAAATTTTCTTGTTCCATTAGCAAAGTGTCTCACCTCAATTCAAGAAAAAATGCATTTATTTCAAGGAAGAAAGGTACTTATTTAGATTTTAATTTTTTGCAGTGTAGAAAAAAAGTCATCAGAAGTGAAGAAAAAGTGAGAGGGAAATTTGGGATCTGTCAAATGGAATCAGAAAAAAGTGCAATCGAAAAGTGGTCTGCTGGAACTCTTGAACCTGACGACATCGAATGCGGCTCTAGAAATAATGCGGCCGGTGAAAAACTGGAGAAACACCACCGTAGTTTACCTGGACATGGTGCTGTACGGCATTTTAGGGATTGTAAGCGTCCAACTCTTTCTATTTATGCCTTCAATATATTTAATCCGGTTTGCATCATGGAAATGGCAGATTTATTTAGCTAAAGTGGCATAAAAGTTCGTCACAAACCATATCTTCACTGTCAACAGCAGAAGAGGTTCAAGCAAGAACATTTTAAATTTGGTTCAACAGGGAAATTCGTTTGGTTTAATAATTATCTGAGGTAAAGTTGTGTCTGCACTGCTAAAAATTAAAATCTAAATATGTCCTTTTTCTTAAAATAAGTGCATTTTTACTTTGAGGAGGTAAGTGAGACATTTTGCAAATGGAACAAGTCAATTTACATTTAAATTCTCCTGGTGCTGCTCAGCTGTGGGATGCACTGGAAAACCCATCTAGAAATAAGTGAAAAAATTTCTTCAATTAGGTGTATTTAACCTTAATTTGAGCAGGTAAATTAGATAGTTTGCCAGCGGAATGAGTATTTTTTACTCTTAAATAAGATAATTAGATAATATGCACTTGAAATAAGACAATGCAATTGTGTTTTCTTATTTTAAATGTAAATTTTCTCGTTCCATTGGCAAAAATTTTTTTTACCTCCTCAATTCAAGAACAAAAGCACTTCTGTTAAGAAAAAACGACTTATCTAGATTTAGATTTTTTACAGTGTGAGGTTTCAACAGTAACTTTACAGCGTTCTCTTTTTTTTCTGGTTTATTTGAATTTTTCTTTGTTTCTTTGTTTTCAAATTTCAGAGTTTGACATTCAGTTTTATAAACTGAATAATTTTTATATTATGATTTATTTTGCTAAAGCAGAGTAAAAGTTCATCACAATCCATATCTTCACTGTCGGCAGCAAGAGGTTAAAGCAAGAACATTTAATTTTTAATTTTAAAAGGGGAAATTTGTTTGGTTGAATAATTATCTGAGGTATGCTAGAAAAAAATTAATTTTTTTCTTAAAATAATTGCATTTGTTCTTCGTATAAGGAAGTAAAAGAGACAATTTGCAGATGAAACAATACAATTTACACTTAAAATAAGAAAACATGATTGCATTGTCTTATTTCAAAAGCATATTATCTAATTATCTTATTTTAAGAGTAAAACTACTTATTCCACTGGCAATCTTATTCACCTACTCAAATTAAGGGTAAATACACTTACACTATATTGCCAAAAGTATTTGCTCACCTGCCTTGACTCACATATGAGCTTAAGTGACATCCCGTTCCTAATCCATAGGGTTCAATATGACGTCGGTCCACCCTTTGCAGCTAGAACAGCTTCAACTCTTCTGGGAAGGCTGTCCACAAGGTTTAGGAGTGTGTTTATGGGAATTTTTGACCATTCTTCCAGAAGCGCATTTGTGAGGTCGCACACTGATGTTGGACGAGAAGGCCTGGCTCTCAGTCTCCGCTCTAATTCATCCCAAAGGTGTTCTATCGGGTTGAGGTCAGGACTCTGTGCAGGCCAGTCAAGTTCATCCACACCAGACTCTGTCATCCATGTCTTTATGGACCTTGCTTTGTGCACTGGTGCACAGTCATGTTGGAAGAGGAAGGGGCCAGCTCCAAACTGTTCCCACAAAGTTGGGAGCATGGAATTGTCCAAAATGTCTTGGTATGCTGAAGCATTCAGAGTTCCTTTCACTGGAACTAAGGGGCCAAGCCCAGCTCCTGAAAAACAACCCCACACCATAATCCCCCCTCCACCAAACTTTACACTTGGCACAATGCAGTCAGACAAGTACCGTTCTCCTGGCAACCGCCAAACCCAGACCCGTCCATCAGATTGCCAGATGGAGAAGCGCGATTCGTCACTCCAGAGAACGCGTCTCCACTGCTCTAGAGTCCAGTGGCGGCGTGCTTTACACCACCGCATCCGACGCTTTGCATTGCACTTGGTGATGTATGGCTTGGATGCAGCTGCTCGACCATGGAAACCCATTCCATGAAGCTCTCTGCGCACTGTTCTTGAGCTAATCTGAAGGCCACATGAAGTTTGGAGGTCTGTAGTGATTGACTCTGCAGAAAGTTGGCGACCTCTTCGCACTATGCGCGTCAGCATCCGCTGACCCCGCTCCGTCAGTTTACGTGGCCTACCTCTTCGTGGCTGAGTTGCTGTCGTTCCCAAACACTTCCATTTTCTTATAATACAGCTGACAGTTGACTGTGGAATATTTAGGAGCGAGGAAATTTCACGACTGGATTTGTTGCACAGGTGGCATCCTATCACAGTTCCACGCTGGAATTCACTGAGCTCCTGAGAGCGACCCATTCTTTCACAAATGTTTGTAAAAACAGTCTGCATGCCTAGGTGCTTGAATTTATACACCTGTGGCCATGGAAGTGATTGGAACACCTGATTCCAATAATTTGGATGGGTGAGCAAATACTTTTGGCAATATAGTGTAATTTAAGACTATTTTACTTATTTTTTCTAGATTGTTTTTGCAATGTGCACAAAACATTTAGGAAATAATGTGAATCAAAATCTCATATTTTCTAGAGTTTGGTTAGTTGTTGGTTTGGATGATTTAAATCAGACGTTTTAAAATCTAAAACCTGCTCCTGGTGCTGCTCACCTGCCGGGTCACTCAGCTGTTGGATGAGACCAACAAGCACAGCTTGGAGGGTTCTCACTGGAAAAACAATCTACAAATAAGTAAAAATTTCTTAAATTAAGTGTATTTACCCTTGATACGAGTAGGTAAATTAGATAATTTGCCAATGGAATGAGTATTTTTACTCTTAAAATAAGACAATTAGATAATATGGACTTAGAATAAGAAAACACAATTGGTTTGTCTTATTTTAAGTGTAAATGGTCTTGTTCCATTGGCAAAATGTCTCTTTTATCTCCTCAATCCAAGAACAAATGCATTTATTTTAACAAAAACTTACTTATCTAGATTTGTATTTTTTCCAGTGCTGGTTCTCAGTTTGTCTCCACACTGCAAAAAATCTAAATCTTAAAATAAATATTTTACACTTAAGATAAGATAATTAGATAATATGCACTTGAAATGAGACAATGTAATTGTGTTTTCTTATTTTAAGCATAAATTGTCTTTTTCCATTGACAAAATTTCTTTTTTACCTCCTCAATGAAAGAAAAAATGCACTTATTGTAAGAAAAAAATGACTTATCTAGATTTCCATTTTTTCAAGTTAATTCAGATAGTTTTTAACAGATCACAATCACTTACGGTAATATCAAAGTATAACATTTATAGAATATCTAGAAATAAGAAAACATTTCTAAAATGAAATGTATTTGCTCTTAATTAGAGCAGCTAAATAAGATGATTTGCAACTGGAATTAGAATTTTTACTCTTAAAGATAATTAAATAAAAAAACACAAGAAACGTCCATCAGACCAAAACATTGCAAAATATGTTAAGAAGTAGGACAACATTCATAAAATGAAATGTATTTGCTCTTAACTTGAGCAGCTAAATAAGAGGATTTACCAATGGAATGAGTTTTTTTTTTTTTTTAATCTTAAATTAAGATTAGATAAAAAAAAATCACTAGAAATAAGTACAATAGTTTTTATTTTAAATGTAAATTTTCTTGTTCCATTTGCAAAGTGTCTCACTTACCTCCACAATTCAAGAAAAAAATGCACATATTTTAAGAAAAAAATACTTTAGATTTACATTTTTTGCAGTGCGGAACAAAAGACCACAGAAATGAAGAAAAAGTGACGGTGAAATTTATGAGCCGTCAAACAGCATCAGAAAAAAAAACACAATTAGAAAAGATATCCATCTTTCTAGATGGCTTTTGCAGCGTATTGAGCCGTTTAAGAGATTGTGATCTGTGAAGCGTAATTTGAAAACTATTCAATTCGTAAAACTGGATCTGAAAGAGATAAAAAAAAAAAAAGAAAGAGAAACAGCGAAGTTACTCTCAATAGGACGGAGTATTAGGGACTGGCAAGAGATTTTTTTTCTGTAAAATTACAAGAAAAAAGTCGTAAAATTACGAGAATAAAGACGTAACATTGTTAGTATTACTTTATCCTCATAACAGAAAAAAAACCCTCATGCCTGGCCCTAATACTCCGTCATACCTTCAAAGCCTTTTACTGATAAAGTTCTCTTTTTAAAGTTGGATTTCTGGATTGCATTTTTTTTTTCTATTTTCATTTACAAAACATGTTGCAAATTTTATGGAACGAATTTCACTCCATACATCTCCAAATGTTCAAGTTTTATTTTTCCTGTTTTTAACCAAACATTTTTCAAGAGAAGTGATTGTGTGTGATAACCTGATGATGAGCCCTTTGACTTCTGACACCTGCAGGATGAAAAGTCGCAAACTGTTACAGGTCACATCTGGTTCTCCGTGGTGAGCGTTTTCAAAATGTTACATTCAATACAATAAAACTTTGTAAAGATTCATTCAAATTCAAAAATGCTTTATTAATCCCAAAGGGAAATTAAATTACATCATTGGCATTGGTAGAAAAGCTCTTTAAATGCAGCTGTTTTCCCATTTTCTTCTCAGTTATGGACAAATGAACTCCTGACCTGGAATGCCTCCGACTTCTGCGGTATAAAGGAGCTGGCTATCCCAAAATCAAGGCTCTGGATCCCGGATATAATCATCAAAGAGGAGTGAGTGCGTCTGCACTGTGGAAAAAAAGAAATCTGGATTAGTAATTTTTTCTTTAAATAAGTGCATTTGTTCTTGGATTGAGGTGGTAAGTGAGACATTTTGCAAATAGAAGAAAATTCACATTTAAAATGAAACAATTGCATTGTCATATTTCAAGTGCATATTATCTAATTATCTCATTTTAAGAGTAAAAATACTCATTCCATTGGCAAATCATCTCATTTACCTACTCAAATTAAGGGTAAATACACTTAATTTAAGACATTTTTACTTATTTCTAGATAATTTTTCCAGTGTGTATTTTAGTTCAGGCGCCTAATGTTTCAGACTGAGGACTCAGATACAAACAGAACACAACGGGTAACAACTTTAAAAGATTTATTGTAGAAACTCTGAAGGTAATTCAGGATCAGGGAAACCAGAGCCTCTGGAAGGGAGAGAACAGGTTAGTGGCTGAGATGGACGATGATAAGTTCAGACTGCAAAGCCACTAACCTTTAACATCCAGGCAGCTCGTGGTTCCTGCACTGGGAAAACGATCTAGAAATAAGTACAAATTTCTTAAATTAAGTGTATTTACCCTTGATTTTAGTAGGTAAATGAGATAGTTTGCCAATGGAATTAATATTTTTACTCTTAAAATAAGATAATTAGATAATATTCACTTGAAATAAGACAATGCAATTGTGTTTTTTTATTTTAAATCTAAATAGTCTTGTTCCATTGGCAAGATGTCTCTTTTACCTCCTCAATTCAAGAACAAATGCACTTATTTTAAGAAAAAATGACTTATCTAGATTTAGATTTTTTGCAGTGTGAAACTTTGGCTTTGAGAGTTATTCCTCACTGAGGCTTGGCAGGTAATCGCGGTCAAAGCAGGTCCAGGGTCAGAGCCAGGTGATCAGAAATTAAGAGAATCCTAAACAGAATCCAGGGACAAAGTCAGAGCACAGAAACTGGTCTGGGATCCAGGCAGCACAAAAGAAAAAACATATTGTAAATGAATGGTGTGATTGGTCGATTATCAAGGGGGCGGGATTGTTGTGGCGGAAGGTTTGCAAGCAAGTTTGACTGTGACCGGTTACTTCAAAGCATCTTGCTAACCAGTTAGCAACTTAGTGCTAGTAGGTTCCCAATGGGAAATTCCATTGGGACCAAGTAGCACTAAATTGGTGACTTAGAACACTGGAAAAAATCCAAATCTAGATAAGTCATTTTTTCTTAAAATAAGGGCATTTGTTCTTTGATTGAGGAGGTAAAAGAGACATTTTGCCAATGGAACAAAATAATTTACATTTAAAATAAAACACAATTGCATTGTCTTATTTCAAGTGCATATTATCTAATTATCTTATTTTAAGAGTAAAAATACTCATTCCATTGGCAAACTATCTCATTTACCTAGTCAAATTAAGGGTAAATACACTTAATTTAAACATTTTTTACTTATATCTAGATGATTTTTCCAGTGAAACGACACTGTCAAAGAAGTTTTTGATTGACAGATGACTGATATATGATTGGCTGAATTTAGGTGTTCAGGCTGACTTATAACTAACTGGCCTGCATGAGATAACGGAAAAAACACAGATTTTAGGACAGGATTTTTTTTAAAATAGAAATTTTTAAACTTTTGGGACAATGTCATCTGATAAAGAGTAAATTTATATACATGTTTAAGCCAGAATGAGTTGATATTTAAATATGATTTTCCTATGACTTAAATATCCAGAGTGAGAGGGGACACGCAGAGCAGAAAGCTGCGGTTTTAACTAAGACTAAAGGTGGTTTTAAACTAAATTTGTTCAGGGGACTGAATACACAGTCCCAATGCAGGAGAAAGTTTTTGGGTTTTTATCTCTAACTATGCACAATGGTTCAGCTCTGGTTGGTTTTGTCTGGGTTATCTTTGCTTGATCTAATATTTGTCCGATCATCTGGTTTAAGTCTTAAAAAGGAAAAAATAGAAAAACATTTTTACACACCGGTTTGCTACATCAGTAAGTTTTGCATCTCTTGTTTCGTTTTCAGCACCTCCGATAGCGGCAGCATCCATGAAGATCCTTGGGTCATCCTGCATCCCAATGGCGAAATCTATTCATTCGCCCGCCAGAGGCTGACCTTCACCTGCATCTTAAACCTCCACAAGTTCCCTTTCGATAAGCAGAAGTGCAACATCACCTTTCTATCCATGAACGCTGACGGTAAAATGCAGCCTGTCAGATCAGCCTGCTGGGTAGATCCAGGAAGATGAATTAAACTCTTCTCTGTTCTGTGCACAGTGAAAACCTTGCTTCTCAGATCAAGCGACAATGGCTCCTCCACGTTGATGCGGTCTGACCAGTTTATGGCCACTCAAGGGGAGTGGGGTCTGAAAAACATTGACATTATTCATGATTACTTGGTCGGTGGAGAGAAAAATTCCAGCTTGCTTGTTTACACTGTAAGAACTTATCTAAGCTCCAGCTTTTTCCGGTGGTCCGATTTATCCTAACTAGTGTTGCACCGATACCGATACCAGCAGGTAATCTGTGATAGCGGGCTTTTGCCTGTTGGGCCGGTCCTGATTTCAGTGTGCGAGGACCAGCCCTCATTAAATCATACCGGCCCCAACACTAACCCTCTGGCCGAAGCTCCTACCCATAACAGTAAATAAGTCAAGGAACTCAAGAAGCAATACAATGTTAACTCCCTAAATGATGCATGCAGTATATATAGCCCTTGCTTGTCATGCACATCCTTATAAGGGTTGGGATATGGTGTAATTACATATATAATATATAATAATATATATAAATTAAAACTAAAATGCTTTCTTTAAACCGAACTTCGATGTTCGTCTTCTATTTGGTGAATTTATGTTCCAATATTTTGCAAAAATATGTTCCGGTGCATGATGAGGTTTTGCATCTAAATTCTAACCTTTTCCGTCTTACGTTCTTTGATGCCAGGTTGGGATGTTTCCCAATCTGGCAGTTTAGGATGGCCGTCTATGGGTAAAAAAATTTTTTTTCTTCAGATTTGTGGCCTAAGAGATCAATAGACTTTGGTTCAAATTACCGTATTTTCGCGACTATAAGGCGCATATAAACGTCTTTTTTTCCCTCAAAATGTGCAGTGCGTCTTATAGTGCGGTGCGCCCTATGTGTGTTGTTACTGCGGACGTTGTTGAGACCGCCATGAGAACGTTAAAGGGACAAGTGTGGGCGTGGATTGGCTGCCACGCAAATGGACAGAAACTGCCGCCTATGGTGATTTTTAAGAGAAAGACTTCGCCTAAAGAGACTTTTCCAGCTGGAGTCGTTATTAAGGCAAATAAAAAGGGCTGGATGGATGAGGAGATGATGAAAGCGTGGCTGAGGCAGGTGTATGTGAGGAGACCAGGTGGTTTTTTCCACTCATCACCATCGCTGTTAATCTGTGACTCCATGCGTGCCCATCTCACAGCCGATGTGAAAAACAAGGTGAAACAAATGAACGCTGTGCTTGCTGTTATTCCGGGAGGTCTGACAAAGGAACTTCAACCGCTCGACATTGGTGTGAACCGGCCGTTCAAAGTAAGGCTGCGAGCGGCGTGGGAGCGATGGATGACCGACGGAGACCACAGTTTCACGAAAAATGGAAGGCAGCGCCGGGCAAGTTACGCCACAGTCTGCGGATGGATTGTAGATACTTGGACTAACGTGTCTTAGCCTCGTGAGACCATCCTGATCTCGCGAGCTTTCAAGGTTTCACTCGCAGATCAGTCTGGAGACTCTCCGTTAAAGAAAATTTGGAGCCGTTCACCAAACGAACGTCCAATCAGCGTTGGCTTTGAGGCGGGTTGAGGTGTGACGCAACGAGAAGCGCGACAGTTCAGTCTAAAGAACATGGCGGTTTCAGTCAATGAAACTAGCGTTAATTCAATTCAATTCAATTCAGTTTATTTATATAGCGCCAAATTCACAACACATGTCATCTCAAGGCACTTCACAGTTCAACCAGATCATACAGTCAAATTGATACAAAGTTCTCCATCTAAGGAAAACCAGTTGATTGCATCGACTCATTGATGATAGCGTGGCTATCGAGCAAGTTTTATCGGAATTACAGAGTATTTCTCCACTGAAAGAAGAGCAAAACACTGCTCTGGAGGCTTTTCTCAGAGGAAAAGATGTTTTTGCTCTTCTCCCGACTGGTTTCGGCAAGAGTTTGATCTATCAATTGGCTCCTCTTCGTCGTCGCTCTGTTAGTACATCATATGCTTCGTTGATCTGATTGTTTCATTTGGCCCGTCTATCACCAACATAGGCCAATCAGCTAACCAGTATTTTTGCCCCTTCCCAGAATTACTTCAACGGAAGGTTTCCAGATGGATATGCGGAGCGAATCCATCTGGCGGAGTCAGGTTAAACGTGTCTGCTGGCACTATTGTTCCAGCGTTCGCAAAAGCCAGGGCATCATTTCCGAGGAGCCGCACGGCACGGAAAGTGACTCTGACAGCGAAGAAGGGGAAATTGGCATGTCTGATTTAGCGCAGCTGTTTAATTCAGAAACAGAGGATGATGACTTTGATGGGTTTGATTAATACTTTGTAATAAATACATGAATAAAGCACAAACATACTCAGTTTTGCTCCCGCTCTATTTTTAAATACGCAGTAGAGGTATTTAAACGTAGTAGAGGACATGTACCGGTATATAAAACCCGCGCCCTATAGTCCGGTGTGCCTTATGTGTGTGTTAAATACAGTAATGGCACACATGACTGAGACTGCGCCTTTTAGTACGGTGCGCCTTATGGTCGTGAAAATACTGTAGGCCTGATTTCGTAAATCCAGGGGGTTTATAAACATTTTTTGGCCTGGAAAACGTGAGTCAGTGATGGTGGTGGTATCGGTATCGGCGAGTACCAACAATAGGGCAACGATACCATTTAGAGAGCCAAAAGTTTCTTCAACTATTGTCACCCATTCCAGGTAGGCAATAAAAAGTTCTACTGGATTCACTTTGTTTTAGTCTGTTTCCTGCTTCTCAAAGGTAGGCAGCAGCTTGATAAAGCCATGATGGAAACTATTTATATCCAAGTAGGATGCAGTTCTTCATATAAACACACACATCAATTTCAAACAGATGGTATCGGCCAATACTGCACAGCCAGGTATCGGGGCCAAAAACTGGCAGCGGTGCAACACTAATCCTAACCTTACGTTTCTTTCAGGTGCTGCTTGAAAGAAAACCTTTTCTTTACATCATAAACTTTGTCGTCCCCCTGGTGTACCTGCTGGTCCTGGATTTGGCTTCCTTCTTCATTTCTGTGGATTCAGGGGAAAAGTTTGGCTTTAAGGTGACAGTGCTGCTGTCCGTCTCCGTCTTACTGCTGATTCTACAGGACATTTTGCCGTCCACAGAAGACGACCTTCCGATGATTGGTGAGAAGAAGCCAAAAATACAGCAGACCAAACCGATCGCTGTCTGTGTGGTGCTGATGAATCCCTGCCTGTTATTTCAGCCAACCTCTGCGTCGGTGTGTTTACCTTGGTATGGCTCAGTGTGCTGGAGTCCATGCTGGTGAGCTTCTTATATAACCTGGATCGTTGTTGCCAAGAAAAAAATAAGAGCTCCATCGTGGGGAAGGTTCTCAAGAAGAAGGCGACCAAAGGTCAAAAAGGTATGTTTTCAATCAGCAATTCTTCAAATAAAATTTGTCTTTTTTTTTGTTTGCAAATTATCCAGCTACGCAAAAAAGCTCATATTGGAAGTTAGACTAAAGTCGATCTTTAACGCTACTTAGCTCTGGCTTTCATGAAACGAGGACAGATGGACCCAGTATTCAAGGAGAGACAGTCAGTAGGAAAGTTCAAACGTTTATTAAATAAAACAAAACAAAAGCGGAGCTGTGGCTCGCAGACACTGCAGGCGGGGGGCGGGGCACCGCCCAATCTCAGACACTCTAGGGGAGAAAACACAGATAAGTGACCACGATAAACTGATAGAAGATTATCTGAGTTGGTCACTTACCTGGTTTAACAGTCCAGACCACGAATGTCCCCAGTGCTGCAGTCCCAGAGGTGCTGGTGGAAGCCGATCCTGGTCAGGAATCCAGAACAGACAGGAAGAGAAACAGGTGGCAGGATCCAGACTTCCAGGCATCCACAGGCTCCCAGGAGGGTTCAGAGTCTGACTGGGACCAGAAGCATGACCAGACGGTCACGCACAGGAGCAGACAGGATCAGGTGCAGAAAGGCAGGCACAGTGGAAGAGGGTAGCCTAGACAGGACGTGGAACCAGAACTTGAAGCAGGACTTTAAACTGGTCTCCTCCCTGGAGCCAGGCTTACTTTGTAAAAACTGAACCTCCTCACATATTGAGCCAAAAACCCAGAGGACTCCGCGGGTAGGGGGAACAGTGGACGATCAGGAGAAGAGACAAACACTAAAACCCTCTTTCCACTGGCTGCTAGGATCCAGGACATGAACCAAGGAAATAAAACTAACAGACAGGCTGAAAGAAAGACAAGTAATGATCTGGCACTGAATGCTCAGGCTGAACTGAATATAAACCAGAGGAAACAGGTGAGAGGAATAAATTATAATTGAGGCAGGGAGGGAAAACAACAGGTGAAAGGAATTACTAATTAAGGGAGAGCAAACAGGCCAGATCATGACACTGGCCTTAGAATTACATCTGAATTAAGTTATTATCATTAAACATTATGGTGTCTAAGTTGGCACCTTTTAGCGCTGTTTTCATATTGGCCACTCCTCGTTAGTTTTACCACTAGTTAATGGTTTGAATGCATGGGAGAAATTCAGCAGGACCAAAAAACACTGGCGGGTTACTTTTTACCAACTGATCACAGCAAATATAGCAAAGCTGCTTTCTGGCATTGAACACAAGAGCAGCAGATGCATCTGGACGCACTTTGCTGGACGACTGACCTTAATGTGGACAAACATCAAAGATGAAGCAGAGACCCTTTTTTGATGCTCAAATTGCGCTGTGAATACAGCATTATGGCTGGTTTATACTCAGAAACCAGGTCGTCTGCATGTCTGTCGTAGTTAACCCCCGTTTCACAGACACTCTGCTGCACCTTTTCAAAATTGTAGGTGACCACAGACAGCGAGGAGCTCTGATTGGTCAAATCTACATCCGCTCTACTCATGCATAGTTCTTGTTTGGTACCTTAACGGTGCATAAGAAGGCTGGGACCCTTTTTCAACCTGGATCCCCGCTCTTTTTTGCCGCCTTGGCGGTATCTAGATCCACAGCTAGTTCCTAATTGGCCCTTTGGAAAATATGTGGAATAACATAGCGCAGAAATCTGCAGAAATCAAATATATTCGCGTCATACTTGCAACAAGCTCACTGCGACACACTGCTGCGGGAGGATAACCAGCCCTTTACACTTTCTGATTATTTCAAATAACCTATGAAACATAAACTTGTCTCTAAAAATTCTATTCAGTTTATTTCTATAGCTCCAATTCACATCATCTCACATCAAGGCACTTTCCAGTTCACCAGATCATCCAGTCAGATTGATTCAAAGTTTTCTATCTAAGGAAAACCAGCTGATTGCATCGACTCATTGACTCTTCAGCAATCCCTCACACTAAGCATGCTTCTAGCGACAGTGGAGAGGAAAAACTCCCTTTTAACAGGAAGAAACCTCCAGCAGAACCAGGCTCAGTGTGAGCGGCCATCTGCTGAGGCCCACTGGGGTTCAAGGAGACAGAAGCAGACATAGAAAAAGAAGCATAGATACAAAAGGATGTCATGTCTTTCTTATGATATTTCCACCTGTAGTCAAGCACACATACTTCCAATAATTGGGACAAAAATAGTGTTGGAACAAAGACAAAAAGCAGAGTTCCACCTCAAAATGCAGCAAATAGCGTTTCAGAGAGTCTACATTTCAGCATTTTCAGGGGAAGGAACATTTCTACATATTGACCAGATGCTGGAGTCTCCTAAGTTGTTTTTTCTATGCAGAATAGCAGAGGCTGTCATGATTTAATTAGAGGTCTGACCCCAAAATGCAGAAGACTAAACCAGACATGGGCAATGTGGAGTCAACAAGTCATCTCCATGTCATGTATTTAATCTACCCAGCCAATTAACCAAGTGAGTCCAATCTGCACAGGTTAATTCACGGTGAAGATTGGACTCACCTGCTTCAGTGGCTGGGTAGAACAAATACATGACATGGAGATGACTTGTTGACTCCACATTGCCCATGTCTGGACTAAACAGAGAGACCAGGGAAAAGTTTAACAGGTTTATTAAGAATATAGAGTAGATTCCGGTGCTGCTCTGAACACTGACAACCCGTAACTGGAAAGTGAAGGGAAGACACTGCGGTTAGGTTAGGTTCAGTGGGAAATTTGATTCTTTGGTTTGAGTTGGAGGAATAGGTTGCAGACTCACTTCTCCAGAAAAAAGGTTTCCTTTATGGATTCCAGTCTGTGTGGAATGTTTCAAAGATTGTCTCGTTTGATGTTGGGCGGACTGGGTTACTCAGACTGCGGTTGTTCCTTGGTGAATGGAGAAGCTGACTGCCACTCAGATTTCCTGCGGTACTTGAACGGGTTGCGGTGCAGATGAAACCTTTGCTCGGTGTGAAGCTAAAACGACCTCTTGGGGAAAGTGGATCCAAACTTCCTGTTTGGAACCCCAGCTCAGTTAGAAGCTTAGTTGATCCTTCCAGAGAGAGAAGGTCCGAACAAATCCAGTTTGCAGGATGAGTTCCTGCTAGTGATGTTATTAGATGAGCCGAGGCTTCGAGGCGCGTGTCGAGTAATGGAGGGGGCGTTTTCCCGAAGCGCGTGTCGAGGCGTGATACATTTAGAGGCGGGGCCAAAATTGATGACGTCCGAGGCCTCGTTACCGTGAAACCACGTGACCGCTTCGGGAAGTGGCTCAGAATGCGCAAGAATTTTGAAAGGCATCTAAACAGCCTCACTGGAGTTTGGAGGAGAGCTGCTGTCAGCTGGATAAAGTTTGGATAGATTCTAAGAATAGATTGGTTGGAAAAACAACCAATCAAGTTGCTAATTTGGTTTGAATAAACAATGTAATGACCAAAATTTGACAAACCACCGGACAAAGCCAGTGTTAACACGTCAGTGTTAAGAAGTATTTTCTCCTGAGTGAGAGCATCTACATAGGTGGTGTCAGCTGTGAGAGACAGGCTCCCACTCTGGAGGTTGATGGTTCAAGACCTGTCTTTGACTTTTGAAAATTTCGCTTAAACTTAATTATTTTGGCTGATGAGACTAATTTGCATTGTTTTGCCCGAGTAAAAATATAGATTGGGTAAATTAGGTCGGTTTAGCCAAAAGATTGGTTGAACACAACTTCCAACCTGATTAAAACCAAAATATGTGGAAAAACTATCATGTTTGAATAAAAATGACCAACACCTTTCATTTTGCTGTCTGCTTGAGTTTATTTCACTAAAATGGCAGAAAAACGGTTCACCTTAAATTATTGTTCTAAGAAATTTTACACATAAAAAAACTTACAAAATATTTTATTATACACACCAACCATTAATAATTTCACGGGAACTTAAAAGGGGAAAAAAAGAAAAACAGTTGCAAAAAAAAAATCACAGATTTTATTACAAACTGTAGTTCTGCCCTCCACCAGTAGGTGGTGACATGTTCACACGAAGCCTCATGAACTGTGGGGATCATTGAAGCAATTTGGCCAAACGGTTCAAAGCCTCATGAGGATTCATCTCACCATCACTACTTCCTGCCAAGAGGCAAAGACAAAAACAAAGTTAAGACTCAGGTTGACAAAAACTCAGTTTGACTCTGCTAAACTAAGCATGGCTAGAGTACCCAGTAATGGCAAACACTCTGGCGTCCAGGTAGTGGCAGTCAGCAGCTTAAGAACACTCCACAGGTAATGAGACAATGAGCTGCAGGTGTGCAGGGAGACCCAATGAGGACGGAGCACCACTTGATGGAGGAGGAAAGGAAACACAAAAACAGACCACACAAACTGGATTCCTGACAGAGGCTCTTTTCTCATCCTATATTTAAGGGTGAGTCCAACCGAGAAAATGAAGACAGCTGAGCTCAGCCACTTGAGTCTTGATCCATTTGGACGAGAAAACTGAGACGTTTGCCTCTTTGATCCCCACAACAAGGCAAATATGTCCACTCCCCCCATCATGTTTCCCTTTCATCATTAGCATTCTGCTGTATTGAAGTGCATTTAGGTTACTGTTGTCTGATGTTATAGATTATATGAAAGGCCTTTTGCTTAAGAGTTTTTCAGAATTCTAGGAGAAACATTGAGAAGAGGAGATGAAAATGTTTGAGCGGGCGGTTTATAGAAAACAACAGTTTAATGAAAGGCTGTTCATTTGCTCTGCTGTTTGGTGTTAAATACACCTGCTGTCATAACGACAATAATCTGCATCAATATCCTTCTGTTCCTGACACAGAGGGCGACTCAGAGAACGGAGAAGTCAAAGCAGAGCAAGGCGCTCTCCCTCTGGGTCAACTCGGCCATGCCGATCTGCTGAAACAGGTCCTGGAGGAATTGAAGGCGGCTCAACAGGAAGCTGGAGGTCAGAGGTCGCCTGGATTCTACACCAGAGTGGCTACAATAATCGACACCTTGTTCTTTGTTGGATATATTTTGGCTTTTGCAGCCTTTGTGATTTATATATGTGTTGGATGGGTTGACATTTGAAGTGTTTTTGTCTGGATTTCTTAGCCAAGCTTTTCTGCTTCCAATCCACCAAAGGATGCTTCTAAACTTTGGTCTTTCTTTAAAAATGTGTCTTAATAGAAAAATAGTTTTTTGCTACATTTAAATGAAATGTTTTCTTCTCTTTATAAATGACTGTGACACTGACTGTGGCTCAGTGACCTGCGTCAGGAAGGTTGCAGGTTTGATTCCACCGTCACCTCATCATTTGTAAAAAAAAAAAAAACTAAACATCAAGTTACCCACAGATATGCTCCACAGAGCATCAGTGTGTTGGACTTATTGAAATTGGGTTCAATGCAGGGGGGGTAATTTACCATTAGGCAATACTACACTGCAAAAATGTTCTCAAAATGAGTAAAAATTTCTTAAATTAAGGGTTTATACCCTTAATTTGAGCAAGTAAATAAGTTGATTTGCCAATGGAAGTAGTATTTTTACTCTTGAAATAAGGTATCTAGATAAAATGCACTTGAAATAAGACAATGCAATTGTTTTTTCTTATTTTAAGTGTAAATTGTCTTGTTCCATTGGCAAAGTGTCTCACTTAAATCCTTAATTCAAGAAAAAATGCATTTAATTTAAGAAGAAAATGACTTATTTAGATTTCATTTTTTTTGCAGTAGGCAGTTGCCTAGGGCCCCAAGTTCCTGGGGGCCCTGCAAATATTTGTTTACATGTATGTTCAATACAACTATTTCTTTGTGCACATTAATTATAATTTTGATAAAAATCCTTTGGCTAAAATACCATCAGAACGCTGATAATATTAAGTGTGTCTCAAATAATGGATGTCTATTCTATTAACATTTCTCTATCTGTAGAATGGGTCTGTTTTATGTGTTGTCTTCTCCATTCAGAGGGCCCCCTGCCTGTCTTTGCCTAGGGCCCCAAATGTCCTAAATCTGCCCCTGTTTGCATGTTGCAGAAAAATAAAACACTTAAGGTTGTGTACATTAGAATAATCTTGTTTTAGATGCAGATGATAATATTTATGTTAACCAATACATCTAAACAATAAAAAACAATATCGGCTCATTTGTTTTTTCCTGTTTCTTCATTTTTATCATAACTTTCATCTGTAGCATGTTATATTTCACTGTTTATACATTTTATATTGGGGAATTTTAGGCCCATTTCTCTACGGTCATAATCTGAGAAAACCTTTTTCATTCTCGATTAAAATCTTTCCACGATGAAAATAACATCATAAATGTGTTTCGGCCCTGCTGGGAGTTTGTAATGACATTTTCCTCGTTTGTGATTCTGGTGGTTCTTGCTCTGCTCCACTGAACCGATGCTTTTGATTCCACTTTCTTACGGGGCCGTATCGCGGAGGCAGCAGTCTAAGTGGAGATGCCCAGACTTCCGATCCACACACACCTCCTCCAGCTGTTCTGGAAGGACCCAGAGGCGACACCAGGCCTCCAGCATGTCCTGGGCCTTCCATGAGGCCTCCTCCTAATAGAACATGCCTGGAACACATGGAGGGAGGCAACCAGAGTGCATCTGGAACAGATGACCGAGCCACCTCAGCTGGCTCCGAGCTCGTCCCGGGTAACCGAGTTCCTCACCGATCTTGAAGGATGTGCCCAGCCACCCTGCAGAGGAAACGCATTTTGGCCGCTTGTATTCGTGATCTTGTCCTTTCGGTCATTACCCAGGTCTCATGACCGTAGGTGAGGGTGGGAACGTAGATCGATTGGTAAATCGAGAGCTTTGCCCCCCCCGACTCAACTCCTTGTCTTCACCACGACAGTCCGATACAGCGACCGCATCACTGCCGATGCCACACCGATCCGTCTATCGATCTCACGCCCTGTCCATCACGGAACAAGACCCCAAGATACTTGAACTCCTCCACTGAGACAAGAACTTTCCACCTTCCTGAAAAGGGAAGTCCACCTTTCTCCTTCGGAGAACAATGGAGTCAGATTTGAAAGGGTGCTGCTTCACACTCGGCTGCAAACCGCCCCACTGCACGGTGGAGGTCCTGGTTTGATGAGGCCAACAACAGAGATGATATCCAGAGGTCCCAAACTGGACACCGTGCGGTCCCTGGCTGAGCCTAGAATTTCTGTTCATATATGCTTTTGATAAAGTGGATCAATTTCTATCCTGCCTGCAGCTTCAGGTATTGGAGGCTTTGCTTTATAGTGGTGTACACTGGAAAAAAATCAAAATCTAGATAAGTAATTTTTTTCTTAAAGCTACAGTGTGTAATAATTACAGGGATATACAGTCAGAAATGTAATATATTATACATAACTATGTTATTTATCATCATCTACAAGCTCAGCCTCTTAACCTTAATATTTGCGTTGCCTTAGAATTCGTTATTTATAATTACATAGGAGCGGGTCTCGCAGCCATGGAGGCAGACATCTTTGCGCTACGGCAGCGCAGAGCCAACAAACTAGTGATTGCGAGATCGCCAAAACGTCACAACGATGTAGAAAAAATAACGGCTATATTTATTATCTTAAGTCTACATGAAATCTATACCCTACACAGACTAATGAAATACTATCTGTAAAATTATCTATGTAAACAAACCTCATCACTTGAGAAGGTAGGTGATGCGGACGTCGTGGAAGACATTTTGTCCCGTAACGCTCGCCTTGGGGGGGAGAAGCGGTGGGGGGGAGATGTTCATGTTGCTGCAGTCTGCAGTCTGACCGCTAGATGTCGCTGAAAATTACACACTGTAGCTTTAAAATAAGAGCATTAGTTCTCGGATTGAGGCGGTAAAAGAGACATTTTGCCAATGGAACAATTAACATTGTTTTAACATTTAAACAATTAACATTTAACAATTAACATTTAAAATAGTAAAACACAATTGCATTGTCTTATTTCAAGTGCATATTATCGAATTATCTTATTTTAAGTGTAAAGAAATACTCATTCAGTTGGCAAACTATCTCATTTACTGGGTAAATTCACTTAACTTAAGAAATTCCCTGTAAAAACTGCAGGTAGTGAATCCTTCTCTGTTCTGCTCTCCTGTGGGGTCCTCCAGGGCTCCGTTTTAGGGCCTTTGCTTTTTCTCTCTACCTCTTTCCTCTGTTTTCAGAAAACATGACCGATGACCGCCTAATCTATGCTCCCATAAGGTGAGTCATCAGTGTGAAGCATATATAAAGAGAAGAAAACATTTAATTTAAAACTATTAGAGATGCTCTTATAAGGCGAGGCTATGTGTTGTCAGTTTAATGCGTTTTATTGGTTTTTAAACATATTAAAGCTCGGATGGCCTGAAGTTAAGAAATAAAGACTCCATTTGATCTTAACACCATGGTAATGTATGTTAGGCCCATGGTTACAAATACAGATTTTAAACACGACAGTCAAATAACTCCCACATTTAGGAAAAATAGCAAAAATAAAAGCTTCTCTTTAAAAGAAATAGTTTGAAACGATAATCCACACTTTTGTTTTGTTGTGTTGTAATTTTATATTATTTAGTGAATATTCAGGTGTTGTTCTGGAAACACACCCAGCAGACTATGTATGAAGGACTTTAAGTGAATGAAAATAGTTGAAAAATCATTACCAATAAAATGATATAACAATTCAGCGTGGGTTCAGTTTTTTATTTGTGTGTCTTGTTCCTTCCTTATGACTAATTAAAACACTTATTTATTGAACAGTATGTAATAATTTCATATTTAGAGCACATTCAGAAGTATGAATTCTGAATATCACAGGTTTTTTCCTTTAAAAACTTTGAACCAATCTGGTTGAATTGCCTTGAGATGATATATCGTAAATTTTTGCTATATAAATAAACTGAGTAGAGTACATTAACACTTCTACAGCCGAAAACTATGTTTATTATTTACCAACCATGATCTGAATTTCGGTGCCGAACCACCACAGAAGCCCTGAATACAGATGGATGATTGAAAAGGAAAGTTTAAAACGGAGGAATGTTTTATGTTTTATTGTGAGTTAAAATGTATTTAGGAATAGACCTTCACTTCAGTTAAGCAGTGTGAACAAAATATATAGATAAGCCAGGAACTTTGAAATTGAACTCTGAAATAAGGTTTAGAGAAACAGGTCAGAAGATCTGAAAGGTTGAACTCCAAAGAACAAAAATAAACACCTGAGAAGAAACAACAGTAATAAAATACAGAACAAAGAACACAGAGTCAAAGATTTTAACCAATCTAAGCCTGCTGCACCCAGACCTCCCCACCCTGCTGTTCTGTCTTTCTGGGGGGGTTTGGGGGGGCTTCAGTTTCCCCTTAATCAGTTTCCGTAGTTTCAGTTCTCCATGACCACGTCCTTCCAGTGGACGGTTGACCGTTTCTGCTTCAGCCACCTCTGCAACTCCTGCAGAATCTGTGGAGAAACATGGAGTCATGAGACGCAGAAACATTTCAGTGTTTTACCAGAAGAAGCTGCTGGTTAGAAATCTGTCACGGTGGGGTGGAGGTTTGACAGCAAACAAATGCACACGCTGAAACTGAAGTGGATTCTTGAAGATTTAATAAGAAAAAAGGGTGACAGAAGCAAAAATCCCAAAGCATATGTCTGCAAAAACTGAGAACTACGAATACTGACAACAAGGAGGCAAAGAAATGACGACAAACCAGCAAACAATGGCTCTGTTTGAATTTATGGGCTGCATCTTCCCAAGGCCAGATTCGATGGCCGATTACGTCATAGCGCCAAGAAGGTCTGGTCTGATTCTTTGAGCCTAATTGGAAGGACGGGTCCGATGTATCCTATCTATCCTCGGGTATCCCAGGATTCATTGCGAGATCAAGCAATGCGGCTCCTCCATGATCGGACGAAAAAGGTATTTGGTGCCGAACAGTGGTGAAAATTGGAAGTTCAGTTTAATATAATCCAAGTCTGTGATTAATTCCATCTAAAATGAATGAAAATAGTTGTTTTACACTGGAAAAACTAAAAATGAGCAAAAATGTCTTCAATTAAGTGTATTTATCCTTAATTTGAGAAGGTAAATGAGATGATTTGCCAATTGAATGAGTATTTTTACTTTTAAAATTATATTTGGATAAAATACACTTGAAAAAAGACAATGCAATTGTTTTTTCTTATTTTAAATGTAAATTGTCTTATTCCATTGGCAACGTGTCTCACTTACCTCCTCAATTCAAGAACAAATGCATTTATTTTAAGAAAAAATTACTTGTCTAGATTTCGATTTTTTTCCAGTGTAATGGTTATTGAGTCAGATATGTGGCGGTAATGTTTGATTTAAGGTTTTATCTGCTACTGTGTAAATGGGTTTGACTGTAATTTAAGGACAGATTCTAATATACAGTATCTGCAGTGTGGGGACTACAAATAATTTTTTAATTGCTATTTTGCACAATTTGCTTACTAAGTAATTTTTGTTGTTGAATACAAGACATATTTTTATACACTGCAAAAAAACATCTAGAAATAAGTACAACATTTCTTAAAATAAGTGTATTTACCCTCAATTTTAGCAGGTAAACAAGATGATTTGCCAATGAAATGAGCATTTCTACTCCTAAAATAAGATAATTAGATAATATTCACTTGAAATAAGACAAAGCAATTGTTTTTTTTTCTTATTTTAAATGTCAATTTTCTTGTTCCATTGTCTCACTTATCTCCTCAATTCAAGAAAAAATTCACTTAATTTAAGCAAAAATGACTCATGTAGATTTCCATTTTTTGCAGTATACATAGTTTAGATTTACTTGTATCTTTCTCCCCCTTTTTAAAGAATATAACAGAGTAGAAAATCTCTTTATTGTCCCACAATGGGGAAATTCTGGTGTTTACGACAGCAAAAAAGTTCTGGAAAAAAATTGTCACACGAATGTGGATCTTAGAAAAATGTATAAGAATAACATAAGAGTGAATAGCTAAAAGATAAACAATTAAAATCTTTAAAGTGTTTTAACAATTTAAAACTGTGCACCAGGAGAATAAATAACCAATATGCAGCTATGGTCATTTTTACAGTAATGGATGTTTGAAAATAGCAGCAACATCAGAGATGTGCAGAATGACAGCAGCAGGTTATTTAACTGACTAAGGTTTATATCCATACATTTGCTTTTAGTTGTTCATATACTCCCGATTGTTGGCACCTTTATTCCACTCTGGATTCATGTGAGTCTTTGTTTACTTTACAAAAAAACAAAAAAAAAGAAGCAGTTTTGAAAGTTCGGTATTCATTCTTTTCCTGCTTAGTATGTCAATTGACACGGTTGCTAAGCAACAGAGTGTATGGCAGAGAAAGCCACAGAAGGCTGGACCTGTTTGAATCCACAGCCAAAACCCTTCCAGTCTCCTTATTTTAATGGACTTCAAAGGATCCAGTCCAGGTAGACCGAGTCCTTGGAAGATGCAGCTCATGAATTCTAACACAGCCAGTAGCTACGTTTACATGGACACAAATAATCGGATTGAAGGCCTGATCAGATCAAAAATTTTTCATGTAAACATGTCAGACTGAAGATTCTAATCCGATTCAGTCCGATCTGATATAAATTTAATTCCGAAAGAGAGAGGTGGTTTTTGCCGATCGCCATTCTGATTGGCGTCCATGTAAACACCCATTCGGATCTTAAGAGTAAAATAATCTTCACTGCGCATGTGTGCGACGTCAGCGTGACGTTTTTCCGCCTTGTCAACAACAGGAAACCACCGGTCGCTCTCGCTCTCGTTGTGAACAACATGGCGGGAGGAGTCTAGGAACGCCGACTTATACACTCAAGTTCATTTAAAGCTGCAGGAAGCAGGAATTTATTCTCCTCCTCTTCCTCTTTTCTCTCTCCACAGCCCACTCGCTCTCCCACGCCGGTTCAATCGCTCATTCTCTACATTTTCTCTCGGACATTTCGCTGCCAAGCGCTTTTTTCCTCCTCTCTCTGTTTTTCTTTCCACTCGCTCTGAGCGCATCGTTTGTCAGGCCTCCCAAAAGCCAGACGCAGACAGAACTGCCAAGTTTGGCAGGAAGTTCTGCGCATGCTTAAAAGATTTAATCTGATCCAACGCTTGGTACATGTATACACACGTCATGATCGGATCATTTCATTTAGTGTCCATGTAAACGGAGATTTTTAATTTCCGATCAACCAAGGTTTGGATCAGATCGGGGAAATTTTGCGCATGTAAACGTAGCTATGGACTGAGCAGGAGGTGCATATAGGGGAGACAAACAAAGACCAGGATAATCCACAGACTGGGAGCAGGTGTGAACAGAGGAGTCTAGAAGGGAGCTAGGGAAAAGGGCTGACACAAGAGGGCAGCAGAGGGTAAACAAGAAATACCTAAGAACTCAAATATAACCAGAAAACACCACAGGAAAGGAATTAAACCAATAAAACTAGAAAACCAAGAAAAACATGGATCAAGTTGAGACTGAAATCTTAAACAGAAAACTTAAACAGAACCAAAAATGTGACAAAATCGACCTTTATGGTTGTCAGCTTCCTGCTGTGTTTTCACTTGGAAGACCTCTGAGCTACGATCGTCCTCATCACCACAGCAGAGGAAATCCTTCAGGAAGCCCACCAGCATGGTCTCCAGGACATTAATCCACACCAGGGTGAACACCAAAACACAGTAGATGGCTGGGAGAAACATATAGAAAGGTCAATTCCAGGTCTGAGTGATGATGCAGGACTGATGATGAGTGTGGCCTCCTACCCATCAGAGGCAGGGATTCTTCAGTGGACGGCAAAATGTCTTTGAGAATCGACAGTAAGACAAAGATGGACAGCAGTATTGTCACTTTGAAGCCCAGCTTCTCGCCGCTGCTGTCACTGATGAAGAAAGAGGCCAAATCCAGAACCAGCAAAAACAGTAAGGGCACGATTAAGTTGATTATGTAAAGAAATGGCTTCCTCTCAAGGGAGATCTAGAAAAAAAACAAATGAAAAAAAGAGCTTTATTTAGCATTATTAAAAAAACAAAACTTGTTAAGATTCCATCAGAAATAAGCACCTTACCCTGTAAACAAGTTTACTTTTCATGGTGACAGAAGTGAAGTTGATAATTGTTATGTTGACGAGTTTCCACTCGCCCGCTGTCAGCATGATCTGCTCAGACACCTCAGTCAGGAGGGTGTCACTCATGACTTTTCCCAGTTTCATCAGACTTTCTGTTTCCATGAAAAAACATTGAAACTGATTAAAAGATGGCAAAGTTTGCAGTTACAGTAGCAGCCATTCAAAAAAGCCCTTCCCAGTCAAAAACCAGCCGAATAGCAGCCCACTTCCCTGCAGCTCCCAGCAAACTCCCCTCCAACTTCCAGCCACTAGCCTTCTCCTGGGGGAGCATTTTTTTTCCTCTGACTCCACCCTTTCACTGAATTACAGGGTCTAAGCATGAGATGATGCTTCTCTTTACATATTAATGTCCACAAATCATAACAGAAAGAATATTTTTGTTAAAATATTGATATTTAAAGAAGGAATTGTATGGGACTAGCCAAGGACCAGCCAAGAAACAGTCAAGAACCAGCCAATAACCAGCCAATAACCAGCCAATAACCAGTCAAGGACCAGCCAAGAACCAGCCAATAACCAGCCAATAACCAGCCAATAACCAGTCAAGGACCAGCCAAGAACCAGCCAATAACCAGCCAATAACCAGTCAAGGACCAGCCAAGAAACAGTCAAGAACCAGCCAATAACCAGCCAATAACCAGCCAATAACCAGCCAATAACCAGTCAAGGACCAGCCAAGAACCAGCCAATAACCAGCCAATAACCAGTCAGGGACCCGCCAAGAACCAACCAAAAATCAGCCAAGAGCAGTCAAGAACCAGACAAGAGCAGCCAAGAGCAGCCAAGAACCAGCCAAGGACCAGCCAAGGACCAGCCAAGAGCAGCCAACAACAAGCCAAGAGCAGTCAAGAACTGGCCAAGAGCAGCCAACAACAAGCTAAGAGCAGCCAAGAACCGGCCAAGAACCAGCCAAGAACCAGCCAAGAGCAGCCAAGAACCGGCCAAGAACCAGCCAAGAACCAACCAAAAATCAGCCAAGAGCAGTCAAGAACCAGACAAGAGCAGCCAAGAGCAGCCAAGAACCAGCCAAGGACCAGCCAAGGACCAGCCAAGAGCAGCCAACAACAAGCCAAGAGCAGTCAAGAACTGGCCAAGAGCAGCCAACAACCAGCTAAGAGCAGCCAAGAACCGGCCAAGAACCAGCCAAGAACCAGCCAAGAGCAGCCAAGAACCGGCCAAGAACCAGCCAAGAACCAGCCAAAAACAGCCAAGAACCAGCCAAGAGCATCCAAGGACCAGTCAAGGACCAGCCAAGAACCAGCCAACAGCAGCCAAGGACCAGCCAAGAACCACCAAAGGACCAGTCAAGGACCAGCCAAGAGCAGCCAAGGACTGGTCAAGGACCATCCAAGGACCAGCCAAGAACCAGCCAAGAGCAGCCAAGAGCAGCCAAAAACCAGCCAAGGACCAGCCAAGAATAGCCAAGAACCAGACTAGAATCAGCCAAGAGCAGCCAAGGACCAGCCAAGGACCAAACAAGAACCAGCCAAGAATCAGCCAAGAGCAGCCAAGGACCAGCCAAGGACCAAACAAGAACCAGCCAACAGCAGCCAAGGACCAGCCAAGGACCAGCCAAGAACCAGCCAAGAGCAGCCAAGGACCAGTCAAGGACCAGCCAAGAGCAGCCAAAAAACAGCCAAGAACCAGCCAAGAACCAGCCAGGAGCTGCCAAGGACCAGTCAAGGACCAAACAAGGTCCAGCCAAGGGCCAGCCAAGAACAGCCAAGAACCAGCCAAGGACCAACCAAAACCAGCCAAGAGCAGCCAAAAAACAGCCAAGAACCAGCCAAGAACCAGCCAGGAGCTGCCAAGAACCAGCCAAGAATCAGCCAAGAGCAGCCAAGGACCAGCCAAGGACCAACCAAGAACCAGCCAAGAGCAGCCAAGAGCAGCCAAGGACCAGTCAAGGACCAGCCAAGAGCAGCCAAAAACCAGCCAAGAACCAGCCAAGAGCAGCCAAGGGCCAGCCAAGAACAGCCAAGAATCAGCCAAGAGCAGCCAAGGACCAGCCAAGGACCAGCCAAGAACCAGCCAGAAGCTGCCAAGGACCAGTCAAGGACCAACCAAAACCAGCCAAGAGCAGCCAAAAAACAGCCAAGGACCAGCCAAGAGCAGCCAAGGGCCAGCCAAGAACAGCCAAGAATCAGCCAAGAGCAGCCAAGGACCAGCCAAGGACCAGCCAAGAACCAGCCAGGAGCTGCCAAGGACCAGTCAAGGACCAACCAAAACCAGCCAAGAGCAGCCAAAAAACAGCCAAGAACAGCCAAGAACCAGCCAGGAGCTGCCAAGGACCTGTCAAGGACCAACCAAAACCAGCCAAGAGCAGCCAAAAACCAGCCAATGACCAGCCAAGAACAGCGAAGGACCAGCCAGGGGAAATTTTTAATGGCTACTACTGTATGAGAACCTGCAGATATGTTTCTTTGCAAGTTTTTGGGGATATTTATAAAAACTGTGACAAGAATGAAAACCGACATGGAAGGCGACGTTTTTTCAAATTCATATAAACAGTGATAAAAATGTACCATCATAAGTCATGGATGAAAACGAGATGTTGCAGGTTTGGGTGTCGAATGGGAACCTAAAGAAGTCGAACTTGCAGGCGGAGGTCAGCTGGAGCCGTTTGTTTAAAATGACCAGCCCGTATGAAAACACGCTGACCAGAGGATCCTCGTCAGAACCTCCATCATTAGAGCTGCTAGAAGAAAAGAAGACGAAACGGATCAATGAGCCTCGCATGGTGCGGTTGATGTTTGCAAAATGACTTACTCCTCCTGGATGATTATATCCGGAGTCCAGAGCATGGAGCTGGGAACGGTCAGCATTTTAATCCCACAGAACTCAGAGGAATTCCAGATTAGAAATTCATTAATCCAATACTGAAAAATGACCAATAAAAAAGAGAAAAAGTAAAAACAGTTAAATGAAGGATGACAAAGCTCAGCATAAGAATTTATTTTCTTACCATTTTGAGCCAGATGTGGTTTGTAATCGTTTGAAACTTCTCATCCTACAGAAAGTCAGATCAGCAGAGAAAACATTCAACCAAAAACAAAGAATGAAAATATTATTATTATTATTAGTATTATTATTATTAGTATTATTATTGTTATTATTTGTCTGCCTTGGAGGAGGAAGTAGATGTTCTGGGGATATAAAAAAAAACTTTTCTAATTGATTTAGGAAACCTTTTAAATTTTATTCAACCATAGACCCTAGCTTATCATCATCATTATAAGTATTATTATTGCTATTATGGTTATTATTATGAATAATCTATCTTAAACATTGATTGAAATAATCCATGTTTTTTATGAAGAAATTCTCAATTACATCATTTAAAAAGTAGGTTAAATCAATTAATGGGACACTTAATTATGTAATAATACACTAAATAATAAAAATTTTACATTTATTATGAGTAATTATTCAGTTAAAAATGTTTCTTTGTTTTTTTTTTTTTATGGGGGGGGGGGGGTCCTTTTGGCCCTCCGTACTCCTCAGGTTCTAAAAACCTTTCCCTTAATTAACTGTAAAGGCATTTTTGACAAAAGAAAAATCTGCTCTATGTGTTTTTTAATCCTTTTTATCTTCTCATTTATCAAAATCCTCTCATGTTTTTACCACAGCTGCACAAAAGCAATTAACCAAAGACATCTTCAGAACCGGGCGGTCTGCATCTGGACAGAGAAACTTGAGAGAAAAGCCCCCAGTGGAGGACTTTATATTAGCCTTTGATTAAAAAACAAACTGGTGATCTCCACTGGAGGATTTTACACGGTGCTATCGCCACAAACTCGTTTTTATCTGTTATTAATCAGGGTGTTTTAAACAAGCGTCCTTTCTGCAGTCTGTCTGAAAATGTGTTCCACGTTTTCTAAGGAATGCACAGGACTAAAGACAATTTTTAGCCTTTTCATTTGTGTTTTTAGTCTCTTTGGAATTTTACAAATACTATATTTATAGGAGGAGTTTGCCAGAATAGGAAAAACAAGCGAAAGGCCGAACGTTTAAATTTTTTAATCAGTAAAGCAAAGATGGCCGTTTACCTGTCCCACAGAGACAGACAGCAGGAGGGAGCTCACCTTGATGCCGTGGCTCTGTGGAAGTACAATGTTTAAGCCAGAATAAGGCTGGAGTTTCACTTCCACACAGAACATGGAGGATTTTATTCAGCTGTGGGGTTTTAATAACAGTTCATTTACTGTCCTTTATGTAGGACAACTACAATCTAACAAGCTCCTTATTTAATGGTTCTGTCACTTGTTTTACATCAATAATTGATTCTATTGTTTCAATTGTGTAAATAAAGTGTTGTTGAAAATAATAATAATAAAAAAGTCTCATGTTTTCTCATATTGTTATATTTATTTGACTTTAGGATCTCTACTGGGATTCTGCTAAAATCAGGGAACAAAATCTGGGGAAAATCTTTCACCCTCTGCTGGTCGAGTCAAGAGAAATATCACTTTAAGGGTCAACCAACAGACATTAAATGTCTCTACATTCCTGAATACCTGCAGTCATTTTAAATTGATTGTTTCTGATTGTTCCTTATGTTCCTAACAGAGCACTTCGCTCTCAATCTGCAGGTTTACTAGTGGTTCCTAGAATTTCTAAAAGTAGAATGGGAGGCAGATCTTTTAGTTCTCAGGCTCCTCTCCTGTGGAACCAACTACCAGTTTTAGTCCGTGAGGCAGACACCCTGTCTACTTTTAAGGCTAGGCTTAAAACTTTCCTTTTTGATAAAGCTTCTAGTTAGAGTGGCTCAGGTTATCCTGAGCTATCGCTATAGTTCTGCTGCTATAGGCTTAGACTGCTGGAGGACATAGGGACCCCTTTTTCATCATTCTGCTTCATTCTATCTCTATTCTCCCACTCTGCAGAATCTGTTAGTTCAATCTCTAACGTTCTGCTCTCTCTGCTTTTCCTCATAGTAGCTTCATCTGGTCTGTTCCTGTTTGGCTGTGACTCCATCCTGGAGAGAAATATCAGCTGTGCTGCTGCCATCAACACCTTTGTTTCTGGATGTTGGAGCTTGGCCTGTTTTCCAGTGTAGTCCTGTTTCTCTGACTGTGACTAACTGGATGTGCTCTCTTCATCCTCTGACATGGGAGCTGGCTCGGAGCTCGTCTGCCTGGCTGTGTGTTTCCTGGACAGGGCCGCCTTTTACAGTTGCCTTTTGTATCTATGCTTCTTTTTCTATGTCTGCTTCTGTCTCCTTGAACCCCAGTGGGCCTCAGCAGATGGCCGCTCACACTGAGCCTGGTTCTGATGGAGGTTTCTTCCTGTTCAAAGGGAGTTTTTCCTCTCCACTGTCGCTACAAGCATGCTTAGTGTGAGATTTGCATCTGAGTTAATGAGTCGATGCAATCAACTGGTTTTCCTTAGATAGAAAACTTTGAATCAATCTGACTGGATGATCTGGTTGAACTGGAAAGTGCCTTGAGATGGCATGTTGTGAATTGGAGGTATAGAAATAAACTGAATTGAATTGAAAATATAAATTATTTAGGATTTTGATGAAGATTCTCAGTCATCCGGTTCATAGTCATTCCGTAAAAGTTTAAAAAACAATCCACTGGACTTGGTTGAAATCTTGGAAACCAACTTTTAAGGAATATTTAGGATTTTATGCCTAAAAAGCTAAGTTTCACAAAACACACAGAAATTAACTGTGATTTCAGTTTCCCACACTAAATTTGTAAAAAATGTATAGTTAATTATGTTAAGCTTTTGTTTAAGTTTTCACAATAATCTGTTTATAATCTTTATTAAATTGAATATAAGCTAAAAATTTAAGTAAATACATTGTATTTACATCATAAAAAAAACAGTCAAGTGACTCAAAGTAAAACTTCTTGAATAAAAGAAGCTCTAGAGACGCAGAGAGGATGAGGAGGACGCTCACCATGTCTAAAATCCCGTCCAGAACCATGTCCAGCTGAACCAACGTGGTCGAGGTCCAGTTCTTTACAGGACGTGAAATTTTAAGAGCTTGATTCGACTTCGTCATGTTCAGGTGATCCAGCAGACCGAAGTATGAGCACTCTGAGGTCCTGCTGCAGGGAAAACCTGCTGGGAAACAAAACAAATGTTTTAAAACACAGTTAACATGACGACTGAAGAGTTGATGCTGCAGCAGCTCACCGGCTAAAGCCAGAAGAAGAGTCCTGAGAGCTGCCATGACTGTTTGCACCCGGCTCAACCTGAGGGATCCTTCATTATAAAGACTACAGGTGTTTACATCCATAAGTGCAAAGTGTATTTAAATACGCTTCTTTGGTTCTAGGTTGTATGTGAAATTGATATTTGTTAAATCTGTTGAATGTTTCCTTTGTTGAACTTCATTAGTCAGAGCTCAAGTTACAGCGAGAACAAACACTTTTTTTCTTTTAATCAAACAGTCCTTAGTTTAGATAAAAGTCTTCCTGAAAATTGATCCCAGGGACCTTTTATTACAGCTGCTTGGTTAAAAGGTAAATACGGCATTTTTCATGGGAAATGAGAGGCTGGAACATTAATGATCTAATAATATTTACAGTCCTTTTTAGGCCTGACAGTTCATTCTTCAGGAGAAGAAAGCAGCAGCCAGGTGTTTCTCTATAAAAGCAGCAGATCTGCTGATAACAGGAAGGGAGGACATGACCTTAGAGAAGAGGCTGCTTCCGTTCTGCTCATCAATCTAATAAGGCTGATTTCAAATCAAGTGCAGAACATTAGAACAGCTGTCCATCTTCCCACAAGTAATTCTCCTCTGAGGGCGTCACCTGCAACGTCTAAATTAAAAAAATGAGAAACAAACTGAAGGAGCGCCATCACAGAGTCTACACACTGCAAAAAATGTATATCTATGTAAGACTTTTTTTAAAATAAGTGCATTTTTTCTCGAATTGAGCAGGTGAGAGAGACTTTGCCAATGGAATAAGGCAATTTACATTTAAAAAAGAAAAAACAACTGCCGCCTCTTTTTTCAAGTGCATATAATCTGATGTCATATTGCAATGCTAAAAATGCTCATTCAAGTTGCAGATCATCTTATTTTGTAATCAAATTAAGGTTAAATACACTTATTTTAAGATTTTTTTTTCAGTGCAAGAGTTTTTGCAGTGCAGGCCACAACTGACCGTCCAGGCCAGAGGAAGACGACTGATTTTTATTCCATAAAATGGATAAAAAAACCCATCCTAATGAGCCGTAAGACCAATAGGGAAATGTTCTTTGGTCTGACGGGAGAGAATCAGACATTTTTAGAATGTAGGTGGTGCCTTTTATTGCATTTGGCAAATTATTTCATTTTCAGAAACGGATGCAGGGCATCAAATACTGTATGCAAGCGGTGGTGTGATGCTCTGCTTTGCTGCTCCAAGACCCCTATGACTTGTACAGTAATAGATAGGAGTTCAGGCTGAATTTTTTATTTTTTTTTTAATTCTTTTATTTTTTCATTTTGATAAATACAGTTATAAATAAAATGCATTTTCTTTTAAAATAAGAAATGTCCTTTAGCAGATAACAAAAATTATGATAAAATGCAAACCAGTTTTATTTTTGCTGATATAAGGTCAAAATGGCTCTTTGGATTGTAGTAGTTAAAGACCCTGGATATAAGCCAGTTAACCCTATATATATATATATATATATATATATATATATATATATATATATATATATATATATATATATATATATATATATATATATATATATATATATATATATATATATATATATATATATATATATATATATATACTGCATTAAGTTTTTTTTTTCTTTTTTGGTTTTTAAGAAATGTTTATATTCCTCAAAAGTAGTTGAGGATAGTTTGGATCAGGAGATTATTCTGAAACTAAAAGGTTTCTGTGCTGCAGTAAAAAATCTTTTACTTTGAAAATGTACACCGGAAGTGTTGGTCATGCGGTTTCCGGGTTGGTCAGCTGATCGCTTTGATAGCTGCTCAGCTGGGCTCAGCGTCACAGCCTTGTCACTCCATTAGGATGTGTGTTGGTTGTTTTCTCTTGACATTATTTTCCTCCTCAGTCTGAGAACCGAGCGGCTCATGTTTTCTCCCGGTGTTTGTCTCGGTTTATTCGGTTAGCCGCCTGCAAGTATCGCTTGGAGCCTCCTGCTAGCTTAGCAGCTAAATCAGCCAGCAGTGGAGAGAAGAAGGTGAGTCTGTTTACCTACTGTCTGTGCTGCTGACATCGGGGAAGACGGTTACAGAATTGCACAATAAATCGTTGTTTTTATCAGCAAACGCCATGAAAAGAAAAAAAAAATCAATTTTGAAAAGCTGTGAGGGTTTCACGTTTAGGGTTTAGCTTAAGGGCTAGCATGCTAGCATCAACAATAACATTTCAAAACACATCAGTTATTTTTAGAGAAAACTCCTTAAGTAAGATTGGAAACATCTTCAAAAAAAAATAATGATTTATTTTATCTCATTAAGATATAAATCTGAACATAAAACTTGAATAAAAACTCAAATAAATTAGATTTTATTCCTCTTAACCCAAATAAATGAAGAAGCTTCTTCTACATGAATAACAACACAGAACAGAGACTTTTAAAGCAGGAAAAATATCGTTTATATCAAACAGTTTCATAAAATAGTACAATTGGAACAGTTAGAATTCATCAGACTCCATAAAGATGCTAAAATAAATAATGGTAGATATTTTAATTAGCTGCAGTTTTTTTTAAACTGATGCTGTTAATTTATCCTCTTTTCTGACATTTTATGTATTTTGTAGGCTTTGTCCTTTTGTGACCTTTGTCCTCTGCTCTGAAATTAGATTTTCTGATCTAGTTGAATCATTTAAAAAAAATCTATTAATTTTCTCTAAGAAATAAGATTAAACGACTAGGAAAGAAAGTCTTTAGCTATGCAGCTCCTTGTGCATGGAAGTTTTTACATAAAACCTGGAAGTTGACTCAGTTTTTATCTTTAAATGCTTACAAGTTGAAAATGAAAGAATTTGAAGCAGCCTCAATGATCCGTAATTGTTTTACTTGATATATTTTTTTAATTACCTGCCATTCTGCCATTTAATTGAATTATCTCTGTTTCTTATGTAACTTTGCTGCCTCTTGACCAGGACTCCCCTGAAAAAGAGGTTTTTAATCTCAACAGGATTTTTCCTGGTTAAATAATAAAAAAAAAGGCACAGTAGTTAATGGACGCAATGCAAAGATGAACAGAATTGATTTGAATGATAAATCAGGTTTGTTCATTTTAACTTTGTCTCTTTAATTTATCAGAAAGACATTTTGGCTTCAAAATAGACATTTTATGGGTTTGACATTAAAGTACCGGTAGTAAGAATAATCTGGAAAAAGAGACTTGATGTCAAAAATCATGATTGACTGTTTTTCGTCTGGATTAATTATAGATTATTACAGCTGGGAAAACAATAGTTTGACTGAAACTTTTACCTGTAAATCTGTTTAAAGACAAAGTACATAATAAAACAGTTATTATTATTATTTTTTACATATGCAGGTTTATAAATGTGGTCAGACATGTTCCTAGCATCATGTCTGGCTGTGTGAACGTAAGCTGCATTGGTCCATTGCACAAAGAAGCTAGAGTAATAATGGAGGCTTCACTCCAGATTCTTTATATGGCCTCAGATCAACTGTTTGGCTGCAACATTAAAAATAATGGCATCCAAAGGTTAAGGTTTTTAGTAAGATTAAGAAACCAGCTAATTTTTTATTAACTCTGAACACGGTACTGAGAGAAGTGATCCAGTATTCAGCCTGAATCATGCTAAGATCCTACTGATGGCCTTTTTATAAAAAAACATGCAGCCTAGATGCTACTCGCTATGACCGGTGGCCTGTATTATTTTTCATCCAAGCACCACCTCCTGAACGCAAACATCTTACTTTATTAACTTTAAATTGTCTCCTTTAGCATCTATTATCATGTCTAACCTAAACAAGCTCTGAAAACATGTTGAAACTAATTTGCATAAATAATGCTTCATGCAATGTTTCCGTTCCTCAGGTGAGAGTTGCAGCTACCAAACATGGCGGGCGGTATCACTGACACCGGAGAGCCCTACTCTGCTTTTGTGAGTACCTGTTGGACCTTTAAGGATTTTTCCGTGATCGGTGTTAACACTGAGGCCAATGTCTAAAGCTCATCATTAGATTCCCTGATAAGTAGCTGAATAGAAAGTTTACCTGAGATGAGTTTATTTTCTGATCTCATCAGGTCTAACCTTTCCTTTCATCAGCTCTGTAGAATCACATGTTAATCTTCTCCCTGTGAGGAAATCTCCTGTTAATAAGTGAAGGAAATGCAGATGACCGTGCAGGGAAACACATCCTCTTTTTTTTATTATCAGCACACAGCATGTTTCTGTGTGCGGTCTGGACTCACTTTGACAGCTCACTCAGTCGCTCCCTGGTTTTGCTTACATCAGCGTGACTTTTACACGTGTGCGTCTCAGATGGTTTTTTCAGGAAGCGAAACCTTTTGAATTATTAAATAATCTGCTATCAGATAGTCCAGTTTCTTAATAAATTCTTCCACCTCAACGTTTAGCATCCGTTACCCAGTGTGCTGCGATGCGACATGATTTAACAAATACCAAAGACAAACGGAGGGAAAGTCGGTTAGAATAATTTAATGGCAGACTAATGCAGGATTCTATACATTTATTGCGTAAGCTAGTAAAAAAAAAATGTTAAAATAAGTTTATCTTTTATTGCATCACCTGAGCTTTAAACTGAAACATTTATGAATTCATTATTTATAACAGAAAAAAAATTTAGACTGAAAATAAACGCTCTAAAAGGAAAAATGTCCAAAAAAATTAAATGTTTAATCCTAATTTGAGCAGCTAAATAAAATGATCTACCAATCAATACGTTGGAAAGATAATTAGGCAGATTTTTCTTATTTTACACGTTCATAATTTTACTCTTTTAGCCAATTGCCAAACTTGCTCAAATAAAGAGAAAATACATTTATTTTAATAAAATAAGTAGCTTAGGATTTTGCTTGCACATTTTTGGTAGAGCTAAAAGTCCCTATAATAAATGTGAATGAAGTGTTTTTGTTTTATTCCTTCTTTGGTTTTCTACAAACATTTTATTAATAAACCTAAATATTTTCTTCTTCTTACTAAAATTGTGACAAACTAGGAGGCACTGATTGCAGGTTTCCGGCTGATCATGATTACCAATGTTTAAAGTCGTAGGGAAATCATATTTAAATGTCAAATCCTTCTGGCTTAAACATGTATATAAATGTCCTCTTTATCAGACGATATTGTCCCAAAGTTAAATTTCTACTTTAAAAAAAAATCCAGTCTTAGAATCTGTGTTTTTCCGTTATCTTTTACAGGCCAGTTAGTTCTACGTCAGCCTGAACACCTAAATTCGACCAATCATATATCAACGGTTATTTGTCAATCAAATATTTTCGGTCATAGCATCTTGATTCAAATGTCGCAGCTAATATACGCAACGGTTGAAATCAGAATCCTTTCCTTTCCCATTGAGTTGCGTCCCAGTGTTCACGGGGATGGACGTCTGTGTCTTCGGCAGGCGTAGAGCTAACAGAACTGGCAGCGTTGCGAGGCAAGGGCTCAAACATGTACGGCTGGAAGCCTTCTACACCAAACCAAGCTTCTGCCGCCCTGGCGTCCTCTTCCACAACATCTTCGTCCCCGCTTTCCTCCTCTAAATAAAAAATGGATGACGGAGGAGACTCATCCACGACCTCCGACACTAAACTCTCCTCCTCTTGCATGTTTCCTCTGTCCATAGCGTTCCTTGACAGCGTCGTTTCTAAGTCACCAATTTAGTGCTACTTGGTCCCAATGGAATTTCCCATTGGGAACCTGCTAGCACTAAGATGCTAACTGGTTAGCAAGATGCTTCCGACAAACCGGCCACAACCAAACTTGCTTGCGAAACTTCCGCTACAACAATCCCGCCCCCTTGATAAATTACCAAAAACGTTCACTTTATTCACTCGTGTAAAGTCGGGCACCACTCGGGAAAATTCAGAAATGCAACGGTTGCAACAGCCGCTTCCCTACGACTTTAAATAGCCAAATATGCAGATTCCCATTTTAAACTATACTTTTTTTTTAAAATAACTGACACTGTTGGTTGTTCTAAGGGTCACAAGACCCCTTGAATATTTTAATCTTATCTTGAAAAACATTAAATGATACCCGTTATATTATAAAAAGGTCTAAAATGTTTGCTCTTAAATATAAATCTAGGTGCAAAGTGTTAATAACGGGTGATTTTAAGACCGTTGCAGAGGTAGATAAGCTGATAACCATCCTCTAAACATTAAAGGAAAAGTTCAGTCAGCGTGGAATAATCAACGGATCATTATCTATTACTAAAACTAATACGCTTGCGATGATTTAATTAATTTAGTGTTAATCAGTAAAAAAATAAAAATAAAATATTTTCGTGGCAATCACTGAGTCTGGGAGCGGCCATCTTTGCCCAAATATAGTAACCCCTCCCTCTTGCCATCTTCCAGCAGTGATGTCACGGTGCGGTAAGCCTAGCGCCATTCTCCCCGCTTTCCAAGCTAAATCAATGGGAACTACTAGACACATCTGCAATCAACAACAATTATTGAAGATTTCTAGAGGACTTCACCATTGAAATTCACCAGAGCTATAGTGAAACTGACAATGCCCACGTGCATGGCAGCTGGATGCTGGAATACATCGGGTAAAAGTGAAAAAAAGAGTTATTCCACCTTTCTGATTCCTGATCCTCCACGGACGGGTTGGTCGTTGGATCGCCAACTTGAAGAGGGAGGATTTGCCATCGAACTTCTGGCCAGAGAAAAAACCCGTAATATGTAGCCAACATTTGGAAGAAGAATGTTTTCAAGATGACTTGGATAATAGCGCGTTGTGACAAACACCAGATACAGCACTGGGACTTGATCAACAGCCGATACCGCACCGTGACGTCACTAACCAGTAGGTGGCAGTAGTGTTCTCTGACAAACATGGATGCCTCCAGTAAAGCACATTCACATGAAAATTACTCTGAATTAAAAACACTGATCATTTATTGAACAGGATGGAATCATTTCACATTTAAAGAACTTTCAGAAGTTTGAATTCTGAATATGAGCGACTTTTCCTTTAAAGGAAATCAGGTTATCATTTAAAGCAAGCAGAGAACATTGATCTTTAAAAGTCAGGGAGCAAATGCAAGAAAACATCTCATCTACTAAACGTACTAGCATGATGAAGAGAGCTACGATAAAATAGCTCAATACAATCCGCTTCAGCTGCATGACGTTTGTCCAGCTCTAAAATCTGCATGAAAGAAAAGTTTTTGTTCTACAGATCCCTGAACTGGACCGAACCTGTTGAGTTAAAAACAACTGTGGGATTTCTCTAGATCTGCACCATCAGTGTTTTTGGTTAAAACTGATTCTTTAGCTAAATAAATGTGTTCAGATTAAAGATGGAGTAAACCTTTCCACTCTGAGACTTGCTGTCGCAATAAAATATTAACCTTTTTTTAAGATTATCTCCTTAAATTCACCAGATAAGTTGAATTGGTCTCTTTCTTAAAGTGTGTTTATGTGGTTTGGCCTGCAGGTGGGGCTGGTGTACATGTTCAATCTGATAGTGGGAACAGGAGCCCTGACCATGCCCAGAGCCTTCGCCGAAGCCGGTTGGGTGGTCAGCCTGTCGCTCATTGCCTTTTTAGCATTCATGAGGTGAGTCTGCTGCAACCGTAAGGTGGGAATCAAACTCTCATCCCGCTCCGTCTGCCCTGACGTGTTTGTTTCTTTTTTTTCCTTTCACCCTCAGATCTGCCTCCTTTCCGCCTGTTTTTATTGCTTTTCTGCTCCCTGCGGGAAACATTATTCTGACTTTAATGATACAGCAGATGCAAGGTCAAGCCTGCTCCTTTTTCCAGGAAGGAGTCTCATTCTGAAAGAATAATATTGAAACGTTGATTTTAGCTTAAAGCGACAGAGGTTGAATAATTCATGGAATTCCTGCTGTTTATGCAGAAAAACACTGAACGAAAAATGAAGGTTTTAATAGTTTAAACCTTCACTTTCTGAATGCGTTTTATACTATTTGTTTATTTTGATCCCGTCTTCATTATAATTAGGGAATTTTTTATGGTTTATTAGGAGGTTCTATGCAAAATTTGAGGTAATTTAGTTTTACTTTAAGCTTTGGCTGCTTTCTCATTTATTTATAGGAGGAACATTTTTGCCTGTTTGGGAAAGAACTGGTTTTAAATGGGACCAGTTTGGACACTAAGATCTGTTTGGCACCACTTCCTGTTTAAACTAGAGAAAGTTCACCTCCAGGCGCTGGCGAAGCGGCTCCTTTCGCTCTTATTCCGGCCAGAAGACATAAGCGCCGTTTTCAGGAGGTGGAGGCGGGATCATTAAAAATATTCTGAACAGCACTTTTAACCTTAATTTAACTTTCTTCAATGGATAATATAAGAAAAATCTCTTTAAAGTATGGAAAAATGATAGAAATAAGATGAGATTTCTGGATTTTTAACAAAAAAAATTAATGAAATGGCTTAATTAGACAAAAATCAGTTTTTATTGGCCCAGCCAGAGTCCAGAACTACATTGTTGGTTTAGATTGAACTTAATTCACAGAGTGAAGCCTGGTTTATGCTCAGAAATCAGTTAGTCTGCGTGTGTCTCAGTTAACGCCTCTCCAAAATTGTAGGTGACCACAGACGGTGCCGCACATAGCGTCGCAGGTCGGAGAGAAAGGAGGCTACATCCGCTCTACACTATGCATATATTTGGTATCTAATGGCAGAAACTCTGGCTGTAGTGCCGTCCACAATGCCACGCAGCGCCACGGCCAGTTTTTGAGGAACACTCACGGGTGAACTGTGTGTCGTCCAGCGTTAGATGAGGGGTTGTAGATGTTGAACAAGCTCGTCAAACCAACGCAAGGACACCGTTTTGGCGTAGCGCAGACCATGCTTCAAAATTGGGTATAAAACAAAAAATATCTGCGTCATACCTGCGACATGCTAACTGCGACACACTGCTGCAGGAGGATAACCAGCCCTTTAGGTGGATAACGGATTAGAACTCGAACGGCTAGAGACTCAACTTTCCCACAGGCAAAGTAAGGAAAATAACAGACTAAAGGAAAATCCAAAAAACAATACTTTATTAAAAAGTTCAACTGTTTCTGTCAATCATTTCAAAAAGAGATGCTAATGTTTATTTATTACAACTAGTGAAATATTTCAAGCTTTCATTTCTCGCAAAGATTAAAAACTTCAAACTGGGCATCTTGGATAGATAGAAAATGACAATAGATTGTAGGGTCAATATTATTTGAGGCCATTTCTCAATGTGTAAACATGTGAAACGGCCAACGATTCGATTATTTTCGATACTAAAGAATAAACCACGATACGATTCGATTCGATTAATTGGTTCTTTTTATTTTTATTTGTTTTAAACCTTACAGGCTAAACAATGTTTCAAATTTGAATTAAATCAATGAAAGCTGTAATATCGTTATGCTTTTTATTTGAGAAACAGCAGCAAATAACAGAAGTAGAAAAGTTGTATCAAAAAATACTGCAGAAAATCAGTGCAATGAGTGCAATGCAATACCTCGGCTCCAGACGTCCCGCCCCCTTCACAGACGCGCCGCTGCTCCTCTCCCAAATTGTAGACCGCAGACAGCGCACAAACTACATTGCGCCCGCGGTCTCTATTTGTCACAAATCTATTTCATTTAGCCAATAAACGGTAATCGTTTGGCACTGTCCGTTAATTGACCAAATACCTATAATACATTACAAGTTTATCTTTTGTATCCCTTTAGCTTCATTCTCCTGAATTTATTCTCGTTACAAATGCAGACCGCGGGCTCAATGTAGTTTGTTTGAGTGGCGTTGCCATAATGTGACGTCATCGGGAGGCGCAAGGCCCATGGAGAATTCGGTGACGTCATCGGAAGGCGCAGGGACCATGGAGAATTTCTTCGTAAAATTGTCCGTTTACAAACTGCAATCCCGCTTTCGAATAAAACCTACACCACGCTATAATTACTTTAGTAAGCTGTCCAGACCAATCAAAATTTTTTGCGCAATTGTGCAAACGTTAAAACAATTATGTATTGTGACGTCATCAAAAGGCGCAGGCCCCCGAGTCAATCTGGTACCTACACCGGCTTGTTTTGTTTTCATGACCGAAATTATGGAAAACAACTCGTGAAGTTTGACCCGTTAGAAGAGCGAGGTGCACGAGAACGCTGGGACCCTTTTTCCACCTGGATCTCCGCTCTTTTTGGCCCTCATGTCCCTCCGTCGTCGGACTAAACTCGCCCCCACTTCCTCGCCGCCTCGGCCGTATCTAGACCCACAGCGTTTAGCACAGACCACGCTTCAATATTGAGCATAATTTAAAAATGTCTGTGTGAAGCTCACTGCAAGACACTGCTGTAAGAGTATAACCAGGAAGCGAGGTAGGAGGGCAAAATAGGTTTAGCGCCACCGCAGCACGGGAGGAGAATTACGCCCAGGAGCAAATGGATAAGAATAGACCGGAGGAAAAATAAATACATGAATCGATTCTCTTGCGGACGTATCGATGCATCGGATCGTCGGCTTTTGGATCGATGCATCGATACAAAACCATTATTATTTACACCCGTAATGCTTAGCAATACGCAGAGAACACAGTGGACAGAATGACTGAACGGGAAACCCTTACACACGGAAAACAATGGAGAGCAGAGGTGAAAGAATAGCTTATGCGTCAGAGAATCTTGGCAATACCATCTTTTTCCATTTTAGGTATCTAAGAACAAACTGCACGCAACTCACATTTCTACACAGACTTCCATGATACACATCAGGCATCCCCAAAGTCGGTCCTGCAGGTTCTAGAGGTTTCTCTGCTTTAGCACAGCTGATTCTGATGATTGCAGTTCAGCAAAAGCCTAAAGAACAACTATCGATGTAAATCAGCTGTGCTGAAGCAGGGAAACCTCTAAAACCTCTAGGACAGCGGACCCCCCAGGACCCACTTCAGGGATGCCAGTCCAGAAGGCAACACAGTGCACACACGTTCACACCATGTTACAAAAGGTATAAATACAGCTGATGGCTGCTTTGTCTTTCATGTATTGTGAGTTTTTTTGGACAGCATCTGCCGCCCCGTTCCGCTCGGGCAGATGAAGCGAATCGTCTTTAGTGACTTGATTTTTGTCCTAAGAGAATTCTACTGTTTTGAGCCTTAAGAAGATCAGTAAAAGTTTGTTTTAAACATGTCAGGGCTCTGAACATGATTTCATGCACCCAGCAGTTAGCTTGGTGTTTTTAACGTGTCGTGGAGATGAGCAGCCTGTGGTTTCTCTTAGATCTTCATCTGCATTCTTGGTTCCTCTTTATGATAATTGATTCTCTGTCCGATGCATCTTTATTAAACAAACCTGGATCTGTTGATCTCTACGTTAAAAACTCTGGAGGTGATTAACTGCATGCGTTTCCTCTCCTTCTGTTTTTTTCAGCTATATGACCACCACGTTTGTGATCGAGGCGATGGCGGCGGCCAACGCTCAGCTGCGCTGGAAGAGAAGAGAGCAGGAAGAGGTGAGAGGATGACCTCGGTGTCTGCCTGATCATCTGTAGCAGAGTGGATCACAGCATTATAATGTAACCAGTGGCGGCTGGGGGAGTTATCTCCAGGGGGCGCTATAACTTCAAAATAGATGTATAGCAAAAAGTTATCACACCGGTATAATAATATAAATGCCAACAACAAAAAACATCATAAAATGTTCTGCAAAGTGCTTTTAATCAGTCCTACCTGTCTTAATCCATGCAGCCATCTTAGATTTAGGCTTAGTCTTCAGGACGAATGCTATTGTTAGTCTTTAGTTATTACAATATGTGATAGTTTCAGTCGGTTTTAGTCAACAAAAAGGTTTTATTTAGTTTTATGTTCCGAAAAAAGGTTAACTTTTACAAGTTCCATAACAACTAGAATCTTTACCAGACTGACAGCTCTAGCCTAGAGCAGAGGTCATGGATTAGCGGACGGGGGTATAAAGAAAACAGTTGATTGCATTGACTCTTCAGCAATCCCTCACACTAAGTATGCTTGTGGCAACAGTGGAGAGGAAAAACTCCCTTTGAACAGGAAGAAACCTCCAGCAGAACCAGGCTCAGTGTGAGCGGCCATCTGCTGAGGCCGACTGGGGTTTAAGCAGACAGAAGCAGACATAGAAAAAGAAGCATAGATGCAAAAGGCAACTGTCAACCAGCTCCACAGGCGGCCCCGTCCAGGAAACACACAGCCAGGCAGACGAGCTCCGAGCCAGCTCCCATGTCAGAGGATGAAGAGAGCACATCCAGTTAGTCACAGTCAGAGAAACAGGACTACACTGGAAAACAGGCCAAGCTCCAACATCTAGAAACAAAGGTGTTGATGGCAGCAGCACAGCTGATATTTCTCTCCAGGATGGAGTCACAGCCAAACAGGAACAGACCAGATGAAGCTACTATGATGAGGAAAAGCAGAGAGAGCAGAACATTAGAGATTGAACTAACAGATTCTGCAGAGTGGGAGAATAGAGATAGAATGAAGCAGAATGATGAAAAAGGGGTCCCTATGTCCTCCAGCAGTCTAAGCCTATAGCAGCAGAACTATAGAGATAGATCAGGATTTACAATCAATGAAATTCAATTAAAACAAAACCAAAAAAATGAAATAAAATTTTCAAGGTGTTTGGTTTTATTCTTTATTATAAAATGACACAAGAAATGGTTATTAAAGTTAAAATATCTCCATGCAGTGGTGGCCGCATACGGAGGCCTCTGCCCTTAATGGACCGATCCCGGGTTTGAATTCCTGCCCGTGACCTTTGTTCATTTTTTCTCCCATTTATGCCATTTTAGCATGAGCGTAGGTTTGCATAGGGACCATAGGGACATGCCCCTACCAAAATTTTCAACCGACCTAATTGTCCCGACCAATAATTGGATGTGAGCAACATGCTTATAATTTCCAGCAGTAGTTGTTGCAGCAGTGGCTTCTTTTCCTCCCTCAGCTCCTCTGCCTGGTCTCTCCTGTCCCTTTCACGTAGCAGCGCATGGAACTGTGCTGCGCAGTTTAACTCCACTCTCATTGGTTGTTCTGCCTTAGGTTCCGCCTTCTCTCTCTCTGATTGGCTGTTTTCTAGTCCGCGGATGCTTGGAGCACAAAATTAAACATTTATTCACACTAGAATGCCGCGGTTACTACAATTAATATTAGGCTACAAAACTAGTCCCAATTAAAAAACTGAATATCATGTACACTAAAAAACAAAAACCTTTTTTTTTCTTTTATAAAACAAAATATTCTGAGTCAGCCAGGAGTTCTGAAGACTGCTGGAAAAATGGGCAAATAAAGGCTGTAAGCCATCAACATTTCTGATTCTTAGCCAATTAGCAATTCTACACTCACCGGCCACTTTATTAGGTACACCTGTCCAACTGCTTGTTAACACTTAATTTCTAAGCAGCCAATCACATGGCGGCAACTCAGTGCATTTAGGCATGTAGACATGGTCAAGACAATCTCCTGCAGTTCAAAGCGAGCATCAGTATGGGGAAGAAAGGTGATTTGAGTGACTTTGAACGTGGCATGATTGTTGGTGCCAGAAGGGCTGGTCTGAGTATTTCAGAAACTGCTGATCTACTGGGATTTTCACACACAACCGTCTCTAGGGTTTACAGAGAATGGTCCGAAAAAGAAAAAACATCCAGTGAGCGGCAGTTCTGTGGGCGGAAATGCCTTGTTGATGCCAGAGGTCAGAGGAGAATGGCCAGACTGGTTCGAGCTGATAGAAGGGCAACAGTGACTCAAATAACCACCCGTTACAACCAAGGTGGGCAGAAGAGCATCTCTGAACGCACAGTACGTCGAACTTTGAGGCAGATGGGCTACAGCAGCAGAAGACCACACCGGGTGCCACTCCTTTCAGCTAAGAACAGGAAACTGAGGCTACAATTTGCACAAGCTCATCGAAATTGGACAATAGAAGATTGGAAAAACGTTGCCATGTCTGATGAGTCTCGATTTCTGCTGCGACATTCGATGGTAGGGTCAGAATTTGGCGTCTACAACATGAAAGCATGGATCCATCCTGCCTTGTATCAACGGTTCAGGCTAGTGGTGTCATGGTGTGGGGAATATTTTCTTGGCACTCTTTGGGCCCCTTGGTACCAATTGAGCATTGTTGCAATGCCACAGCCTACCTGAGTATTGTTGCTGACCATGTCCATCCCTTTATGACCACAATGTACCCAACTTCTGATGGCTACTTTCAGCAGGATAATGCGCCATGTCATAAAGCTGGAATCATCTCAGACTGGTTTCTTGAACATAACAATGAGTTCACTGTACTCAAATGGCCTCCACAGTCACCAGATCTCAATCCAATAGAGCATCTTTGGGATGTGGTGGAACGGGAGATTCGCATCATGGATGTGCAGCCGACAAATCTGCGGCAACTGTGTGATGCCATCATGTCAATATGGACCAAACTCCCTGAGGAATGCTTCCAGCACCTTGTTGAATCTATGCCACCAAGAATTGAGGCAGTTCTGAAGGCAAAAGGGGGTCCAACCCGTTACTAGCATGGGGTACCTAATAAAGTGGCCGGTGAGTGTATATCTTCAAAAGAAAATACTATATTTACCTTCTCTCTTAGTCGTTCAAATGAAAGCATTTTCAAAGTGGAAAACAGTCCTAATTCCACATTGATCGGAGCCGATGATACTTAAAACATTAATAAACAGCATCTAATGACTGTAGAGCTTATAAAATTTTTATTAATGTAGCAAAATGCTGCTTTTCTCTTTTAACAGTGAATTCCTCTTATCAGTACGGATGCTCACATCGAGCATAAAAAAGGGCATATTGCATAGCACCAATGACACCCGACCAATAGTGTCCCTACCAAAGTTCAAATCAAACCTACGCCCTTGCATTTTAGTGCCACAAAACTTTGGGGAAAAAAGGAGTAAATTAAAGCAGCTTATGTCTTAAAGTGCCAAAATGTCTGAATTTGAAGTCCTTTGCTGCTCGTCCCCCCCCCCCCCTCGATCTAATCGAATTCAGGTGTCATTTGCCTCCCGGCTATAAAGTCCTGATTCAGAAGAAGTCGTCACTGTAGACCTAAACTCCCTTTTCAGTTGAATAAACAAAGTCTTTCATCATTTTCACTCTGACTTAGAAAAAGGCTTTGCTCTTTTCCAACGGCTCGGCCTTTGCTCTGCCTCCCTGAGGTCATCCGGCTTAATTCCCTTCAGGTTTCAGCTAAGTTACGATCCTGCGGACGATAGCCCGGCTCCACCGCACCGCCTTGATTCATAGCCCCCGTCTTCCTCAGCCTTTTCCTCCCACCTAATGGAAAACAAGGCGGGAGTAAAACTGGGAAGGTTTGCCTCGATATGCCCTTTATTTCTCTCTGCCTGAGTGAAATTTATACATTTGCAGTGATGCATTAATGGGGGAAGAATTGCTTTTACGTTTTATGAGGCTGCAACACCAGTTAGGGAATGGGGTGCTGCTCATCATTCCCAGCTTCTTTAAAGGGACAGTCTGACAAAACGCAAAGAGGAAATGTTTGTTTTCTTTTTGAAGCATTTGTAATTTTTTCCCCTAAGGCAGAAATGCTCCAACCTCCTCGGTCTAAAGCGGCGTTTGTTCTTTCAGCACGGGGGAAAGATTGCTTTCCCGTTCCTCTAGCTCCCGACTCAAACAGTGAATTTGATGAGTGAAATTATGCTGAGCTGGAAAGTCTTTCATTAGCGAAGCTCGCAGCTTTTAAATGACCTGCAATGAAGAAAATCTACTGTTGTAAAACATTTTCTAAAGATGCAGCTTCTGCATTTTTCTTGACCAGTCATCAACTCTGTCCTTTTTTCCTTAGCTTCCTCCGATGTGCTTTGGTTAAAAACTTTCAAATGAACTTTTAGTAAAAAAAAAAGGGGGAGTTTCAGTAAAAAAGTTTTTTTTTTTAAATACAAAATGTTCAAAATTTGATTCGTGGCTTGTATTTCCTTCAGAGAACCCCAGTTCTCAGCTTGCAACAATAATGGAATAAAATTCACTCCATACAGTTTATCCGCTTCGTGATGCATTGAAGGAGCTCAAATACATCAGAGGTTGTGATTCTGATTAGGGATGCACGATATAATGGGCCCCCTATCGGTATCGGCCTTAAAACTGAATATCGGACATCGGCCACCCCACCGATATTTAACCCGATATTTGATCAGCTTCTGAGTTTCTAAAGTCTAAAAAAAAAAAATACTACTTCTTCTTCTCAAAAACTTCTTTTTTACAGACTTAAAAACTTCTAAAGACGAGGGAAAAAAATATTGATACATTAAAATATCCCAATATCTTCATATGCTGATATATTGCCATTTAAAAACACCATATCAATCTCTTTTACTAATGAAATATTGCTATATGTCATCGTTATGCTACGAAATCCCCTGAAAATTCACCAAATTTAGCCATATTTTTATATGTTGATATATTGACGCGGTATCGATCTATTATACTAACAAAATCTCACAAGAATTTGCAAAATATCACGAGAGTTTGTAACAGAACGATGAAATTTCACGACATTTTGAAAGTAAAATAGATCGATACCGCGTTTTTAAAAATCTATTTGATATCAGCATATGAAAATATATTTGAGTATATTATTTTTCAAAGTGTCAGAAATGGATAACAAAACTGCTATTTTCAATGACTACTTATTTTTGTCCAGCTTTAACATCGGTATCGATATCGGTTATCGGCTACATGAGTTTTAAAATATCGGCATATCGGATATCGGCCAAAATCCCAATATCCTGCATCCCTAATTCTGATGCTACGTTCAGATCGTAAGCGGCAGGAGCAGCAGAAAAGAGCATGCTGCTTCGTTTTGATGCTTGTACAAGTTTAGTTCTGATGCGCGGCGTGTACTTATTATAGTCTATACCAAAGTAGGAATATTCCTTTTTCCTAAGTCCAATTTAGTATTTATTTAATTTGCAAAATAATCGTTAGTTGCAGGCCTAGCTCATCTCGCCTGCATGATTTCATGGCGTTGGCAGATTCAGCTCGTTCTCTGAAGACTCTGTGGATCGTCAGCTCCTCCTCCTGCAGCACTTCCCAGCTGTTCTGTTGTTTCCAGATGTGTGAAATTCAGATCCAGCAAACATCTAGTTTTTTTTTTGTTTAACTGGTTGTTTAAGTTGTGACATTAAAAATAAAACTCTCAACCTTGGTTTGGTTCTCCTCAGACGGACGACAGCGACTCCACCTCCGACTATTCGGATGACGATTCGGGGCGAGGTCGAATGGAACCAGAAACGAAGCCCATCCTCTCTGTCCGTGAGTGAGCCTCAGATTCACCATAGAGCCCTGTGTTCACATTAATGATGAGTTATATTTGAAATTTGAGGCATAATTTGATCAAACGTATTATTAATTGCTCAATTTTATTGTTATTTACTTAGAAAAGAGTAAAAGGGTCATAAAGGTGGAGATTACCAGTTATTATGGTTGTATTCAAATCTCCACAGATGAATGTCTCTTCTTCTTTTGTCACACTGAAAAAAATGATCCAGAAATAAGTAAAATCGTCTTAAATAAATATTACTGTTTTTATATATATATATATATATATATAAATATATATATATATATATATTTTTTTTTTTTACTATTTTTTTACTATTTTTAAAAAATATTAAATTGTCCAGAGAGCTGTTCCAAACTAAATTTATTTTTGTTTTACACTTGTGTAAACAAAATGACAAATAAATCTAGGTTTAAGCAGTCACACAAATGTGCACCTTAGAAAAATGTATAAAAATAACATTCTAGTGAGTATACAGTGGAAAAACGATCTAGAAATAAGTCAAATTCTCTTAAATTAAGTGTATTTACCCATAATTTGAGTACCGTATTTTCGCGACCATAAGGCGCACCGTACTAAAAGGCGCAGTCTCAGTTATGTGTGCCATTACTGTATTTAAAGGAGAATTCCGGTTTTTAACACTTTTAGCCCATTTTCTGTAGTGTCCAGGATGAAATCGAATGATCGACACCAAAATTTTGACAATTGCTCCTGTCTCCGCTATTTGGCTCATGTAGAATCCCCCCCTGGCTGCTTCAGAATGGCTTCCATAGTGCATGTCCGATAATGTCCTTAAAACAACCTTAAACGTTCTTTTTTTAAAATATGCTACTCACCGGGTCGTCAGCGCTGTTCAATGACGTTCCAAAAAAAGTTTCGTGAAGAAAAACGTTCCTGTAGTGTTTTATTTAGCATTTTGTAAATCCCATTGAGTTCTGTAGGAATAGTCAATATTCCGCTGCCACCGGAAACGGAAATGGGGCCTGTTTACACAGTTGTAGTCTTTTCGCTTCACTCTGTGTACTCCGACGTCGAGAATCAAGAATCCACCTTTCGTATTCCATTTTCAGAGTTTCGTGAAGAAAAACCGTTCCTGTCTTGTTTTATTTAGCATTTTGTAAATCCCAGAACTATTTTTTCTGATACATCACAACCGCTTATAAACTTCCGCTTCCCTTTCGAATCTGAAGCGTTGCACACTCCAGACCACTAGTTGGCGACAATGTCTCTATATACTCCTCCTCAGTATATTCCGGTTCAAAACGGTATCCTCTACCGTCAAACTCAAAGTCCAATATGTCCTTCTCAAGAATCCACCTTTCGTATTCCATTTTCAGAGTTTTTTAAAGTGTTTAACAGAGACGTTAGCACCTCGACGTCGGAGTACACAGAGTGAAGCAGAAACACTTGGGCCTTGCGAAAAAACTACAACTACGTGTAAACAGGCCCCATTTCCGTTTCCGGTGGCGGAGGGATATTGACTATTCCAGCAGAACTCAATGGGATTTACAAAATGCTAAATAAAACACTACAGGAACGGTTTTGCTTTACGAAACTTTTTTTGGATCGTCATTGAACAGCGCTGACGACTCGGTGAGTAGCATATTTTAAAAAAAGAACGTTTAAGGTTGTTTTAAGGACATTATCGGACATGCACTATGGAAGCCATTCTGAAGCAGCCGGGGGGAGATTCTAAATGAGCCAAAAAGCAGAGACAGGACCAATTGTCAAAATTTTGGTGTCGATCATTCGATTTCATCCTGGACACTACAGAAAATGGGCTAAAAGTGTTAAAAACCGGAATTCTCCTTTAACACACACATAAGGGACACCGGATTATAGGGCGCGGAATTTAGATACCGGTAAATATCCTCTACTACGTTTAAATACCTCTACTGCATATTTAAAAATAGAGTGGGAGCAAAACTGAGTATGTTTGTGCTTTATTCATGTATTTATTACAAAGTATTAATCAAACCCATCAAAGTCATCATCCTCTGTTTCTGAATTAAACAGCTGCGCTAAATCAGACATGCTAGTTTCCCCTTCTTCGCTGTCAGAGTCACTTTCCGTGCCATGCGGCTCCTCAGAAATGATGCCGGCTTTTGCGAAAGCTTGAACAACAGTGCCAGCAGACACGTTAGTCCAAGCATCAACAATCCATCCGAAAACGTCGCCCGGCGCTGCCTTCCACTTTTCGTGAAACTGTGGTCTCCGTCGGTCATCCATCGCTCCCACGCCGCTCGCAGCCTTACTTTGAACGACCGGTTCACACCGATGTCGAGCGGTTGAAGTTCCTTTGTCAGACCCCCGAGATAACGGCGAGCACAGCGTTAATTTGTTTCACCTTGTTTTTCATATTGGCTGTTAGATGGGCACGCATGGAGTCACAGATTAACAGCGATGGTGATGAGTGGAAAAAACCACCTGGTCTCCTCACATACACCTCCCTCAGCCACGCTTTCATCATCTCCTCATCCATCCAGCCCTTTTCATTTGTCTTAATAACGACCCCAGCTGGAAAAGTCTCTTTAGGCAAAGTCTTTCTCTTAAAAATCACCATAGGCGGCAGTTTCTTTCCACACTTCCCCCTTTAACGTTCTCATGGCGGTCTCAACAACATCTGCAGTAACACATAGGGCACGCCGCACATTTTGAGGCAAAAAAAAAGACGTTTATATGCGCCTTATAGTCGCGAAAATACAGTAGGTAAATAAGATAGTTTGCCAATGGAATAAGTATTTTTGCTCTTAAAATAGGATATTTAGATAATATGCACTTTAAATAAGATAATGTAATTGTGTTTTCTTATTTTAGGCGTAAATTGTCTTGTTCCATTGGCAAAATGTCTCTTTTACCTCCTCAATCCTTGAAAAACTGCACTTATTCTAAGAAAAAATGACTTATCTAGATTTCCATGTTTTTCCAGTGCAGAGGAAAGCGTTTCATTTCTCATTTGTGAACCACTTCCTGTTGCTCCATTGAAATGCATTAAAGTGGATTATTGAAAACGATCACTAAAGCAAACTTTATCCAGTTATCTGTTGTTTACGATTTCCTGTTGAACCAGGAACTTTTTTTCTGTTTCCACAGAGAGATCGGGTCACGTCGATCACTTTGACATTGTGGAGCGGGTGGAGATGGGTCAGATGGCCTCCATGTTCTTCAACAAAGGTAATCTTCTTTGCTCTGCCTCAAGCTTCTTCTTCTCTCCTTGATATTCAATTAGCCGCAGACGCCATCATCATTAGCCGCCTCTAATATTTATGGACGAGTCGGAAGAGTGTGTGGGATAATTCATCAAGATTTTTTTCCTCAAACCTTTTCACGAGCGGCCCTCATTTACAAAGGGAGGCGGCTGGCGGTTTAATTGGCTGTAATTGTATATGGATAAATTGCCTTTGGTGATAATTAGCTGTTTGAGAGGCCGTCGGCGCCGAGCATGTGTGTGGGTGGAGGTACTACCTGGACTCTCTGCTAAATACCTGAATGATTGTGGAGCTAATGAAGCCTCTTCTAACTGGTGACGTAAGCTGGAGTCAGAATCACCTTGAGCCGCAGAGAAAGCCATCCCTGCAGCTTTCCAGTCGATACGTCGTCTCTGCCCCGTTAGCATGCAGAGGCCCCCCTCCCCCTCGCATCTCCTCTCCTGCCTTGTCGGCTCGCGTTAAGCAGCTGGAAGCACGAGCGTGCGACCGGAGAGTCTGCAGTGTCCCTGTTGTTGCAGGAATAAAGGAACAGCAAAAGGTCGGAGCTGAGACGACCTCCTCTGTGCTGGCATGCTGCGTCCTGTGGGCAGCAGGGGGAGCGCTTGCCACACACGCAGCCACACACACGGACCTGGCCTCATGTCCTCTGCCACACGTGTGAACGCGCTCCTGCGTGCCGCGGAGCTGCTGAAGCTGCAGCACCTCACCTGGTGGAGGAAATGATACAGAAGAAGCTCCTGGCGAACGACCGCTCTCACCTAGACGCATGTGCTGGGTGCAAGACACACGTGGCCGTATCGATTCGGGACGAGCAAATGACTTTAGTCCCCCTGACAGGGAAAATGGAGAAGATGGGTTGTGTTTATATCCCTTTATAGGGAAAGTTTCCCTTGTTGATCACCTTACAACCACCCTCGTCCCTCAGTGAGGTCTAGAAGCACAACATCTATATCCAGCCATTGAGCAAAGATCCTGCTACATGGCTGTATCTTTTTCAAATCATGTGAGAATGTGTACAAAATAACAAAAATGGCGCCGGCAACGCTTCTGGGTCGTTTTCAGGGAATGTCAGTGATTTTAAAGTAATTTTGAGTGATAAATAAATTTTTTTTGCCCGGCGGGCAAATGCAATGAAATTTGTACTCTCCCGACAATAAAAACTACTTGCCCCGGGCGATGGTTAACATCGAGCCCTGTCCTAGTAGTATGCAGTTCTTCATATACACACACATCAATTTCAAACAGATGGTATCGGCCAAAAAAAGGGCATCGGCGCAACACTAGAAATTTCCTATTATTTTTCCTTTAGTAACATTCTACTATTATTTCCGACAGTCCAAATATGTTTACATACATCCAGTCTCTCTCCGTACTCTGTCATGCCTCATTGCGCTTAGAAAGTTCCAAGTACTCGGTTCGATCCCCACAGCCTGCATTCTGGGTTCCTGAGTAAGACCCTGAACCCCTCACTGCTCCCTGAGCGCCGCACAGAGGCAGCCCACTGCTCCCCAACAGGATGGGTTAAATGCAGGGAGTGAATTTCTCCAGTGAGATTAATAAAGTTCTATTTCTATATTCCTCTTGTGGCAAAGACAACTGCAGATCAGTTTGTTCCTAACTTTCTAAAAAAAAATCTAAAAACTGCAGCTGATTGATTTTCTGATCTGGAAAATCTGTTTTGCAGCTTTTTGAAAACGTTTATATTTGCATATCCTGCAGCCGCAGCTATCATAAAATCATCTGCTAATTGATGAAGACGCACAAAAAAGATCTGCCCTGCGCGCTCAAACACGTTTGCACCCATTATGAGACATGCAAAACGTTAACCTGTTAATCAGCCCTTTGGTTCAGTGAGCTGTACGGGGTCAAAATAACCCCTAAAACATGCAGGAGCCATGCTAAAGCTTCTTCACCGTGTTAACTGAGCAGAATGAATGCAGACAAGTCCATTATGCCAGGTTGAATTTCCACAACATTAATCGAGTGCAACGCCGTCTCTCTGCTCTGTTAGAGAAATAAAATGGAGGCGTGAATTCATCCTGCCAATCAGAGCTGCTCATTTACAGCCAATTAGATTGCTTCTCTGCTGCTGCTGAGCTCCGCTTGGAGGACATCTGACTTCCTTTCCGTTAGAAACTGACGTGTCGACGGCGGCGGCGTTGGAATAGGTTCATGGACATCGCATCAGGCCGACCCACAGCCCCTGACAGGAATGTTGATGGGGGGGGCGGGGGGGGCTGGCTTATCTGCTGCACTGTGGAAAGCGCAACTTTAACCTTCATGTCGATGATTTGAAAGTTGATTAGAAGACGACTTTGGTAAAAGTCACACAGAGAGCCTGACGGAGCGCTGTCCTTGCGTCAGCATCTTGTCTCGGCCATTGTTTCCTGTGTGATATGATGCGTTGGCTGAGCAAACATCAGGACTGTTGCTCCGACGTAAGCCCTCCTTTCCCCTCGACGTATGCAGGAGCGTTGCCTGGAATACTAATGCAGTCTGCGGTGAAACGGGCTTCTGTCTGTGATTAGAATCGGACATGAACACATCTACTGCTGCTCCTTTACTGCAGAGGAACATCCACGCCGTTTGGAAGATGAATGCTCATGTTTACATCTTTGTTTCCCACTATAAGCCTCTGATGGGTGAGAGAGGCGGTTTTAATTCAGTGTCATAAAAAGACCGACTAGTCAACCGAGCGGATCAATATTCAGACTGCTTTGCCAGGAAACTAGTTTGCCAGATGAAGGCTAAATTTGTCTCTTAAAGGGAAGAAAAGCAAAAATGTCTCGGATTGATTAGTAGTCTGCTTCAGCTTGTAGATGATGGCGGCTTTTAAATTACTACAAACAGAAAATAACTCGTATAAAAACATGACATAAAGGTTTTATTATTATCTTAAATTAGGTGGAGTGAGAAGTTGAAGGATTCAAAAACCAGCAGGAAGAGACGTTTCGCTTCCCATCCAGGAAGCTTGTTCTATTTCTCTGAAACGGGGGTCATTAAAGGGCCCGACTTTCACATTTCATTTACCCAGAAACAATTTTTACTTGCCCAGTATAATATTTGATATAGTTCCTAATATTCATTTTTGTATATATATCAATGAAACATGTTTGTTTTTTAAATGTTTTTTGTAATTCAGTATTTTTTAAGTTTCCAGGTTCCTGGTGTGTATCTGCATGCGTCAGATAATGAACTCCAGCCTACATTACCGTGTTAACATGCTTTTCAATCCTTCCTGCACATTCTTTTCAAACTAAACTTTGCTTTAAACTGTTGTGTGCTTGGAAAAATATAAATTGTAATGTTAGAAATAAAAAAAAAAAAGCTTGACAGTTGAAAAACTTAAGATAAATCACAAGACAGAAGTCAATGTCACAAATGAATAACTTTTATTTTAGAGTCACGGTATGTTTATACAAGATAATACTATTAATATAATGTGACTTTTCTAGAGAATCATTATACATAGTTATTTTATTCAGGGTTTCCACAGTCTGACATAATTTCAGAATTTCCTGACTTTTAACTGACTCAGGGTCAGTTTTCCCTGACAAAATAAATGCAGCAACAAGACAATAATAATAACATAACAGGTCACTAATCTAACATGTTTAGCTCTATAACATTTAAATGCACCTCTCCAATGTCTAAGAGAAAAAAATTTAACATTTTTTAATGTATGACCTGCATCACTGTACAGTAGACTGCCATATGATAGAAATATTTACACTGTGCGCATTTTCCTAATCCCTGACCGATAATTTTTGATCTAGGGTTATCTGGTGGGCGAAATGGATGGAGGGTAAAATAGCCTTGTTGTTGTCTTTTAGCCTGTCAAGTCGAAAAAAAAAAAAATCACGCGGCTTTTTCAAATCACGCGAGAATGTGTGCAAAACAACAAAAATGGCGCCGGCAACGCTTCTGGGTCGTTGTCAGCGAATGTCGGTGATTTTAAAGTAATTTTGAGTGATAAATAATTTTTTTTTTTTGCGATCATTGCACTTGCCCGGCGGGCAAATGCAATGAAATTTGTACTCTCCCAACAATAAAAACTACTTGCCCCGGGAGATGGGGCGATGGTTAACATTGAGCCTTGAAGGGAATTGTTGGCCTGGCTGAACAGGCGAGGTCTTCAGTTCCCCTGTAAAGGGGTTTGGGTTGGGATGATTGTGGGAAGGGATTAACTAAATCACTGCAGAGACATAGACAGGTATGGGGCATTGCAGGCGAACAATGAAGCTAAACGACCCCCATTCCAAAGGGGTGAACCGTTCGTTCGTTTCTATTTGCATGTTTTCTAAACAAAAACCAGGCTTTGTTGGGCGGCTGTATAAAGCAGGGGTAACCAATTAAAAATCAGCGGGGTCTGAATAAAATCATCAACCAGTAAAGGTCTGGAGAAATTTTAAATTATAATCTGTTCCTTTCAACAGAATTTAACGCTGAAATAAAATGAGCTTTTTAAGCATTCATGTTAGTTTTCCATTTTAAAAAGTAGAAAATAGCAATGGTTCAGTTTGGTACATAGGTAATTTCCTGATTCCCATATTTTCTCAAACCCCTGAACTGATCGTTTGTTATTTTCTTTCTTTTTTCTGTCTTAATGTTGGCAGTGGGCTTTAGGCTGCCCTGCAAGGCTTTAAACCTGGGTTTAACCGGAGACTAAGCCATTCTCAAGCACATATCAAGGAGCTCATTTTGAGCCTGGATCCAGATTTATTGTTGATTCTGTTCATGGTGGAGAATCCTGCTTCACAGCAGCAGGTTGAGCCAAACATCCTCTAAATGTGCAGGGTCATCTTTGAGCACGCCATTTCACTTTTCTTTCACCAGTTCACCGCAGGTCTTCCAGCAGTCCACACTTTCTCTGCTCTCTTTTTATCACGTGCAGTCTGGAGCCGGACGCTCTCGACGGCTTTACCGTATTAACAGGAAAAGCAGGTCAAGCGATGTTGGACACTTAATCTGTGACCTAAAACTAGTTGGTTCCACAGGAGAGGAGCCTGATAACTAAAAGATCTGCCTCCCATTCTACTTTTAGAAATTCTAGGAACCACTAGTAAACCTGCAGATTGAGAGCGAAGTGCTCTGTTAGGAACATAAGGAACAATCAGATCTCTGATATCAGATGGAGCTTGGCCATTTAAGGCTTTATTTCAGAGCTGGTTAAGATTTAATCTTTTTTTTTTTAGACCAATCGGTTCCAACGAATGTTTTCCAAGCCCCGCCCATCTCTCCTCGGTTTCCTTCTGACCAAATGCAGCCTGGGAGCTTTTCCCTGACAGGCCGTCATGTCTGCTGTCCGTTCGCTCAGAGATAATGTGCTGATGGATACTAAAGCTTCCTGCAGCTGCATGAAGACTCGGTTCGCCGTGTTTTTGCCTGTGGCTCTGGGTAATTGGATGATATTAGTTAAAGTCTTGTGAAAGTCTGCACCCCCCGCGGCCTCACAGTCACTAACCGACAGACAGAGCAGAGAACAGGACTTCCTGCTTCTGCCTGCCGTGTGGGTGATGTGTTTTTGTCAACGAGGAAAATAAGACTGTCCCCTCTTCAAGGTCCCGTCAGTGCCTGCTTCACCTGCTTTATATAAAAACAAAGCGGGCTACAGATTTCTTTAACCTCTGTTAAAAGAAATAAAATGATAGGATACTTTTTTTTTGTCATTTAAAACAAAGCAAAACATTCATTAATTTTAGTTCATAAGATCATAATACATGATGGATATTAGGATTTTGGCCGATATGCGATATGCCGATATTTTAAAACTCATGTAGCCGATAACCGATATCGATACCGATGTTAAAGCTGGACAAAAATAAGTAGTCATTGAAAATAGCAGTTTTGTTATCCATTTCTGACACTTTGAAAAATAATAAACTCAAATATATTTTCATATGCTGATATCAAACTGATTTTTAAAAACGCGGTATCGATCTATTTTACTTTCACAATCTCGTGAAATTTCATCGTTCTGTTACAAACTCTCGTGATATTTTGCAAATTCTTGTGAGATTTTGTTAGTGAAATAGATCGATACCGCGTCAATATATCAACATATAAAAATATGGCAACATTTGGTGAATTTTCAGGGGATTTCATAGCATAACGATGACATATAGCAATATTTCATTAGTAAAAGAGATTGATATGGTGTTTTTAAACGGCAATATATCAGCATAGGAAGATATTGGGATATTTTAATGTATCAATATTTTTTCCCTCGTCTTTAGAAGTTTTTAAGTCTGTAAAAAAGAAGTTTTTGAGGAAGAAGTAGTTTTTTTTTTTTTTTTTTTTTTTTAGACTTAAGAAACTCAGAAGCTGATCAAATATCGGGTTAAATATCGGTGGGGTGGCCGATGTCCGACATTCAGTTTTAAGGCCGATACCGATAGGGGGCCGATTATATCCTGCATCCCTAAATACAATTAATGAATATTTATGAAGTTCATTTTTTTCCCATCAGTCAGTTTAGTTTTTGAAGTTATCTAATTATAATTAAAACAATCATCTAGTTCATTGAATTTATTGTCAAATATCATATTTCTATAAACTGCTACTTTTTCCCCACGCTTTGTAGGTGCAGCTTTTCTTTAGATTTTTCCTAACCACCAGAAGGGGAAGTCGGAAGTGAAGAATAAGGCGGCAATTTTCATTTAGCACAACCAGGTAGCAGCCGGCACGACGAAGAACAAATGTCCTGAATTCACACATTTTGACGTTTATTTGCCGCATTAAAGCTGCCGAACCAATGAAGAGACTGAGCTCAACTCCTGCAGAGCTGAAATAAAGAGCTGATGAATCTCTTCATCTTTCAGTAGAAGCTCTGATGCTACGTTCAGACCACAAGCAGCAGGAGCAGCAGAAACGAGCGTGCTGCTTCATTTTTGACGCTAGTACAAGTTTAGTTCCGACTAAAATTCTGTGGCTGAAGCATCTTTGCTGCTCTCGCTGCGCGGTAGGAAAGTTAGTCTAATGTGCGGTGGGCGGAGCTACCCTATCCTTTCTCTGCCTGGAACAATGGCAGCTATATTAGCTGTGATCAGCGGGTAAAAAGTAGTTAGAATCTATGTTGAAGTGAGAAAGTCCTCCTGAAAACATGGTCTGTGCAGTCAGTTCATCCAGATTACCATCCTGCCTTCAAAGATTATTTCTCTGTGGGAGCCGCTCAGACCCCCACATACCGGCGCTGCGCTGTCACTGGGAATCCCCAGCAGCAGCGTCACCTGCCTCAGAAGGTCATGACCCGCTGCTCTGCTGCTCAAAACGAGCTGCAGGATCTTTTGCTGCGCCTTGATGCGTGTCAACCACTGAAGTCAATTGTTGCACGGGGGAATTCTCCTTCGGACCTCAGGATTCCCTTTCAGGAGCTCAGAAGAGTCGCTGCTGCAGAGTTAAGTTGAATAATTTGAACAACTTTTTTAATTGCAAATCTTATGGCAATTTGCAGTTTTAACTAATGCTCCTTTTTTCATAAATGATCCCTTCCCCTGTTTTTAGAGACGTTTAAACATTTTTTTGTTTCATGCTTTCCTGTATTTTTGCCAATAAATTTCATGCAAAGGTTAAAACCAGAAGTTTTGGAGGAAACCTAAACTCAACCTAATTTAAACTTTGATTTAATCCCTCCCCTGAGGCCTAAATCTCATCCTAACATTGGTGGAAAACAAACATAAATCTGAGGTCAGTGGATTTAATACGACTTCATTGAAATCCTGTTCAGATTAAAGGTCCAAAGTTTTATAACCGACTTATTTTATCCAGTCATTGACTGCAGGATTCACTCCTCCAGGAGCAGCTAGAGACTGTAGATATTTGCTTGCGTTCTGTCTTTGACGCTGAAGCAATCCCTCACACCAAGCATGCATGCAGTGACAGTGGAAAGGAAAAAACTCCCTTTTCCAGAACACAGGGGCCATTTTCTTGGCTACAATGGAGGGGTTGGTGTGTTACAGTAATTTAGTGGTCAGGATTTAATCAGACTGATTTATTTCTCTCTTTTTTTTTTAAGCAATGTTGTATCACAACATAGAAAAGGAAAGTTGAAGCTCTGCTCTACACTCACCGGCCACTTTATTAGGTACCCCTTGCTAGTAACGGGTTGGACCCCCCTTTGCCTTCAGAACTGCCTCAATTCTTGGTGGCATAGATTCAACAAGGTGCTGGAAGCATTCCTCAGGGAGTTTGGTCCATATTGACATGATGGCATCACACAGTTGCCGCAGATTTGTCGGCTGCACATCCATGATGCGAATCTCCCGTTCCACCACATCCCAAAGATGCTCTATTGGATTGAGATCTGGTGACTGTGGAGGCCATTTGAGTACAGTGAACTCATTGTTATGTTCAAGAAACCAGTCTGAGATGATTCCAGCTTTATGACATGGCGCATTATCCTGCTGAAAGTAGCCATCAGAAGTTGGGTACATTGTGGTCATAAAGGGATGGACATGGTCAGCAACAATACTCAGGTAGGCTGTGGCGTTGCAACGATGCTCAATTGGTACCAAGGGGCCCAAAGAGTGCCAAGAAAATATTCCCCACACCATGACACCACCAGCCTGAACCGTTGATACAAGGCAGGATGGATCCATGCTTTCATGTTGTAGACGCCAAATTCTGACCCTACCATCCGAATGTCGCAGCAGAAATCGAGACTCATCAGACCAGGCAACGTTTTTCCAATCTTCTATTGTCCAATTTCGATGAGCTTGTGCAAATTGTAGCCTCAGTTTCCTGTTCTTAGCTGAAAGGAGTGGCACCCGGTGTGGTCTTCTGCTGCTGTAGCCCATCTGCCTCAAAGTTCCACGTACTGTGCGTTCAGAGATGCTCTTCTGCCCACCTTGGTTGTAACGGGTGGTTATTTGAGTCACTGTTGCCCTTCTATCAGCTCCAACCAGTCTGGCCATTCTCCTCTGACCTCTGGCATCAACAAGGCATTTCCGCCCTCAGAACTGCCGCTCACTGGATGTTTTTTCTTTTTCGGACCATTCTCTGTAAACCCTAGAGATGGTGGTTGTACTTTCTATGTTAGAGAAGATAACGGTAAAGTAGCTCCACAGGTTGATCTTACCTGTAAAAAGGTAAAGAAGACTAGCTCTGAGCAGTTTTCATGTCAAAAACCCATAGCTGTGTCTATGTTCCTGTTCAAAGAGAGGAGTCAAGTTACTTGCATCAAAATGACGTTAGTTTTTGGCTTACAGCGTACGTTTATTTTAGATATGGACTAAAGGTCCCTCTTAAAAATACAAGCAGTCCTCTGAAATCATTTTGTTTGCTTCTGATTTGAGCGTCTATTTAAACTTTCTGTAACTCCTCCACAGGCGCCTACAGTTCTTTGATTGTTGATGAATCTTTGCGGTCAGAGAGGCTGTAAATCTGCCGTGCTTTATTCCCCCCCCCCCCCCCTCCCCCCCTCTAATTTCCTGGGCAGTAATGAATTATCCGAACAGTCCAGTTAGGCGTTTGACCCTCATTTATTTAGATACCAAGAGGATGATGGATGCGCGGACGTTTGTGCAGGTGATGTGAGCCGAGCCCGTCAGCCGCTGCCTGAGAGAACACAGGATTTAAAGCTGATTGGCGTTTTCCCCTTAAGGAGTGATTAGGGTAATAATTAATCCATTAATATCTCTCATTAAACAAGAAGACGTGCCGTCGGCGTCCGCGGCGGGCCTCAGACGGAGACGTGCAGGTTTAAAATCGATGCTGAGGTTCGACGTCCGGCCATCAATCACGACGGCGTGTTTGGACTGCTGCCGCATATGAAAAATGTTTTTGTTTGTCACCTCTGTTCATCATCCATCCCAGATTCCTTCACATCTTCATCTTTTCTGTGTTTCAGTCGGAGTCAACATGTTCTACATCTGCATCATCGTCTATCTGTACGGAGACCTGGCCATCTACGCCGCCGCCGTGCCCATATCGCTCATGGAGGTCGCCTGGTGAGAACGGTTTTTGCCTTATTACACAGCTGGCGCTCCGTCTGACCATCTCCCCCCCCCCCCGGTCTGACCTCCTGGTCCCGAGGAATAAAACAATCCAGCTTTGAAGGCAGAAACCTGCAGGCCCGCTCACCTCTTGCAGCTTCTTCTCCTTGTTTTGCTCCCAGAAAGGTTTTTATTGAGCTCCAAATAACATATTTTATTGGGTTAAGAGCCAATAAAACACCTCTTGGTGTTTCATCTTGCTGAACCTGAACTTTCTTACCTTGATGTTTTATTTATTGAATTGTTTTCGGTACTTTGATGGATTTCAGTTTAATCTCTGCTTCCTTTCTGTTTTCCATCAGTTTCAAGTCTGACAGATTTCAATTCAATTCAATTCAATTCAATTCAGTTTATTTATATAGCGCCAAATTCACAACACATGTCATCTCAAGGCACTTTACAGTTCAACCGGATCAAATTGATACAAAGTTTTCTATCTAAGGAAAACCAGTTGATTGCATTGACTCATTGACTCAAATACAATCCCCCACACTAAGCATGCTTGTAGCATGCTTTCCTTCATCAAAGCTTTTATGCTCGTTGATGTTTTTAAACGTTGTATTCAAAAATAGTTTCTGCAGAGACGCCAGTGTTTCGCACATTATCAGTTGGTGTTATTCTTAGATTATTATTCAGAGTAATGAAGATGTAAAATATTTTACCCCAAATAGATCTATCAGCTGTTTTTTGTTTTTCTGAAAAACCAGATTTCTCTAATTTTTAATTCAATTCAGTTTATTTATATAGCGCCAATTCACAACACGTCATCACTTTACATTTTTAATAAAACACTATTAGCTCATTTGCAATGAGGAGCTGTATCATAGGATCAGGTGAAGCAGAGTCCAGCTGAAATCATTCGACTAATTTTAGTAATCAGACTGTTGCTATGAGACAGAGGTAGATGTTTCCCAATTCAGGAGTTTCATCCTTCAAAGGCCGCATTTATTGCACGTTTACATCCTAGAATCCTGTTATTATTTCTGCCGATTAGATCATTAAAGCTGTATGGAGTGAATTTGTTCCATTATTGTTGCAAAAAAAGAAAATGTTTTTTTAAAATGGAGATTTGAACTTAGAAGAAATGCAACCCAGAGATTAAACTTTTTAATAAAAAAAAAAAAAGATCTTTTTTAAATTTTTTTTCTCTTTTTGGGATTGAGTTTCATCAATAACCTTCTTTTCAAATTGCGTTTTCCGGATCACATCCTCTTCCTTTCTAGGGCCGAGCTTTCCTGTGGAGGGAGAAGATGCATTTTCTATTGGTCTTTGCAGGGTTCCCGCAGGTCCTTAAAAAGTCTTAAAAGGCATTGAATTTTTCAAAATAAAACTAAGGCCTTAATTGGTATTAAAATGTCTTAAATCAGTCTTTCGTTGGTCTTAATTTTTAAAACATCATAAATAGGATTATTTTTATTACGATTTATTTTTGTAATCTAAATAAAACGTTAAAATTGACAAAATTTTTTTTCTTTTTATTAAAAAAAAATAACAGATCGCCATTATTGGTTCCGTCCCGATAGCGGAACAAATAAAGCGTTGTTGCTGCCGGGACATTTGGGAGATGCACCATTAACTTTCTGTCTGGAAAATATGAGCAAGTGTAAATGTAACCAAAATTGTCTCCAGCCAAGTGTTTTCTCCATGGCTAAAACCAGGGAACATACATGAGGCTCAGTGGATTTAGTGCAAGAAGTCATTCAAGCTCAGAACGATGGGAATTAAGGCAGTGGAGTCGCACATGCGAAGCACGAAACACAAAGCGTCAAAATGGAGTTACGGAGAAACAGCCGGTATTTCTCAGTTTAGTTCCACCCTTGTCTCTGCAACGCCTCCACTTATCACCAAATCAAACATACTAAGAAAACCATACAAAGAAAAATAGCTGCAAAAAAGACTTAGCACTGGTTATGTTGGGGCTTTAAAACTCATTTGTTTTGTTCCCTGCTAAAACAAAGTTTGTGAATTCAGTTAAATAATTGTTCAAATATATCTGTCATTTGTGTGTTTTGAGCTTTCTTCCTGTATGGGAAGCTTTTCAACATTTGAAACATTAGTGCAGTGGTTTATGTTAAAATAAACCTTTGGGTTAAGTTGTCGCAAGCAGGTTTTTCTTGTGAATTTGGTCTTAAATTCTTATTTCAAGTGGCATTAAAAAGTCTTAAAATGTCTTGAATTTAACTTGCCTTATGCTGTAGGAACCCTGCTTTGGAATGTTGGCAATAACATTTAAAATAATCAAGAGCGAGTGTTTGTATCGGACTCAAAGTTAAATGAATTCAATTCAGTTTATTTATATACCACCAGTTCACAACATATGTCATCTTAAGGCACTTTACAGAGACAATTCAACCAGATCATCCAGTCAGATGGAAAGTTTTCCATCTAAGAAAAACCAGCTGATTGCATCGACTCATTAACTCTTCAGCAATCCCTCACACGAGAGAGCACATCCAGTTAGTCACAGTCAGAGAAACAGGACTACACTGAAAAACAGGCCAAGCTCCAACATCTAGAAACAAAGGTGCTGATGGCAGCAGCACAGCTGAGATTTCTCTCCAGGATGGAGTCACAGCCAAACAGGAACAGACCAGATGAAGCTACTCAGAGTAGGAGTGGGAGTGTTCCATTAAATCCTGATGAAATACACTAAAGTTTATGATTAAGGGAGAGAATATTGGGAAAAGGGTGTGAATTTTTATAGTTTCTGGTATGATGGAGTAGCATTATTGAGGCACTGAACGTTTTTACCTGGAGGTCAGGAAACTCCACAGATCCGAGATTTTAAGGAACAGGTCAACCAGGAGCCGAGAGGTTCTTCGTCATTTAGGCTTTTTAAACCTGTGATCTGTGTCATGTTCCTCTGACTGCTGTTATGATGAAAAGGAAAACTGTTATCTGAGTACTCAGAAGTAGATGTTGAACTAAAGGTTCTGCTTGTTTGTTTCTGTGCAGTGGGAACCACTCCTGCAGCGCCGGGAGTGTGAAGTACAACGACACAGACCCCTGCTGGGGCTCCGTCACCAGGAAAGATGCATACAGGGTGTTTCTGGTAGGTGTCCATGTCTTTTCTCCACTCTGACTGGTTTCCATGGTTACAAACCAGAATAAAATGAAATCCTTTTGCTGGAAGTCAGAGCTTTACTTTCCAAATATGACCTGAGGGTCATTTATGGTCTTTGGAGTAATTTTACAGGAAACCTACAGATAATTTTCTGTCATTTCTTCTTTTCTACTAAAATGATGCGTTTTTTAAATTGATGTGACGTCACCTGTCAATCAGTCCTGGAGGCGCTCTCTGCTCAGCTGCCAGGATTTTCATTAGGAAGGAAAAAATAAATCAAAAAGACATCTGACATCTGGTTCGAAAGCATGAACCATATACGGAGGCCTTGGACCACGACATGACCAACCCAGGTTCGAATCTGACCTGTCTCTCCCCCTCCCCCTCTCTAGTATCCCCCATTCCTGTCAGCCTACTGTACAAATATCAAACCTCTAGTACCATAAAAATCTCAACAAAAAAAGACACTTCTTCAATTCAATTCAGTTTATTTCTATAGCTCCAATTCACATCATGTCATCTCAAGGCACATTCCAGTTCACCAGATCATCCAGTCAGATTGATTCAAAGTTTTCTATCTAAGGAAAACCAGCTGATTGCATCGACTCATTGACTCTTCAGCAATCCCTCACACTAAGCATGCTTGTAGCGACAGTGGAGAGGAAAAACTCCCTTTTAACAGGAGGAAACCTCCAGCAGAACCAGGCTCAGTGTGAGCGGCCATCTGCTGAGGCCCACTGGGGTTCCAGAAGACAGAAGCAGAAATAGAAAAAGAAACATAGATACAAAAGGAAACTATAAAAGGTGGACCGGTAAAGGAAACACACAGCCAGCTCCCATATCAGAGGATGAAGAGAGCACATCCAGTTAGTCACAGAAACAGAACTACACTAAAAAAAGCAGAGAGAGCAGAACGTTAGAGATTGAACTAACAGATTCTGCAGAGTGGGAGAATAGAGATAGAATGAAGCAGAATGATGAAAAAGGGGTCCCTATGTCCTCCAGCAGTCTAAGCCTATAGCAGCAGAACTATAGAGATAGCTCAGGATAACCTGAGCCACTCTAACTAGAAGCTTTATCAAAAAGGAAAGTTTTAAGCCTAGCCTTAAAAGTAGACAGGGTGTCTGCCTCACGGACTAAAACTGGTAGTTGGTTCCACAGGAGAGGAGCCTGATTACTAAAAGATCTGCCTCCCATTCTACTTTTAGAAATTCTAGGAACCACTAGTAAACCTGCAGATTGAGAGCAAAGTTCTCTGTTAGGAACATCAGCTCTTGTATCTTGTGTCGTGGCAGGATGGTTCCTTCACAAGCCAAGTGGACTGTGGTTAAGAGTCACGTATCTCTTCCTATTTACAGTCCAGGGAAATGGACGGTTCTGGCTGCAAATTAAAGTGACGGAAGGTTTTAGGAGCATCAAAAGTATCTGGTTTAAATGCAGAGTCTATGGGGACAGCTGCTCCTGCTGCTTGCAGTCTGAATGTAGCATAAGTAATGGAGCTAAAAACTTTTGGTTCTTTGTAAATATAGACATGTGATCCAATAAATTTGAATTATTTTTCCTAGAATAAATTGATTATTTATGCTTCTCCAATTCCAGACTGATGTTTTAATGGCTTCTATTCATCTTTACCAGCAGGATATGCAGACTAATAATAATACCTCAGGCTAACATCCCTGATCTCAGCCTGACATTTCCTCTTCTTTTCATAAACCTCGGCAGCCGCAGGTTGAAAGTCCTTGAAGTGGCCAAACATGGATTTCCACTCGAGCCTCAGCTTTGAACAATGACAGTGACAGATGTGCTGATCTTCCTCTGTAATTTCTCAGCGTCCCTCTCTCCTTCATCTCCTTGCTTATGTTTTTTAATAGGATTACCAAAAAAGAAAAAAAGCCAATAAGTGACATTTTTTCCCCTTTATCTCCGGTGGGATATTATGGGCAGCGTATTTAAATAATGCTGATTTATAGTCTCTGCTCTGGTGTGTTTGCACTTCCAGTTTCTAAAACAAATGTTCTACTTTTGCAGCAGCCAATCTCAACACTTCAGTGCTTACTCAGTTATTTCATGCAAATATGTTCAGGCCGGAATAAGCAGGTCAGTCTTTTCACCTTTTATACTGAACTTTTATCTAGGTAAGTTTTCTAAGTAACTTTACTGGATCCAGTTTAGATTTAGAAGGGATTTAAATTTGAACTGGAAACCTTCATTTTCCTTTTGTCTGTTCTACCTTTCCAGGGGTTGACGTTAAGGATTTTTACCATTTGCCCTCTGGGCAAGTGACTTTCACATTTCATTTGCCCAGAAACTATTTTTACTTGCCCAGTATAATGTTTGATAAATAGAGTTCTTAATACCGTAACATGTTAATTTTTAAAATGTTTTTTGTAATTCAGTATTTTTGAAGTTTCCAGGTTCCTGGTGTGTATCTGCATGCGTCAGATAATGAACTCAAGCCTACATTACCGCGTTAACATGCTTTTCAATCCTTCCTGCACATTCTTTTCAAACTAAACTTTGCTTTAAACTGTTGTGTGCTTGGAAAAATATAAATTGTAATGTTAAAAAGCTGGACAGGTTAAAAACTTAAGATAAATCACAAGACAGAAGTCAATGTCACAAATGAATAAGTTTTATTTTAGAGTCACGGTATGTTTATACAAGATAATACTATTAATATAATGTGACTTTTCTAGAGAATCATTATACATAGTTATTTTTATTCAGGGTTTCCACAGTCTGACATCATTTCAGAATTCCCTGACTTTTAACGACTCAGGATTAGTTTTCCCTGACTAAATAAATGCAGCCGTTTGTCGTTTTGGTAACTACATCAAAATTACCGCTAGGTGGACAAAAATCACGCCATCTGGCGGAAAATCACCTGGCTTTTTCAAATCACGCGCAAATGTGTACAAAACAACAAAAATGGCGGCAGCAACGCTTCTGGGTCGTTTTCATCGAATGTCTGTGATTTTAAAGTAATTTTGAGTGATATTTTTTTTTGCGATCACTGCACTTGCCCGGCGGGCAAATGCAATGAAATTTATACTCTCCCGACAATAAAAACTACTTGCCCCGGGAGATCGGGCAATGGTTAACACCGAGCCCTGCTTTCCTTTGTGTGCTGCAGTTAGCTTGTCTTTGGTATGATGCAGATATTTTTGATTTATGCCCAATTTTGAAGAGTAGTCTGCGCTATGTTATTCCACGCCACAATGAAAAAGGGACAATCAGGGGCTAGCTAGGATTGTGGGTGTCCGTTTGTCGGTTTGACAAGCTTGTTCGCCATCTACAACCCCTCATCTAACGTCGGACGACACACAGTTCACCCGTGATTGTTCCCCAAAGACTGACCGTGGCGCTTCGTGTCTTGGCTTTGGTTGCAAACCAACAGACCATCGCACAGAGCTACAAACTAGCATCCTGCACTGTGTCTGGGATAGTGTCCGAGGTGTGCCAGGAGTTGTGGACGGCACTACAGCCAGAGTTTCTGCAAGTTCCAAACATAAAATACTAGGGGTGTCAACAATAATCGATTCAGCGATGCATTGCAATGCGGGGCATGCACAATTCAGCATCGATGTGGCAACGTGCCATAATCGATTATGTCACTGTTTATTTTCTGGCCTCAAATTGACAAGTTGTGAAGTTTTAATTACTTCCGGGGGCATACCAACAACAATCAAGATGGCTGAGGCGGAGGGAGATGACCGCGATAGACGGGTAGGCCTAATTAAAAACGCGCCAAAAGGTTGGAGAGCGGATTTCTGGGCACATTTCGGATTTTACGAAGTCAATGGGATTTTGATGCATCGCAATGCATCGTAGAATCGAATTGAATCGAATTGTTACCTGGTGAATCGTAATCGAATCGTGAGGGCAGTGCCAATGCACACCCCTATAAAATACGCATTGTGTAGAGCGGATGTAGATTTGACCAATCAGAGGCCTCCTGTCTGCGTTCAACTAAACTTTTGGGAAGGTGCAGCAGAGTGTCTGCGGAAGGAAAACCAGACACTCTGACTAAAGTCCGGTAGAAAGTTAAAAAATCAAAAACATACAAACAATAATTGGAAGTGCTCCAAAGGATAAAAGCATTGAGACAGAATGAATTGAAGGACATTTTCATTGATTGATTTTTTTTTTTTTAAAGAGCATTCATTTAGTTGAATGTTTGCAGAATAAACTTTGTAATGCCGTAAAGCCCAGAACACACACGACTGCGTCCGACTTTAATCTCCGATCAGATTTTTTTCCATGTCATACTGACTGTGTATAAAGATGCTCTAACTAACGTTAATTTTTGCTGCTTGTACCAGTTAGTTCTGGCGCGCGGCTGAAGCAGCCTTGCTGCTCTGGCTGCGCGGTGGAAAAGTGTGTCTGACGTTCGTTGGGCGGAGCTACTCTATCCTTTCTCTGCCTTGCAGCTATATTTGCTGTGATCAGTGGGAATAAAGTAGTTTTAATATGTTTTTAAGTGAGAAAATCCACCTGAAAACTTAATGACTGCAGTCAGTTCATTCAGATTTCTGCATTTTAAGTTAATTTATGCGTCAATAAACTGTTTCAGAGGAGTGATCACAGCGCTCTGTGTCATCAGCGATGTGTCTGTCTCACGGCCAGCTCCCAGGTTTGATTAATACTTTGTAATAAATACATGAATAAAGCACAATCATACTCACTTTTGCTCCCTCTCTATTTTTAAATACGCAGTAGAGGTATTTAAACGTAGTAGAGGATATGTACCGGTATATAAAACCTGCGCCCTATAATCCGGTGCGCCTTATTTGTGTGTTAAATACAGTAATGGCACACATAACTGAGACTTATGGTCCTGAAAATACAGTAATAGAATGATTGTTTGTCTGCCTGGTTCTGCTGGAGGTTTCTTCCTGTTCAAAGGGAGTTTTTCCTCTCCACTGTCGCTACAAGCATGCTTAGTGTGAGGGATTGCTGAAGAGTCAATGAGTCGATGCAATCAAATG